TGAGTGGGGAATTTGAACACTGGACTCCAGGCATGGGCATAGCTGGGGGGGGCACCTGCCCCCCTAGATAAAGTGAAACAATAGAAATACTTAATTAACTGACCAATCACGTCAGTTGTGCCTCTCCTAACAAAAATCCTGCCTACACCCAGGTCCTAGTCTGTCAGGGAGACTGCTACACAACTGCTACACAACACTGGCAATAATGATGACTGGACTTGGTAATGGTGACTTTTCAGAGGACAGCATTTGCTACAGTTCTTTGGTCAGGGGTTCATGGTCAGGGTTGGTTCGAGACATTGTGCTGCCTGAGGCAGAAGAGCAAAAAGGATTGTCCCCAATGCACTTAGTGGGATACTTCTTTCAGTGGCAAAACATTTTGTGCAAGCCGAATGTTTCTTTCCATGAGCAGAACATTGTTGCCCAAGCAAACTCATAAGCAGGTTACAGGTAACTATGCTGCAGAACAGATTGTGCACTGTGTGTTTTCATTAGCTCTGAATTCCTCTGTTGGGCAAAGTCAAAACTCACCTGTTCACAAGAGCAATAGCCCTTGCACTAGTAGACATAGAAAGCCTTAAACGGCTCAGGGCTGCAATACCGCAAGGATTGCCTCTCTCCATATGAACCTGCCCAAACACAGAGATCATCCTTTGAGGCCCTTCTTTGTGTGACTCCCCCATGAGAGGTCTGGAGGGTGGCAACATGAGAACAGGCCTTTTCTGCAGTGGCTCCCCATCTGTGGAATGCTCTCACCAGAGAGGTTCGGCTGACGCCTTGATTATACAGTGGTACCTCGGGTTAAGAACTTAATTCATTCAGGAGGTCCGTTCTTAACATGAAACTGTTCTTAACCTGAGATACCACTTTAGCTAATAGGGCCTCTTGCTGCCGCTGCACGATTTCTGTTCTCATCCTGAAGCAAAGTTCTTAACTAGAGGTACTATTTCTGGGTTAGCGGAGTTTGTAACCTGAAGTGTCTGTAACCCAAGGTACCACTGTACACCTTTAGGCACCAGGCAAAATGTTCCTCTTTGGCTATTTGACATCCAGTGCCCTTTTAAATGTGTGCGGAGAGGGGTGTTATTGGTTTGTTGTCATATTGTATTATGGTTATTGGTTTGTATTATGTATTTTGTGGTTTTTATATTGTAATTTTATGTTGTGAACCACCCTGCAGATGAAGGATATATACAAATTTTAATAATAATAATAATAATAATAATAATGTTGGATAATTCCCACTGTCTCCTTCACCACATGTGAAGGTATTTAGTACTCCAGTCTGGCCAAGTTATTTTGGAATCTGGGGCAGAAAGTCCCACAAGTTTTTCTCCCTTGGAATACAAATACAGTAGCAATACATTAAATAACTAACAAGTTACTGTCCTTTTATGAAACCCAAAATTCTCTGCCTAACGGCAGGACTGGCTCTGCCCATGATTGTGGGAGAGTTGGGGGGAAATAAGAACCCTGTTCCTACATATCTCTTACAGCCAGGGTTACACAGAGGCAGGGCAGAGGAAAGGACTGCCTCAATAGGTCCAGTTTGGCCCAGGTGGATGCTGTCTGGGTTAAGCCAGGACCACCATTCCAATAGATTTCTATGAAGCAATCTGACAGCACAGAACAGCACAGACTGCCATCAACAAAACTGCAGTACAGTGGTACCTCGGGTTACATATGCTTCAGGTTACAGACTCCACTAACCCAGAAATAGTGCTTCAGGTTAAGAACTTTGCTTCAGGATGAGAACAGAAATCGTGCTCCGGCGGCACGGCAGCAGCAGGAAGCCCCATTAGCTAAAGTGGTGCTTCAGGTTAAGAACAGTTTCAGGTTAAGTACAGACCTCCAGAACGAATTAAGTACTTAACCCGAGGTACCACTGTATAGTAAATTCAGCAGCCACTAGGCCCTTGATCACGTTCAAAAACCTTCTCCTGACAGCAGAGGGACACGGCAAAGGGATGGTATCCATAATATACAATATACTGCTCCAAAATCCCACAAACCCCCTTGATGCAATCAAAAAACAATGGGAACATGACATAGGCTATGAAATAAACCCCACTCAATGGATTAGAATGTGGTCTAAACCTCCCTTTAAACCCATCTCAGCCAAAAGAAGGGAACTCACTCTGAAACTCACCTACATGTGGTACTTAACACCACAGAAATTGGTGCTGATATACCCAGGAACCTCACCAAAATGTTGGAGAGGCTGCACCTCCACAAGCACATACCTTCACATGTGGTGGGAATGCCCCCAAATCCAACCCTTCTGGACAGTAGTCCTACAAGAGATATGCAAAATAACTAAACAGGTATTAGAACTCGCCCCAGAACTGGCCCTACTGAACATCTTCCAAGACCACTCACATTATACAGAGCTTATAACCCCCCTACTCTCAGCAGCCAAAAGCCTCATAGCCAGACACTGGAGAGACCTGTCAGGAGTGAATATGGACCAGTGGTACCAAATTGTATGGGAGACAGCCTTACTAGAAAAGCTAACCAATAAACTGAAACTGACATGGGGACAAATAGAAGAGGACACCTTCACCCCAGTATGGCTCCCCTTTATCACATACACAGCCCAACAAGACAACAAGAAGAACCCACCAGCAGCATACAAATCAATCTGGCTTACCTGAACCAACAAGCCCCACCATCCCAAATGCAAACAAACCCCACTGCAGCCAACCACAGACAACCAACCACACCCTGCCCCCTAAGAACTCTCACTACCAAGGAAATGTAAAAAACGAATAGAAAGAGAACCTACCCAGTTGATGCTGACACAAAACCCCACATGTACACTGTGCAAAAGAATATAAGCCTCTCCACCTCCCCCCTCCTCTCCCCCCTCTTCTTCCCTAACCTTATACTGTACTCAACACTAATGCCTCACAACAAATGTAACTCATTTGTAAGAAAGACTGTACAACCTGAAAAAAAGAGACAAGACATGAACTTTTGTAAACCAAGAAAATCTTTAATAAAAAAATTATCAGAGAAAAAACAAAACTGCAGTATGTCCCAATCTAAACAAGCTTCTCTCTGCCTGCCCCGGATACATCGCTAGTGTCTCTGTTTCTGGGTTCTGTCTTTTTGTCACACTCTGCTGTGACCAAGATATGGAGCCCAGGGTGATGTTGTGCAGATGAAGCAAACTCCCTTTTTGATAGATCCCACTGGATTCTATAGGGCAAAATTAAGAAAAGGTTGCAAACAGCAAGACCTTCTAGTAGGGGCATAACCCACAATAAACCAGGGGTGGTATTCAATTCACTTTTACACAGAGTAGACCCACTAATTCTGAGTAAAAGTATGTCACCAAGGGCAGCGCTCACCACCCCTGCCCTGCTGCCATCATTGTGGTACCACTTGGAACACACTTCTGCCTTCTCCCATAAGAGATGAGTGCCATTCACTTCTATGGAAAACAGGAAAATGCTGAGCTGGGGGGACCCTGGTGGGATGGGGTAAACACTGGCTTCAAGGGGTTGTGCACCAGAAGGGGTGGGGAGAGGAAAACACCCAGGATCCCTGCAATATGCCAGCCTTTTCTCTGCCCCCACTCATCAGAATGACAAGCATTTCACCAGTTAATAACAAGCATCTGGAGACAGAAAAAGTTGCATAAGTCATTTTCCATGTTTTGCTGGTTAGTGATTGATATTTGGGGCACTCACAGGGGCAGGAATGGGTGCAAAAGGACCAAGTGGCTGAGGGCCGAGAGGAGGAAAGTTGCTCTGCCTCCTGGTTCCCCTTTCTTGCCCATGTTGTTGTTGTTGTTGTTGTTTAGTCATTTAGTCATGTCTGACTCTTTGTGACCCCATGGACCAGAGCACGCCAGGCACTCCTATCTTCCGCTGCCACCTGCAGTTTGGTCAAACTCATGTTCGTAGCTTCGAGAACACTATCCAACCATCTAGTCCTCTGTTGTCCGCTTCTCCTTGTGCCCTCCATCTTTCCCAACATCAGGGTCTTTTCCAGGGAGTCTTCTCTTCTCATGAGGAGGCCAAAGTCTTGGAGCCTCAGCTTCAGGATCTGTCCTTCCAGTGAGCACTCAGGGCTGATTTCCTTCAGAATGGAGAGGTTTGATCTTCTTGCAGTCCATGGGACTCTCAAGAGTCTCCCCAGCACCATAATTCAAAAGCATCAATTCTTTGGCGATCAGCCTTCTTTATGGTCCAGCTCTTACTTCCATACATCACTACTGGGAAAACCATAGCTTTAACTATATGGACCTTTGTTGGCAAGGTGATGTCTCTGCTTTTTAAGATGCTGTCTAGGTTTGTCAATGCTTTTCTCCCAAGAAGCAGGCGTCTTTTAATAGATAGCCCCTTTCTTCCCACAAGTCTTTGCCAGCTCAGGCTTTGCACTGTGGGGGGAGGGCATAGGCATAGGCATAGCTAGGAAAATCGATGAAAATACTTAACTAAAAGTAGAGATTGCAAAAAGATTTTGACAGATTTTTCTGGGCACTTGGGGGTCAAAAGAAAGTAACTGAAAACAACTGTTGTTGAGACATTTCATTCTGAATCTGCTTGTGTTCCTGGGCACATGACACACTCAGTGGGCACCACAAGCAATCGTGCTGAGACAATGTTGCCTGAAATCACCCCAATGAATGGCTGTAGCAAAGAGCCATGAGAGAAAAGCCAACTCATTGTGCAGCGCGAAGCTCAAGGCTGCTTCCGTCAGCTGCAGATACAAAGCAACGCCACAAATCAGGAACCGACCAGCTCTTCATCACATAAGATGTGGACTGAGCCAAAGACACCTAGCAGCCTGCGGTACAATTTGGATCCACGTATCTTAGCGTCAATTGGTTTGCTCCATCAAGATCCTTTTAAAGCCGTCCTGGGGCCTGAATGTGGCCCTTCAGGCCTTTGTGTCTGGTCCCCAGAACCCTCTTCACGCCTCCCTCCCAGGGCCACACCTCTCACTGGCCCTGTAGTTTTTTTCCTGGCTGGAATGTGCCCCTGAACTCTGGATAGCTCAGTTGGTCAGAGCATGGCGCTGATAATGCCACGGTTGAAGGTTCGATCCCCGTGTGGGACAGCTGCGTATTCCTGCATTGCAGGGAGTTTGACTAGAATGATCCTCAGGGTCCCTTCCAACTCAGGTTAAAACCAGCACCTTAAACCTGATCCTGTACTCCACCGGGAGCCAGTGCAGCTGGTATAGTACCGGATGAATGTGATCTCGCAGCGAAGACCCCATAAGGAGTCTCGCCGCGGCATTCTGCACCCGCTGGAGTTTCTGGGTCAGTCTCAAGGGCAGCACCACGTAGAGCGAGTTACAATAATCCAGTCTGGAGGTGACCGTCGCGTGGATCACAGTGGCTAGGTCAGGGCGAGAGAGATAAGGGGCCAACTGCTTAGCTTGGCGGAGATGAAAAAATGCCGCCTTTGTTATAGCTGTAATCTGCGCCTCCATAGAGAGGGAGGTATCGAAGATTACACCCAAACTCTTAACGGACGGTGCTGGCACTAATTGCACCCCGCAAGAGATGGGAGTTGCCCCCAATCCCATATCGTCCCGTCCCAGCCAGAGGACCTCTGTCTTGAAGGATTTAACTTCAACCGGCTTCCACGTAACCATCCAGCCACAGCTTCCAAACATCTGGTCAGTGTGTCTGGGGCCGAGTCAGGATGGCCATCCATCAACAGATAGAGTTGGGTGTCATCGGCATACTGATGGCAACCCAGCCCAAAACTCCGGACAAGCTGGGCGGGCGCATAAAGATGTTAAAAGCATCGGGAGAGTATCGCACCCTGAGGCACTCCACACACCAAGGAGTGGCGGGATGACAATTCCCCCCCAAGCGCCACCCTCTGTCCCCGACCGGAGAGAAATGAGCGCAGCCATTGAAGGACTGTGCCCTGGATCCCCACGTCGGCAAGGCGGTGGTCCAGGAGTTCGTGATCAACCATGTCGAAGGCTGCTGACAGGTCTAGAAGAATCAGCAGCCCCGACCCGCCTCGATCCAGCTGCCTGCGGAGATCATCTGTTAGGGCGACCAGAGCCGTCTCGGTCCCATGACCAGCGCGGAGCCAGACTGGAATGGATCCAGAGCCGATGTTTCATCCAGAAACCTACCAAGCTGTTCAGCAACCGCTCTCTCAATCTATGATTCCATGAGCTCAATATTGTTCTGATTGTGCCTCTTAGCCAGTGGCGAAGCGGCGTGCTCCAGCACCGTGGGCAGAGCGCAGGCAGGGGCGTGGCTGGCGTGCGTCCCGGGGGGCATGGCACACATCCTGGGGGCGTGGCACACCGCCTGCAGGGGCGTGGTACCTAGTGCGCTGGGGAGTTCACACGGCGTGTGTCGGGGGGGGCAGCCGCAATGGTACCCCCCTCCCTGGTGGTGCCGGGGGTGGTGCACTCTCCCCACCCCCCCATTCCTCTGCCAGTGCTCTTAGCTTGACTAAATGGAAGCTAGGAAGGAGTGTGTAGGAGTGTGTGTGTGTGTGTGTGTGTGTGAGAGAGAGAGAGAGAGAGAGAGAGAGAATAGAAACTAACCTATTATGCAAAGGCAAAATTTACATTCACTGTCCCACCCACTTTTGCTTCTGGCTCCACCCACCACTGCCCCCCCCCCTCTCTCTCTCTCTCTCACACACACACACACACACACACACTGTTTTCCTCCCACTTCAGGATGGAGGTAGTCAAACTGAGACTGAGTAGGCATCTGCTGTGGCGGATCCTTCTTGGTGGCATCTGTGTGTGTTACTTGGAGTAAGTCACAGTCCATCTGGATGAAGGAGAAGATTGTAAAGCCTTCTTTTCTCCAGACCAATACAAGACTCTTCAGGGGGCCAGGGAAAGTCCTGTGCAATTTGCAAAGCTCCTTCTTCTGCCAACACAGCTGGTTCAATAAATGGTAAAACTTAAGGCTGCCTGACATGATTCTCATTCTTAGATCCACATCCACACGCCCTCCCTTAAGCCAAACATGTTGCTAAACTCCTGGCTTACAGTGCTTCAAGGAAAACTCCATGGGCTTGAGAGAGAGAGAAATACGCCTTATGCTCACTTACTTGGGAGTAAGCCCCACTGAACTCAGAGGGACTTACTTCTGAGTAGACATGTATGTATAGGATTGTGCGGTCAATCAGCAGCATAGATTAAAACATGTATTTTAGTTAATACAAAAACTTATTTAAAAAATAAAATATGTGCCAACCTTTTTAAACATTTGAATGAACCGTTTCCACACAGCTTTAAAATAAATCAGCAGCTTTTTTTCATCCTAGGACAATCTTCACCTTGTTATTTTAAATCATCATCAACTGCAATGAGGTTTTGTTTTTTTGTTTTTTAAAAAAATACTTAAAAGGTATCACTTAGAGTTAAAGAAAAGAGCAACGTTATTTATCCTGGAAAATTCAACAGGCTGAAGCTGTTAAAAAGAAAACAGCTAAAAAAAAAAAGGCAAGAAAGCAAAATAGGCACAGGGGATCGGCTTTTACACTGCAAAAGTCTCTTGCTTTTCCAGACACCAGAATCCAAGTAACCAAATCCCCCTTCAGTTAATTCACTAACTCTGCTGACCTTCTAAAGGTTCCATTATTTCTGTGACTTATAGAAAAATGCACCTCTAAGAAAACAGACTTCAGCTCCTCTGCACATTTTGCAACCCAGACTGCCTCGCCTCTTCTCTCCCCCCCCCCCGCCGCCTGCCCCCTTTCTCAGTAGGGGAGGGGGATGCTAGGGGAGGGCGTGGGGGGAAGCCTTAAATCTTTCCTTCAAATCTCCAAATATATGAAGTCTGAGGAACAAATTCAAAGCAGGCACGGACGCCTGAAGAGAAGTTAGAGGGAGAAATATTCCGTTTCATTCAAGCGCATCAAGGGTCTAGCTGGAGTCTTGTTTGGCTAAGGTCAGACGAGACTGGGCTCTCCAATAAAAATAAATCTCAAATTAATTATGGCCTCAAGCGAGGGGCCAGACGTTTGGAGCTGGTGTGCTGCAGTCTGGTTTTTGGGAATTCGTTTTTTCTTCTTCTTCCTCCTCCTCTTCCTCCTCCCTCCTCCCGCAACCACTTTAAGTTTACAATATTGGAGCGAAATGGGGAAGAGAAAGCGAGGTCTCTTTTACATGTGGCCTTCCAGACGTGTATGGTGGACTCTTGGATCCCTTCAGCCTCAGCCAACATGACCCTCGGCCAGAGATTATGAGAGTCAAGCAACTTCTGGAAGGACACGGACTCCCCATTCCTGGACTGGGGGGGGGCGTGTACCCAAAGAGAAATCCCTTATCTATTCAGAAAGAAAGAAAGGAAGAAAGAAAGAAAGAAAGAAAGAAAGAGCTTGAGATAACAAAACCTAAACTACAGCTCCAGCATGGAGTAAGAAAACTAATGATGTCAGTGTTTCTGAGCATGTGCAAAATTCCTACTTTGTTGGGACCACTGCTTGGCTGAGATATGTGTGCTGCTTTGGGGGGGATTTTTTGTCCTTGTTAATGCTAAAAACCTATGGAGGTTGCTACTCCCCTCCCCGTCACCATGGGAGCCAACTCCTCGGGGGAAACCCCAGCCTCCCCCCATACAATACTTGAGGTGGCTACTCCCCACAAAGTTGATGGGCATTGCCATTGACATGGTGTGAGTGTGCCACACCTTGTGTTTGATTCATAGCTGTCAACGTTTCCCTTTTTTAAAGGGAAATTCCCTTATTCCGAATAGGATTCCTCGCAAAAAAAAGGGAAAAGTTGACAGCTATGGTTTGATTATGTGGAGTGGGGCTTACCTGTCCCCCCCCATATTTTATTCAAGTTGGCACCCCTGCCCCCCCAAAGGAATCTTATGCCTGTTATCCTAGGCATACATCAATTTGCCCAAGGGCTCATTATCATTGCTATACCTGTATTTCCATATTGAGCAGGGTGGGTGGGTGTGGACTTCCCCTGCTGAATATGTGCCTGTTTCATAGCTGTTAAGGAAGAGTTAACAAACAAACAAACAAACAAACAAACAAACAAACAAACAAACAAGGATTACTCTGTCTAGTTGTGCTGAAGACCGCAGTTCAAGCCTTGCCAACTTCAGGCGAAAGCAAGTCCCCAGTCTTTCTGGATGAGGTCCTTAGCTTATGTCACTGCCTTGTTTGTGTGTGTGTGTGTGTGTGTGTGTGCGCGCGCGCGCAAGGTGTGGAATCCTGCCTATGTGAAAGGTAATGAGAGGCTTTCCCTCAATCTGTGAATGAGCCAGGATCTCCCTCTGCTGCTGTCTGTTTGCAGATCCAAGCCAAGTGGAAGAACCTCCAGTTCTTCTGGCAGTCTTGCATCCAGATCCTTCGCTCATCCGGGAGTCGGCTGAAATGTCTAACTGACGTTCACTGCCCCCCACCCCCCATAATGGTTTTAGGGGGACTGGATAGTGCAAGCAATGAATGTAATATATAACTTCTCTCCAAACTCCTTTGATTTCCGCACTGTTGACAGCTACATATTGTAAGCTCCTTGGGGGCGAGCACTTCTCTCTCCCGCTTCTGAAACTGTAAAGCCTCCGGTCCGTTCACAATGCTCTATAATAACCATAATACATGCGAAAGAGGACTCGCTAGGCTTCTTTTTAAGCCAGATCGGATCGGTAAAGGGAGACTTCCTGGAAGCGTGGAGCCCGAAGCAAGTCTCATTCGGATCCACGGGGATTTCTGCCTTACATGCATAGAATTTCAGCCTGGGGAATCAGTACAGATGCACAAAATGTTACTGCAAAAACGATAATTCTATACTATGGCCAGCATTTTGCATAGTTACTTGGGAGCAGATTTCTGCTGCAGTCAATGGAACTTCGTTCCAAAGAATTCGGATCCTGCGCATTTTTGCCACGATGTTCTACGGAGTTCCAAGTAAGAAGGCATAGGATTGCAGCAGGGGGTGTGTGTGTGTCCATGTTCCCAGTGTGTGTGTGATATGGACATAGACACCAGCGAGGTATCAAGGGGATATCTTTCTTGCATAGGTGTCTAGCATAGGGTTCCATCCTAAGCATAGAGTTCATTGTGGATGCAAGAGACAATTCCTGCATCGCAGGGGGCTGGACTAGATGCCCTCTGGGGTGCCTTCCAACTCTACAATTCTATGATTATATGATTCAGTGATGCGGTGTAAGCATTTCTCACCGAATCCGTAGCATAATCGCGTTCTTGTGCAGTCCACGGTTGTCTTAAACGATAAATGGCGTAAGGGGTGGTGGATTCCACTATCCTGATTTGATTGATTGATTGATTGATTGATTGATTGATTGAACGACGGTATTAAATACTGCCCGCCCGTGATCCCATCTTTTCTGGAGCTCCTCTACAGTCAGATCCTATGCAAAGTGAGCCACGCCCAGTCTGGCGTTTGAGAGCCATCCGGAGAGGCGCTGGGGGACTCAGCGCCGGATTGAAAGAGAGAGCCCTTGAGAAAAGAGGCACCCAGCATTCCTAGGCATGCTTACTCGAAAGTAAGTCCCATCGAAATAGATGGCATTTACTTCTAAGTCAGCAAAACGAGTAGGATGGTTTTGCGCTCATTTGAACTGATTTGCGAAGTTTGTTGAACATCTTATTTTAAAATTTCATTGTGATATGCTGCTCCCCCTCCCTCAAAAGTAATATCTTAAAAAAGAGAGAGGAAAACTATCCTGACATTTTAAAAAAAAATGTTTTCAAATATCCCTTGGCATCCCTATTAAGTCGTAAATTTTCAAGGCGGACTCTTGAATAGAGACAAAACAGAAACAAAAGGTCGAATTGAGAGTTTGCAAAAATTGTTTTCCAGTTGCGTGAAGAACGGAAGGCAGCAGCCCGCCCGGGTTCATCTGACGCATCAAGAAAGGCTTGGAAATAGTTCCTTGTCCATTTACCTCCCTCGCTACTATCCCCGTTTACCCGTTTACTTGTCAAGGCGTCGCTGAATGTTCCCGCGGCTGACAAGCGGGAAATGTTAGGGTAATTCGGATCTTTCGCCAGTTTTCAGGCAGATCTCTTGGGCCCACGAGAAGGATGTGGCCTGAAAGTAAGTTTCGTTGAAGTCCACGGGACTTACTTCGGAGTAGACGTGCCTAGCCTGGCTGTGACTGACTGTGCGCAGTGACCTGTCAGCTAGCTCAGGATCTTGCTGCGTCCTCTCTGAGGCGATCCAGCTCCCACTCGGCGGCTTAGATCCCATTGATGTCAATGGGGTTTCAGCAGCCTAACTCTGAGGCTGCGCTTAGCTCCTGATCTTCCTGCAGGTGAGGGAGACTTGCCGAAGGAAGCGGGCAGAAAGAAGGAATTGCTGGAAGTGATCAACCCAAGGAAAAACCGGGATTGGGGGGAACTATCGGCCAATCCCGTCTCTTTGTTGGGTTGGTCACTATATACAGCGATGTATATACATATGTGTGTGTATGTCTAGATATAGATATAGATATAGATATAGATATAGATATAGATATAGATATAGATATAGATATAGATATAGATATAGATATAGATATAGATATAGATATAGATATAGATATAGATAAAGGAGGTGAGAATCTCCTGCGTTCCAACTTTCGTCATCCTTTTACTTGTCAAAGGCACCCCAATTCTTTTCTTGTTGGCTTTGGGGGGCGATAACAGGCGGCCTGATCCCTTCTGGCGTTCCGCTTGTCCACACCCGCGTTTTATTAGAACTTAACTCCGAAAGGAAATTGGTTCAGATCTCGGCTTCCAGTATAAAAGGCGGAGGAGCCCAGATCGCTGGAAGACGAGCCCTTTCGGAGCGCTATCTAGCCCTCTCTTCGCCTCGGATCATTTCCACAAACTTTCTCGATTTCAGATCTTGACATTCACGGCCAGGTTTTAATGGCAGGCGACCTCAGGTCACCTGAAGGTCAGTACATTCGCTTCTCAAGGCGCACAAACACACCAGGCAGCGACCGGGATGGCTTGCTCTTCTCAGTCGACATGGGCACTGCTTAATAATAATAATAATAATAATACAGTGGTACCTCGGGTTAAGAGCTTAATTCGTTCCGAAGGGCCGTTCTTAACATGAAACTGTTCTTAACCTGAAGCACCACTTTAGCTAATGGGGCCTCCCGCTGCTGCTGCGCCGCCGGAGCACGATTTCTGTTCTCATCCTGAAGCAAAGTTCTTAACCTGAAGCACAATTTCTGGGTTAGCGGAGTCTGTAACCTGAAGCGTATGTAACCTGGAGTGTATGTAACCCGAGGTACCACTGTACTACTACTACTAATAATAATCATTGTACCACGCCCATCTGACTCGGTTCCCCCAGCCACTCTGTGCGTCTTCCAACACATATAATCTTCTTGTTGTTCCTCCCGATGCCATTTAGAATTGGACTGCGCTGCTGTGCACATCTACTCGAAAGTAAACTCCCCCGGATCTAATGGTTCTTCTTAGCAAGCACGCATTGGTTCGGGTTGCAAACTTTAAGAAAGCGACATCTGGGTCAGAGGAGGATGGGGGGGGTGGTCTTCCCTTTTCCTCCCTTCTCCCCCACTGGAGTTTGCCATGTCGTGGTGAAGCGGAGGGAGGGAAGTTGTTGGTTAATAGAGACAAGCAGCCGGCCAGACAAGGGTTAAGCCTGGTGCCTTTGCGCGGCCTGCCAGCCAGCCCCCGTGGCCCCGGGCGGAGGGGACCTGACCCCGCTAGCAGCATCCAGATGTGGGCTGCTCTCCGGGGACACCGCGGCAGAGCAGCGCTCGGATTGTAAAAAGGAGACAAGGCGGCGGGGCGGGGGGAGGCGGTGGTCGTGTCCCCAGCCTTAGCCCCCCACCCCAGCAGAGACTGGCTGGCTGGCAAGGCGGGAGCCCCCGACTGGGTGGGGTGAGTGGAGTGGAATGGATGGGGGCTAATTTCTGGAGAAGGGGAGACAGAGGGAGGGGCCAGGGAGGCTTCTCCGCCGCCGAGGAAGTCAAACATCCAACTATCCGGGCGCCGCGCCTCCGCGTGCGCGGCATCCTAAACAAACCTCCCCTTCTGGACGGGAGGGGCAAAAGGGACTTGGGCTTCTGCTTGAGACAGACAGACACACACTGGCTGGACTAACAAAACCGGAAGAGGGGGGAGGAGGAAAGGCTGGACCTTGCATGAGGTAACCATCTTTTGTGGAGGGGGGGCTGTAGAGAGAGATGTTGACAGTGAACTGCTGGGTGGGGGGCTGAGGCTGCGTGTGGGGAAAACTCCTTTTCTGCTCCATTTCCTTGGAAGACAACCCCCACCCCCGCGCGCGTCTTTCCATTCTTCTCTGTTGCACAAGAACGGGGGAAGTATTGGATGTTGGGGCTACTTTGGGAGGGAGAGGGATTTGTTTGAACAGTGCATGGCTTTGAGTGTTTGGGGAGTTTGTCCAGATCATTCTCATATTTATATATATAAATCTCCAACCGTCGCCGCTCGCTAGATGGAAACGCTCCGCCAGACCCTCAAATCCCAGATCCTGCAGGGAATATCCCAGAAAGAAATAAAAAACAAATCGGGCTTTCGTCCGGGTTTGTCTGGGTTCTGCTGGCCGGTCGCGTGATCCTGTATACTTTTACTTGAAAGTAGGTCCCATTGAGTAGAATTGTAGAGTTGGAAGGGACCCCAAGGGTCATCTAGTCCGGTAAGGCGGGACTTCCGTGGGACTGAGCTCCGTTGGGGCTTTACTTCCGAGTAAACCTGCCTAGTCACAGGTTTGGGCTTGGAGAAAAGAGGCAGAGAGGATCGGACTTCTTTTCAATCCTTTTTTTGACACTGGTCCCCTTACCGTCCGCCCTCAGTTTCAGACCTATTCCCACCATCAAAACCGGCTAGGGAGGTCTTCTATGTCCCTTGCACCTAGTCCTAAGCGGGGGGAGTTTGTTTCGTAATAGAAAAACATACTCGAAATTAAGCGTCTCCTTATATATAGATATACTCCATCAATTGCTTGGCCCGCATGTGAATCTGCCCTAAAACTGTCCCAGACCCCCAAACGCAGTAAATTTGGCACAGTCCCGCTCACTTGAAATGAGCAACAACCCTTTACTTCCGAGTAGGCATCATTGGGATGCCGCTGCATCTCAGCTGTCCTGCAACGCAAAAACGGTAAAATGCCGATTGGCTGCAGCGCTGACCAGGATATCACCCGAAAAGGTTGCTCAAGAAGGTCAGTTTGTGGCTCCAGGAACCATTCCGTAGTACAAATGCTGTATTATTGAGAAGAAGGTGCAGAAAATAAAGAACAGGGGTCTACAGAAGGGCTGCAGTCCTAGCTCCGCTTACTTGGGAGTAAACCCTATTTCATTTAATAGGATTTACCTTTGAGTAGACATTGTTAGAGTCGCGTTGAAATGCTGCAATCCTCCGGTCAGGCTGCAATCCGAAACAAATTTACAAAGGAGTAAATCGCACTGAAGCCCATAGGGAAGCACGCTTAGGATCACCCTGTTAACTAGGAGTAAGCTCCATTGAATTCCGTGGTCTTTGAGTAGACAGGCATAGGATGGCACTCTTAGCTTATTAAACTCGGAGGCAAACAATGCTTTATTTTATTTTGAAAATCAAGAAATCTTGTGCCTTTCGGTTACTCGAAGCCAGCGAAAAGGTTCAAGCTCTCACTATACACACATACACGTATACACGTGTCCACCCACGATTGCCTCGCGCCTTACCTTAGTTGCCCTTTTCCTGGCAATAAACGGGAGTTTTGAGTTCCCTGTTAGGAACGGGGGAGGGGAAAAGCCAAACAAAGGAAAAATCCTCCAGAAACCCTTCCATGAAACGCCTGTTGAATATTGACAACCATGTGGTTTTGTCATCTATCCAAAAGAGCACATTGACACATTTAACCGTAAGAAATCAAATCAAATTTGGTAGGCTGGGGCGAACGAGAGCCTTCCCCCATCCGCGATGGGAAAACGCCTTATGAATGATTTATTTATTTTACAAATTGCATGTGAAGGAAAACGAGAATTAATGGCTCAAACTGGGATCCTGCAACGGATCTGTATCCTACTGAATTTCCGGATAAATAGAGCCAGGATCGCACCGTCGGGCACCTTTAAATAGATCTGTATGGAGAGCTGGGGGGGGTGAAATCCCCCCCAGATGTCCGGGAGAGGAGAGCCGAGTGGGGGCTCCTTGCCTCTCCAGACCAGCCAGCCAAAATCCTGCAGCAGCCGGAGGGAGCGCCCCGAGTCCTGAAGCGAGCTCCGGGGTCTCGCTCCTTATCTAACCCCAGCAAATATCCTGCTAGCTTTAAAAAACAACAAAACAAGTTCTCCTCCTCTTCGGATCCAGCAGGGCCGGCCCAGGCGCGGCGGGGAGCGAAGTTTCCTCCTCGAGTGACTTCACTTCCCAAAGTGAGCTGGGGAAAAAAGTTTCATCCGGTTAACTGTCGCTCTTTCGCTTTGCGGCGAGAGGAGAAGCGGAGGAGGAGGCAGGCCGTGCGGGCGGGCGCGGAACAGAGTCGGGGCTAAAGCGGGCGGCGTAGCGCGGTCGCGGAGCTCAACCGGGTCAATGTGCGGACTCCCGGGACGCCGGACTGGGAAGCGCGCTCGATGGACGGGACCATTAAGGTAAGGGGGGGGGGAGAAACTGGGGGAACCAGGACGGATGAAGAAGTGGATGGATGGATACGGGGAGAGAGGATCACAGGGAGCAGGCGTTGAGGGGCAGAATTGTGAAGAGGGCTGCTGTGGCTATTTCCGAAGGGGGAGGTCCAGAAAGGGTTAAAACCCGGCCGGCGAGCGAGAAGCACCCCCTCCTGCCCATTCTCCTCTCCTTGCTACTTGGCTTGCGCGGCGCCGGCTGCGATCCTACGCAAAGGGCGCAAGCGGCGCGCGGCAGAGCGCAAGTCTGAGCTGCTTGCCTTCCCTCCAGCTTAGTCTCCCCCTCGGCTGGGGAATCGGGGTTGGCAGCATCTGGTGGGATCTTGGGGGCTAGTCTTGCGCGTTTCCTCCCTTCTCCCCATGCACACGTTGGAACGGGCAGAGCTGGCGGGAGGGCGAGAAGCGCTGGACCCGGCAGCTCCGGGCTAGAGGAGCTGCTCGGGTCGGGGATGCTTTTGCAGAAGGACTGCAGTGTGCGCAACGAAATCCAGGTCCAGGGTAATCGGGATCGGTGCGGCGTCAGGATCTCCGGTTCCCCTCCCTCTGTGTTTTGCAATCCCCCCACCCCCACAATTTTCAGGGCAACTTCTACCCGCGAAGCGCGTGCCGTCGATTGGGCGCTGCTATTCGCCTGCCTGGCTCCACGCGCGCCCTTCCCACGGCGGGGGCGCCACTGTTCGGGGTTTCTTTGGATTGCTGCGACCGGGGTGGAGTGTCTGAATGTCCCGAGCCCGGCCACTCGGTCGCTAGGACTGGGGCAGTCCCCTTTCAAGGCATGGGCACGGTTGATCCTCGGGCTCGTCTGAACACGCGCCGCTCGACAGAAAAAACAACAACGCCACACGCGGGGCAAAGGGGCTCCCTTCCTCCACCCCCAGCTCCATTACGGACCTGCTTAATTTCTTGGTCGCCTTTCAGAGGAAGAAAGAGGCGGGGAAGGGATCTTTTAAAGCTTCCGTGTGTCGGGCGGGACTTCGTTGCGAGGCGCACGAGTTGGATCTGGGTCCCGGGGGGAAAGGGAGCTGGCCCGGAGGGTGCTCTCCCCCACCAAACGTATCTGCCTGTTTTTGGAGATTCGTCGTTGCTGTTGTCGGAATCATAGAAATGCAGATTGGGAAGGGACCCACAGGGTCATCTAGTCCAACCCACTGCAATGCAGGAAAGTTGTTTTGTGTTGTTGTTTTGACGGCTTCGCCAGCAGCCCCTGAAACGGATCCGAGGAGGCGAATGTGCGCAGGAACGCGGCGGGCGGGCGGAGAAACAGCCATAGCGGCTTCTTTGCCTGGGCGGGGCGGCGGCGGCAGCAGCTTCCCTTCCTCTCCTCCCTCCCTCCCTCTCCCGCACCCGCCTCGCCCGCAAGTGATCTCTTGCGGAATCTGCCAGATTCCTCGTAGTGAGTAACAAGTGCAGCATCCCACCCTGCAGGGAGGGTGGAAGGGAGGGGGGAAGGAGCCGGCGACGTCTTGATGACCTGGCAAGGAGGCTGCCGCTGCTGCCGCTACCACGAAGCATTCAGCTATTTTGCGTCCTAACTACCAACTCCTGGAGAGAAAAAACATCAGTTTCTCCTTCAGCCTCCCAGGCACTGACTGAAGCCAACTACTGCAAATCCTCCTTCTCTCTCTCTCGCGGACAGAAACACTCCGGAGTAAAACCAGGAGAAGGCAACAGGGCTCTGGGAATTATTTATTTGGGCTTTCAAGGTTTTCCCTACCTAGAAGTGAATTTGAGCCCTGGTCCTGGGTGGGAGATGTAGATCGGCAACATCTGGAGGGCCAGAGGTTCCCTGCCCTTGCCCTATAGCGAAGTGGTAGAGCCCTGAGGCTGCCGGTAGAGGATGGCAATTTTTTGAATGGAAAGGAAACCCCTCCCTGTATTCAGCAACACATCATTGATGTAATGCCAGGGCCTCTGTGGTGGATTTATACTAGATCATTCATACATCATTCTGCTTTGCTAGTTGTTCTGTGTCGCACAGATACAGCAAAGGTGCCATTATTGTAGCTGCTTGGGGAGTCTTTTTATAGTTCACTAATAATAATAACAATAATAATAATGGGAATCGGTAAGAGGGAAAGGAACAAGGAACAGTTCTGTGAATGGTTCAAAAGCTTGCTTTTGTATCCCTTCCCAGCTGAACTGCCAAAAAGCAGCATGCATTTACAAGTATTTGCTGTTCTTGCTGCTAAAAATCTCTGTAATAACTTCTGTGCAACATGAAATATGGGGGAGCACCTACTCCCTTATGACTTTTCCCAGCAACACTCTTAAGAGCTATGTTTTGTGTTGTCTGGGCCAAAATTGGATACTTGTATAATAGGCCTTAGTATTGTTTCGATAGGCTTGAACTCCGTGTGTAGCTTTACGGGACCTAATGTGTAAATCAGCCAGTGAGGTGTAATGGTTGGACAGACGGACTATGACCTGGGAGACTAGAGTTCAAATCACTGGGTGACCTTAGGGCTAATCACAATCTCTCTGCCTGACCTAACTTGCAGGCTTGTTGTGGGGATTAATTGAGGAGGGGTAGAACCATGTCCACCACCTTGAGCTCATTGAAGAAAAAGTGTGGGATAGAAATGCAGTAAATAAATAAAGCTTCCTAGATGCTGCTGGATTCCAGTTGCTGGTGTCTCTGATGGTTGGACAGGTTTTTTTGGAGCCAGGAGTCTAACAACAGTTAAAGTGAGGAGCGGGGGGGGGGGACGGACAGCGGAGATCTTTGGCCCTCCAGCTGTTGCTGAACTACCCCTCCCATCAACCCCAGCCAGCCTGGACTCTTGGCTGATAGGAAGTGTCATTTGGCAAACATCTGGAGGGCCACAAGTTGCCCAATCCATGATGTAAAGGACAGTTTACGTTTTGGATTCAGGGCAGTGTGACAGGTTCCCCCGCACTGGTGCCGCACCATAGTGCATTCTGCAGAATGGAAGGCAAGAGGTGATGGGGGGGGCACGGAATTTTGGCTTTGGACAGGGGGGCGCAGCCAGGGCCGGATTTTGGTTTGATGAGGCCCTAAGCTACTGAAGGTAATGGGGCCCTTTATATGGCAGATGGGGCCCTTTACTTATATCATAGGAGCCTACACAACACAAAACAAAACAAAACAAAACAAAACACTGTTGCTGTATGTAGGTTTTATTTTATTTGTTTTTTATCTTATATTTTGGAAATGTACATCCAGGTTTTTTTCCCTTTAAATTTTTTGGGGCCCCGCAAGAGAGTGGGGCCCTAAGCTATAGCTTGTTTAGCTTATACGTAAAACCGGCACTGGGTGCAGCTGGAATTTGAAAGGCGAAAGCCCACCCTTGTCATTACTGCCCCGGCTGCTGTGGGAAAAGGCTTTTTCCTGTGTTAGCCACCCGCAAGAGGAGCAGGTGGTGGGAATGAAATGTATGTGCTGTAACTAGTACTTTTTTCCAGGGGGTACTCAGGGTATGTAGTACTGGCAGCTCCCCCCCCCTGAAGAAAAACACTGGTTAAAAGTGTGGCGCTTACTGTAACATCTTCGTGGTGAGAACTGGCACCTTTCTTTCTTGAAGAAAAGCACCAGCTGTAACCATGTGCATCCATGTAAATGGAAGTGGTGCATTCTGGTTGGCATTATCTGCCCTTATAGCGAAATGCAGTTTGTATTTAAACAGTTCAGTGTTGCTCCCAGCAAGGCAGGTGGGGGAGTTGGAGGCGCTGGTCCCAGCAGCTGACATGCAATGTATCCAGGAGCCCTGGGTAAAATGGCAAAATATTAATCTCGCTAGGTCTGCAGAACTGCAGAATCAGGAGGCAACCCAACACCCGAGTTTTTGCTCCTGCATGATGTTGGGCATCAGAGCTCATCTGTACCAGCCAGCCTGGACAACGGTTAGGGGAACATGGAAGTTGCAATCCAACGTTGTCTGGAGGGTCCCACATTCCCCATCCCTGCTATATGTACATGAGCGGCCACATTCTTCTCCCTTTTCCAAATTCAAGTGCATCTAAAAAGGGAAGAAACGTAAGCTGCATTAGCAGAATGCTCGCCAGAAGGTGGAGGGAATGGATTTGGAAATGTGGACATAAATATGAGCTGTGGGTGAGCGTTGGTGGTTGTTTGCCTTTGTTACAGTGGCAGCTGGTGCCCATAGGGTACTGGTAGGGTGAAAGGCAGGGAGCCCAACAGTAGGGGACACCAGAGCCAATGACTGGCAGGGTCAACTAAGTCTGCTTTGGCTCAAATCCTTCTCTCTGCTGAGTTATACAAGGGCAATACTGAAGAGGAGGAAGTTGATAGGCAGGGCCACCTGCTGGACTGGCTGTCAGTAGGAAGGCCAGGATGGAGGCGCTTGGAGGAAGACCAAGGTTAGGGTTGCCATATGTATGGATTTTCCTGGATGTATCCAAAATACTGCAGTCAGCAGCAGTATCCGGGCAGAAATCAGGAAAATGTCCTGGAAAATCTGGGCGTATGGCAGCCCATGTCAGCAGTTCCGTTTTTGCCATTTCCCTATAAAAATAGCTCAAAAACGGCATTTTAATGCAATTTTGCGGGGGAAAAGCTCAACCACCTTTCTGTCTGGATTTCCACTGTTTTTGAAATATAGCAACCCTAACCAAGGTTGATGGGGCAGTGCTCCATTTTCCCTAATGGGTCAGGTTCCACTGCTGCCTTTGGATATACTTGTTCACCCTTGCCCCTTTGCTCCATAAGCAAGCATGGCAATTTGTGCCCTTGATTGCCAATCATGCAGGTTTCCTCAGCCTAGCTCCCTTTGGACCACAACGTGCCTCATCCCTGAGTGCTTGTCATGCTACCTGGGGCTGATGTGTTCCAACAACCCCTGGAGGGAACCGGGTTGGCGAAGGCTGATCTGGCATCTGCTAATGTTCTGGCTCTCAAGACAGAGGCATAGGTTGGGGAGAGGGCAAAATGTCTTGTGTCTGCATTCTGTTGGCTTCTCTCTCCTGGCAAACAGGCCTGGAAGATGGCATGGGTGTGTTTGAGCCCCTTCAAACATGCAGTTCCTATCAGTGTTAATCTTATTATTCACCCCTTTCGGTGTCCAAGGCAAGAAACAATCCTGTCCAAATCATCACATCTGTGTACTTATTTGAGGAACGCTGGACATTTCTTCTTCTGGAAGAATCTGGGACTGCAAAACAGCACCGAGATGACCTTTACATTGCTTTAAATTTAAATTGCTTTTAATGTTGTGTTTTAATTACATGACCTGCCCTGGGACTGTAAGGAGGGCAATAAATAAATAAATTAGGAGGAAACCCAGTTTGGTCCTTTGCCAGTTGGCCAAGCCAGAGAGGCTAGTGGAGTGAGAAAGCTTTCCAAGTGGAATGACTGCTTCTGGGCCACCGGGAGATGGGTGCAGCGCAAGACGGTCCCCTTCCAGGCAGGAGGCTACTCTCGATGCACCTGGCAACATCCTAACGGTAACGGGCATTTTTCTGCAGCTGCGGCTCCTCTTTGCAAAGTTGGTTTGCCGCAACATAACAGATGGAGGAGGGAAGATCTGTGAAAGGACAGGGAAGGAACCCTTGAGCGTAGCCTGCAAGGGAAAGAGCAGTTGCCCGCAAGGCTGGGTAATTTGTCCAACCTCAGAGCCAGAGCTCTGTGCGCTTCCTGAGAGTCTGTGCCTATTTCTGTCCTCTGAAACATGCAACCGACATACACCGTCTGCCTGCCTGTCATTTAGAACAGGGGCTGGCCCTTTTCTTTTAAAAAAAGGTTGTCAGTGGTCAACTCTTAACCCGCGTGATACGCTGGCTGTGTTTTTAAATGTGCTTCTTTGGGATCTCTTAAAGGACAGCCAAATCTGTGATGTAGAGTGATCCTGTATATGTTTTTAGCAGGTGTCAAAAAGAGGACCCTGAAGGCACCTGCTTGATCTCAACAGGCAGGGAGTTCCAAAGTGCAGGTGCTGCCATACTAAATGACCGAGTTATTACAAATGCCGAGAGGCTATTATGTGGCAAGTGTATTAGTGCCAATTCCATCAATTGAAGCAGTCAAGTGGGCACATGTGGGGTAAGGCGATCTCATAGGGAAAGTGATCCCAGGTTGTTAAGGGCTTTATATACTATTAGCAACACCTGGAACCTGGCACAGTAGCAAACCAGCAAACAGTGCAGGTCTCTGAGCTGGAAAGGAAAGTTTAAAACAAACAGCAGCAGACTACTGTGGATGGGCTAGACTGTGGCACAGTGGGTCAGTGCATCTGGCTGTTTACCAGAAGGTTGGTGGTTCGAGCCCACCCAGGCATTAATCTTGGGCAGGATTGCTGCATTGCAGCGGGCTGGACTAGATAATAATAATAATAATTTATAATTTATACCCTGCCCATCTGGCTGGGTTTTCCCAGTCACTCTGGGTGGCTTCCAACAGAATATTAAAATACAATAATCTATTAAACATTAAAGCTTCCCTAAACAGGGCTGACCTGTGGGTCCCTTCTAACTCCACAGTTCTATGAATTGCTTGAACAGGCCTGGCAGAATAGAAACATTTTTAGCAGGCCTTTAAAAGTTGGCACAGAAGTCGCCCACTGGATCTCTGTCCGCAGAGTGTGTGTCTCTTTCACTGGCATCCTATGGGGGTCACTAGGGCCAATAATACCTCCCCCTCCCCGTGTTTTCTTCTGGTTGTCACAATTATTTCATTCTTCAGAACAGGTGGGGGCAGCTTTCAGACTTGTCGGATGTCCTTTGTTTCTTTGTTTTTATTGGAACCAGATTTCCCAAGCATAGCCAGGTGCTAAGTAAATAAGAAAAAAAAATATAATAAAAAAGAAAATGTGTTTTTTTTTGGGGGGGGGAATCAAATAACATGGTACATCTGAGCACTTTTTGAGCCTAAGGATTTGTTTCTAGTATCAGTACTGAACTCTCACAAAAAGCCATGCCTGATTAGGTTGCTTCATCTCAACAGACGTATCTAGATTGGGAAAGGAGGTTATTTCGTTGTTGTGGTTGCTGCTGCTGTGGTTAAAACGATTTGCCAAGGTGTGTTGCACATCCCCTTTCTGTTCTCTGCTTTAGAGGGTTGCTAGCGATGCACTTCGTAGAACTGAAGAATTGCAGAGTTTGAAGGGCCATCTAGTCCAACCCCCTGAAATGCCGGAATCACAGCTGATTTCCGTCATTTCCAGCCAGACAGTGATGCCCTTTCCCAAGACTCCATTCCATCCCTCCTCCTCACCTTCCTCTTCCCACCGCAACATTCTGTGCCCACTGGGCATGCTCAGTCTTCGCCAAGCTCTTTGGTGTTTCAATTCCTGCATTACAGTCTCCCTGTCCCCCTTTGAAGATATTCTGTAATACTGCAAGCCTTTGAATTTTCCCAAGCCTGTTGATATCTCCCACTTCTGTGAGGATGGTGCCATTTTGGTTACATAAAAACTGAGTTCACTGTTGGTGTGTAAGGTGCTGGGGGCAGCCTCCTTTGTGAATGGAGCATTTATTATTAAATTGACCCATTTTTCACATCAAACAAGCAGTTTTCTCCCCCCATGGAAAGAGCCCAACATGCCTCTTTGAATGTTCACCTGTGCCCAAGGCAAATGGAATACAAAGGTGTTTGGTTGCTTTCCTAACCCAATAGTGGTAAAATTGCAAATATCTGCCTGAGGATTGAAGATGTGTTCTCGCACCTGTAAGCCATCTTAGGCTGCCACTGTTGGAAAACATCAGCCTCTGGCTGTATCATTGATAGTTCTTGAGTGCATCGTAAATTAATTTTACGTGCAAAGGAAAAGTGAACTGCAGTCAAGAAATGGTTGGCTGCCTTTCAGGGATTCACAGCTTCCTCTCTGATGTTTCCCGTTTTCCTCCATAACCTCTTAAGAAGCACCATAACCTCAGAAAATTGCTTAAATATGTGACACACATTGTTGCATGGTTGGGTGGGGGAAATGGTTGGCATGTGTCATTTTTGGATCTAACACCACTAGAGTTTTATACAGTTTGGTGGAGCTCCAGAAATTGGGGTCATAGAAAAGAGTGTTGAGTTAGACCAACTGGTGTCCAATTGGTGGTGGGACTGGACACCAGGAAGCCTTAGGTATGGCTCCTAGACTGGGCACCATTAATGGTAGCAGTAAGCAGAAAGGCTCAGAGTCACCAGCTTCCCTGGGATTCTCCTCTTTGGCTTTCCCCAGATGGTCCATATTCAAGTGCAGACCCAAAATTTAGGTTTGCACAGTTAAAGTGGGTGAAAGTGCACAAATTTAGAAAATCCAGACTTTTGTGGTTGGGAAAATGACAGGGAGATGCATGGGAAAGTGTGGGAGATGGATGGATGATTGACAGGAAGATGTACCAAACACTCGGCAAGCGAATCAAGGTGAAAGCTCATTGCCGTATAATCTCCCTTTAAGCATATTGGAATGAATGCTCAGTAAAGCCCAGAAATGGTCTGATCTCTGCCTAGGCAAAGCAGGTTGTTTGGAAAATTAAGAAGCCTTTTGGAATTAGAAAGTCAAATCAATCAGACTGGGCAATATCAAAGCAAGACACACTTTGCTAAAAGAATAGATGAAAAGAGAGTTCTACGTGAAAGTACATGTGTTAGGTGATGTTCTTGAATGTTGCAGACAGATCACCTCCTTCCAGAATGTGGCGTGCTAGAGGCACATGATATCAATGGTATCCAATGCTCAACATAGCCATATTTTTTTGTTGTAGTGAATGGATTATCTGTATAAGTTTGTCCACAAGAGAGAACCTCCATATTCTCTAATACCGTTGAGAAACTGATAAGTGATTCTGTATTTTTACAGTGCTTAGAAATCGTGAGTCTGGCTGCTAATAAGTCAAATGTGATCAAGTCTCGATAAGAATAATCTTCCTTGTCAGACATGCCTAGAAGTGCTAAGTACGCATAGATCTCAATTCATGATCAATTATCAGTTATAGTTCTCTGAAGATATTTCCACACTACCCAGTAAGGTTATACTTGGACACATGACTTAAAAGAGCACCCACATTCCCACAGCCTCTCCTGTAAGTGTGTGTTATATCAAACCTATAAAGTTTTATAGGAGCCAAGTGCCATCTAGGCATCAGCTTTGAAGTCTCACTTCAACAGAAATAGAAGGAAACATAAGTTTGTTCCACACCGCAATCAAATTTATTTAATAAGTAAATAAACATTTGTGCCATAAACAAACATAGAACCAAACTGCAAAAGGGCTGTAGTTGCCTGGTTGTCTGTGAAATTGTTCTATTTGAAAAAATGAAACCATGTTAACCTAAATTCATCAACTTCACCTGCTAAGAGCTCAAATGTTAACCTACCTGCTAACCTAGATAAGAAATTGGTGGCTTTGGATGAGTCATACCTTTCCCAGAGGCTGGTGAATGTTGTCACGCTAAGCCTCCCCAAGTCAAGAACTGTTTTTTGGAGAACCCAATGGAGCTGAACAATGGAGAATCTGTGGCCCTGCAAAGGTTGTTGAACTACAACTCCCATCAGCCCCAGCTGACATGGCTAAAGACCAGGAACATGATAACTGTATTTAACAGCATCTAGAGGGTTTGCAGGTTCCTCACCTGTGGCATGCTTTAAGATCCCAAAGGGTAGGTGAGGATTCTGAAGCCAGAACCGTCAACCCAACTGGTGCCATTGGTGTGATAATGATGTCTGCAAGGGGAACGGGTTGCCACCGACAGTCTTGCCTTGTGATGCTTCAGGACATACCAACTGGCATGGGAGATGTTATGGAGACACCTCCAGTTGCTTTGCTTGTGCCTCTGCATTTGGTCATCCAGTGATTCTCCTGGACATGGGAGCCCTGGGATAGCTCAGTTGGTAGAGCATGAGACTCTTCATCTCAGGGTTGTGGGTTTGAGTCCCATGTTGGGCAAAAGAGTCCTGCATTGCAGGGGGTTGGACTAGATAGATGACCCTCTGGGTCCCTTCCAACTCTAGGATTCTATGTGCTGAAGGCAATAGGTTGTGTGAGCCATGCTCTCCCTGTGTTGTTCTGTTTGCAGATGATAATAATAATAATACTTTATTATTTATACCCCGCCCATCTGGCTGGGTCACCCCAGCCACCCTGGGCAGCTTCCAACAACGTATTAAAATACAGTGGTCTGTTAGACATTAAAAGCTTCCCTAAACAGGGCTGCCTTCAGATGTCTTCTAAAAGTCTGGTAGTTGTTCTTCTCTTTGACATCTGGTGAGTGCCGCCTCTGAGAAGGCCCTCTGCCTGGTTCCCTGTAACTTGGCTTCTTGCAGTGAGGGAACCACCAAAAGGCCCTCGACACTGGACCTCAGTGTCCAGGCTGAATGATGGGGGTGGAGACGCTCCTTCAGGTATACTGGACCAAGGCCGTTTAAGGCTTTAAAGGTCAGCACCAACACTTTGAATTGTGGTCGGAAACGTACTGGGCTCAGATAGGCTCAGATCTTCTCTCTCTCCAGAGGTGGGAGGATGGCACTCTTTATGTCTTCCCCACAAATTGTTTTTTGCCTCTCACTCATCCCACCAGCAGTGGTGAGGATAGTCAACAGGCAGGTGGCAGGCTAAGCCCAATCTCCCCTGTCTTGGGTCTGGGGTCCAGTGCTTGCTCAACAAACGATCTTTGGGTTGCATTTAATGCGGCAACTTGGTTGTTCTCTGCACAAATTTAAAATCTTTCTGCTGCAACTCCTCTGTCCAGGTTTGATTGACTTATAACTGCATCCAAACCCACTTCGCTTCAGTTCTTTTTATCAGGCTGAGAGAGGCTTCCTGCGCTCCACAGCCTGGCTTCCTGATGCGTTTCCTTTTTCCCTTTTAACAGAACAAAGGAAGCTATAACTCTCAGCTGCTCCTGTTCCAGCTCTCCTGGGGAACCTCACATAATGTTTGCATTGAACATTGCCTTCTTTCTTTCTTTCTTTCTTTCTTTCTTTCTTTCTTTCTTTCTTTCTTTCTTTCTCTCTCTCTCTCTCTCTCTCTCTCTCTCTCTCTCTCTCTCGGTAAAGCATGCATTGTCTGAATACCGGCCAGTATGTTTTTCATTTCACATACTGTTTTCAACAGTTTCTTTTTAAAAAGTGCTTTAATTGTGGAATGGATTGACCATGTCAGCCTGAAAGCTCTTTACCTCTAGGGTAAAAAAAGGGGTAGCTGGGTCAACTTTAAAGGGTCAAGCTTCTAGGTGAGAGATTTTTCAAGAGGTTCCTTTTGCCGAGCTAGAGGGCTATGCCTCTATCTTCTTAGGGATGCATTGGATCCGTCTGTTTTCAATCTGTGTTAATTTTGCATGTCTTCGTTCATAACTCCATTCCATCCTGTTTCCCTAGCAACCTGATTTTTTTAAAGGGGAAAAAATGCATGAAACTTCACATTATTTTTGAATCTTTTTGCATGAAATACGCATTGTTGTAGGCAATTTACCCCCAGAAATGTAATTCTTGCTGTTATAGGCACACACAATTTCTATATGCATATTGGTACAATTTTTTTTATTGCAAAATTCAAAACAGTGTGTAAACCAAAGGATAAGTTGTACTCTGATACAGGGGATAACCCATGAAGTGCAAGCTGAGCCAGTTTGCTTAAAAAGGTTGACCAAAGAAAACTCTCCAGTATCTGCTCTCATCCATCCTCTGTATCCCTTGTTTCGGAAATTTAGATGCTGCAGGAGACACATGTGGGAATCTCAAATCTGCTGCCCTCAGTGCAGGCTCAAGAACCTAACACATCATCACAGATCCTGGGAGAGTGTTAATCTATATGCATATTCCACACAGTGGAGATGGATAGTGAACCAATAGGAATTCATCTTGCAAACTCCCTTAGGCAGGGTTTGGGGCTTTTTAGAGAAAAGAAAAGTAAGAGGTAACATGAAAGATGTTCATTAAACTAAGGAACTTGCTGCCACGGAAGGCAGTAATGACCACCAATCTGGATGGCTTTAGAAGAGAATTAGACAAATTCACGGAGAAGAGGGCTATTAATGGCTGTGCTCTGCCTCCACAGTCAGAGGCAGTGATGCTCCTGAATACAGTGGTACCTCGGGTTAAGAACTTAATTCGTTCTGGAGGTCCATTGTTAACCTGAAACTGTTCTTAACCTGAGGTACCACTTTAGCTAATGGGGCCTCCTGCTGCTGCCGCTGCCCGATTTCTGTTCTCATCCTGAAGCAAAGTTCTTAACCTGAGGTACTATTTCTGGCTTAGCAGAGTCTGTAACCTGAAACGTCTGTAACCTGAAGTGTCTGTAACTCAAGAAACACCAGTTTCTGGAAACAACAGGAGAGGAAAGGACTCTTGTGATCTAATCCTGCTTGTGGGTTTCCCACAGGCTTCTGGGTGGCCACTGTGAGAACAGGATGCTGGACTAGATGGGCCATTGGCCTGATCCAGCAGGCTCTTCTCATTATGTCCTTCAGCCTGGTGCCGTGCTGATGTTTTGGACTACAACTCCCATCAGTTGTAGGTGGGACCTGTAATTCAAAACATCTGGGTGGGTGTGGCTGGCAAAGGATGCCAGAAACACATTCAGCACTTCTTGTTTATTGGGGACAACCCCTATATTTTGGTGCCTTCCCCTAGAAAATCCCTGTCTCCATTGTGCTTCCTATTTTTGCCTTTTTGGAGGATGCAGTCTTGAAACGATGTTAAGTGTTAGTTGCTAGATTTGGGTTGTTCTCCAGATTCAGTTCAGCTTCCTTCCCAGAAGCACAAACAGTCAGATCTTCTGAGTTGGCAGGTGAATACAGTATACCTCCAACACACATCCATGAAAATTTTAACAACATTCCTCCCCCCCCCCCAATTTGTAGAGAAATTATTTGGATTCAAAGCACAGGGTGGCTTGTTGCAGTTACCTCCTTTGAACTTGGATAGGTGTCGATCCCCTGATGTCATTGGGCCGGTTGATCAGCCTGCCAAAGTTGGCCCATGGAGGGATGGGGGATTGAGGGATCCTGCCTGGTGTCTCACCTCCTGTGGCTTCCAGGAACTGATATTCGGAAGCATTGTTGCCAACGACTGGGGAGACCGAGCCAAGCCTCCATGGTTGGTAGCCATCAATAGCCATCAACGGTACGCAACTGTACCAACCGAATCCAGGTTTCCTTGGTGGTGGGTGAAGACAGCTCATCAGAATCCACGGTAAAGTTCTGAAGCTTTTGAGCAGGACATAAGTAGAACATTAGCTGTGTGCCTGAGGGTCATGTGAGTCGACCCCACAGATGAGAACTAATTAGTCTGACTATATATATGTATAGGCTCCCTTTTATGCAAATGATGCTTAGAGACTGGATTGTCTTCAGTGCTCATCTTCGCTGAATGCCAATCGGACACCTGGGTTAGCACCTGGCAAGACAGCAAAGATGCAAATAAGCCCTGGAAATCTGAGCTTGATCAGCCGAGGCCATAATGAAGGCTAATAGACATGACAACAATGCTTCTGAATGGCTTTCCCTTTAGACGGGGCCAGGCGTGGATATTGACTCAATTGCATTAATTAACAAGTCAGAATGGAAAAGGCAGCATTGCTCCCCTGCGCATTAAACAAAACAAAAGAAAGAATTCTCAGTGCTTTCTTTCTTGTGTGTGTGGTTTCTTGTTTTTGTTTTTTTGGTTGCTGCTTGGTTTCCTTTCTTTTTAAATAAATGAATGGGGAGGGAGAGCTTTTATTATTTGTGCAAGCAATGTGCTCCAGGGACTCTGATGTGTTCCGCAGATAGGTGGTGGTGTGTGTGTGAGTGAGAGAGAGAGAGAGAGGAATTTTGTTGCTGAAAGCTTAAATTGCAGAAAAATGATTTCCGCTTATTCATAGCAGCAACAGGCTGGAGATGTTTTTCCAGATTGTGGCTTTCAAGTATGCATTTATGGGAGTCTATGGGGCACCCAGGGACTCAACAGTGCCACTAAAATTTGCAAGGGAAATGGAGGAGTGAGTTAAGATAATATGATGGTCCCTGGATTTTTTGTTGCAGTACTTTGCAAATATGTCAGCATTGCTTCACCATGTGACATTATGAAGCACATAATGTGATATATCACATGATGTGATATGATGAAGCACCATGTACACCGATAGTACTATTTAATAAGTATCGTAAACTGATCCTGGGGATATTGCCTGCCAAACTCAATGGCTTCAAAAGAGGATTAGACAAATTCATGGAGGAGAGGGCTATTGATGGCTACTATACTAGGGACGCAGGTGGTGCTGTGAGTTAAACCACAGAGCCTAGAACTTGCCAATCAGAAGGCTGGCAGTTCACATCCCCGCGACGGGGTGAGCTCCCATTGCTCGGTCCCTGCTCCTGCCAACCCAGCAGTTCAAAAGCACGTCAAAGTGCAAGTAGATAAATAGGTACAGCTCCAGCAGGAAGGTAAACAGCGTTTCCGTGTGCTGCTCTGGTTCACCAGAAGTAGCTTAGTCATGCTGGCCACATGACCCGGAAGCTGTACGCCGGCTCCCTCGGCCAATAAAGCGAGATGAGCGCCACAACCCCAGTCGGCCACGACTGGACCTCATGGTCAGGGTCCCTTTACCTTTTTAGCCATCATAAACTATGCTTTGCCTGCACAGCTGGCTGTAGCAAAGCTTTTGAATCCCAGTTTCTGGAAGCCAAAGGAGGAGAGAGGGTGCTTGGGCTCAGATCCCACTTGTGGGTTTCTCACAGGCATCTGTTTGGCTGCTGTGAGGACAAGATAATGGACTAGATGGGCCGTTGCCCTGATCCAGCAGGTTCTGATGTCCAAAGGAGCACATGATGTCTCTTCACATTCACATATTACGGTACTTGTCTCTGCTGGAAGTGCAGCAGCACGGGTCATTGAAACTTAAGGGTTAGGCCAGGTACAGGGGATGCTTAGCAACCAAGCAGAGTGGCATGATTTTCATAGGGGGAAGAAGGTGCCCTGATTGACTGTGTAGTCCTGAGGGTTCTTTTCCTCTGTGTGTTTGGTTGAATGTCTCCCTCAAATGTTTCTCCTTCAGTTATCTGCTGTTTTTGTTCAGTTGGCTTAGTTAAGCGTTACCAGGACGTTTCCCTCTGGACTCCGTTGGTGTTCTTTAAGTGACTTTGCAAACAGTCTCTTCCTCTCATGCTTCTTTTGCTTATTTTCATGAGTTCCCTTCCTTTTTCTGTCTAGAAATCTAGAAATTCTGGTGGTGTCAGCAGAAAGCTCCCCTCCCCTCCCCATCCCTTGAGTTCTGCTTCCATTTTTGAGTTGTGATTCATAAATTTAGCAGAATCATACAATAAAGCTTTCCCTGGAATGCATATGAGGAAATCACATACACTGGTACCTCAGGTTAAGAACTTAATTCGTTCCAGAGGTCCGTTCTTAACCTGAAACTGTTCTTAACCTGAGGTACCACTTTAGCTAATGGGGCCTCCTGCTGCCGCTGCGCCGCTGCCGTGCGATTTCTGTTCTCATCCTGAAGCAAAGTTCTTAACTCGAGGTACCATTTCTGGGTTAGAGGAGTCTGTAACCTGAAGCGTATGTAACCTGAAGCGTATGTAACCCGAGGTACCACTGTATCTATAACCCACCTTTTTCTCCTAGGACCTCAAGGTGGTCTGTGTGGTTCTCCCCATCCTCATGTAATCCCCAAAGCAACCCTGTGAGGTAGGCTAGACTGAGATGCAGTGACTGGCCTTTAAGGTCACCCAGTGAGCTTCATGGCCAAGTGGGCATTTGAACCCTCATCTCTCCCAGGCCCTAGTCTGACACTCTAACCACTACACTACACTGGCTCTCTAACTGGCAGAAAGCAGGGCCTCCAGCTCTTTTTGGACTACAGTTCCCATCATCCATGACCACTGGTCCTGCTAGCTAGGGATGATGGGAGTTGTAGTCCAACAACAGCTGGAAGAACCAAGTTTGCGAAAACCTGGTTAGAGTGTTGGACTAAATGTGGAAGAGACCAAGGTTCGAATCCCTGCTTGGCCATGTAACTCACTGGTTGTGACCTTGGGGACTAGTCACTGTCTCTCAGCCTAAGCTACCTTGCAGGGTTGTTGTGTGGATTGAATTAAGGGAGGAAGAGCCATGTACGCAACCTGGAGCTCCTTGGGGGGAAAGAAGGTGGGATATGAATGCAATGCAATGCAATGCAATGCAATGCAATGCAATGCAATGCAATAAAATAAAATAAAATAAAATAAAATAAAATAAAATAAAATAAAAAGCTTCTGGATCCCCATAGCAACTCTGTATTTTCATGTCTACATTTCTTGTGCAAATCTGCAGTCTTGCGCTAACGTTCTTTTTTGTTGATGGCCATGCCTTCCATCGTTTTTGGTGATGCACAAACAGGTTTATGGCTGAGCTGGGAAATGGCGGACCTAAAGAAAGTGAGTGCCCAACCCAGGCAATTGTAGTCACATTAGCCAAATGGGTAACCCAGCCCTGATGGCGTTTGAGATTTGCACATCCGAAGCCCCTTTAAGTGCAAAGTCCTGGGACCTGGTTCTTTGGCAGATTGACCATAACAGCAAAGTGCTTTTCAGTTCCACTTCATGCAGATTTTGGGGTGCAGAATTTCATCTTTCTGAGAAACTTTGCACTTGTGTGTGTTTTCAAAACCTTTCCAAAATCTGCTTTCAACTGTGGGCAAAATGCCTAGTGACATCTCACATGCCAAAAGGTTTCCAGCGGTTGTAAGATGGGGCTCCGAGCATCTTGCATCGCTTCCTGCCTTTCCCCGTGACTAGCAGAAATCAGAATAAAACATGAAAATAGAGGTGTTTAGTGAAATAATAATAATCTGCAGAATTAGGACTGAGATGAAAGTTGCGTTCAGAACTTCAGTGCAGGAATCACAACTAAAAAACTCCTTGCTGATGGCCATCCTGCCTCTGTTTAAAAGTGGACTTTTCTTCACTGGAGCTGTTTAAACAGAGCTTGGGTGGCCATCTGTCAGGGATGCTTTAGCTGTGATTCCTGCATTGCAAGGGGCTGGACTAGATGACCCCTGGAGGTCCAACTTTACAATACTATGATTCTAATTTTTCCAGCTAAAATAGGGAGGGTACCCTCTGTGATCCTGGTAGTGGTGATTATGCCCCCAAGGGAAGCCATGGGGGCTGGTGGACACCATTTCTCCCCCTCAGGAGACTGGAGAGTGTGGGCGGCCAGGAGTAGCTTTACACTGATTGGCCTGGTGGTGGTAAATGGAAGGCAAGTAACATTTCAAAACCACTACAACTCCCGGGACTGCGATTTTCACCAGCATTAAAATCATGGCACCTCCCCCTCCCCACAAAACACACTTTTTTTCTGCTGCCGCCTTTGCCAAACCTCTCCCTCTCAACCATTGCATGTGTATAAAATGTTAAAGTTGGAGAAGCATTTTTGGTTCAGCCCTTTAATAAATTGTGGGGAGAGGAGGGTGGGAAGGAGTGGAAAATTGCTTGTTTTCTTATTATTATTACTAAGGCTTTTTTAAAGAAAGAGAGCAAATCTAATAACATCATAAAACACCCCTGTAAAAATTGGGATTCCCCACCCCTTCTCTTTCCACATTACTGTGTCTTCATGAATATAAGGTTGATAATGTCTTTACAATCTTCAATCAGAAATGCCTTATTTTGCTGTTTGTCTTGCAAGCCACAAAGTTTTGGTTGAAAGGCACCCAGCTCTGTGCCTTTATTTTTTTGGGGGGGGAGGGAGGGGAAGCAGACAGCCCTAGTTACAAGCCCCTATAGGATCCGAGTGAGAAGGATGAGGTTAACGCTCGCCTATTCTTTCCCCCTTTGCATCGCCACCTTTATTTCTTATTTTTTGAACGTGCATCACCATATTTTCAGAATGTCACTTTTGGGATAAACACAATTGCGCTATAAATACTCTGGGCCATTTCCTGTTGTTGTTCTTGCTGCAGCTTTGAGCCTGGCAAAGGGTGTGCCTGCTGTCCACGCACTGACATATGCGAACTGTCCTCTCTCGGTTTCCGAGGCCCTTTGCTGTGTGGGCTGGAATAACTTTGCAAATCTTCCCTCTTTCTCCCAAGTTTTTTCATCTTCCCATTTGGCCAGGATACCATTCTGCAAGGCATCATACACATTCAGCGAACACATGCAGTTTCAGGATCATTTGCATTGTGCCATTTTTAACACATGTGGACACACCCATGTGCATGACTGGGGCAGGATAGAACCGCAGGCCAAATCACCCTTTTGATTTCTATAGGCTTGGTTATATACAGGTCTGAATTACCAAACAACCTAATCTCAGTTAAGAAAGGAGACTTGATGGCGTTCATTATCTGTGCTGTGTTGCTCCTGCACCAGCTGAGCTGGTGCAGGCAGCACAGAGCACTGAATTACTTTGGCAACACAGCAGCTTTCAGTCCAGGTTCTGTGAGGGAAGGGGCAGCTGTCAGTTTGGCTTGGATTAAAACTTCTCAAAGAAGTAGGCTGGGGAATGGAAAAAAGCCCTGGGATGCAGAAAACTGGGAGAATTTAAATTGCTCTTTAAATCCCTAAAAGGGTGAGAATAGTTCCCCTTTTGAAATTCATATCTATTATTCATAGTCCTCTTCAGAGAAAACCCACTGACATGAATGGATCACTTAGCTATGATTCCTGCTTTGCAAGGAGTTGAACTAGATGACCCTTGGGCTCCCTCCCAGCTCTATGATAACAGGTTTGTTCATTTCAATGGGTATACTCTGAGTAGAAATTGCTTGGGATTAACCCTCTGAACCCAATCCCCCTGTGACTGAGCTGTTGTGTGAGGGGCAATCTTTTGCCACCTATTGGCCACCTGCTTTGTGGGTTCCTGTGTATAATTATGTAGTTGTATTTTTCTACAACACCTTTGGTGTGCTGTACATGATGCTCAGCATATACCAAAAGGGTTATACCTCTGCCCCAAGAAGCTTATTCATCTAAAGTTTACCACAAAGGATTTGGCAGAGGAGAGAGAGAGAGAGAGAGAGAGAGAGGAGTGATGCTTCTTTGCTCCTCAAAGGCTCATCAAGGAACCAAGGCTTGGACTTGGAGGAGCTGAGCCATGGGGCAGGTGTCTTCCAATTATCTTCTCCACGCCTCCAGTGGTTACTTTGAGCTCCAGACCGAGAAGGACCAAAGAGGAGGTTGCTTGCTGCAGCAGGCTCATTTCTGCAGACAAACTCACACAACTTTCTCTGTCCTGCATTTGGACAAACAAGAGGAACAACCAGAGTTCATTACAGCCGGGCAAAATCTCAGAAGGAGGATGCAAAGTAGGGGGAAGGAGGGAACTGACCTGACAGAGGGTGTGGGGCCTGAGGAGAATCCCAAAGGCTAGGCAAAGATGCTGGATGAGGTGGGGGCTGCATTTATAGAATTGTATAGAGTTGGAAGGAACCTCCGTAGGTCATTGAGTCCAGCCCCCTGAGATGCAGGAATCACAGCTAAAGAATCCTTGACAGATGGCATCCAAACTCACTTTACAAACCTCCAGTGAAGGAGAGCCCACCAACAAGGGTCTGTGGCATTTCCCATCAAGTAGATGGGAATTCAGGCACTTTTTGAAATGCGAAGCATTCCTAGCCCTTCAGGGTTGGTTTGTATCCAGTGCCGGATGAATGCAGGATGTGTTTCTATGTGTGTCAGGAGGCCTGGAGCCTTGTGAGCACAAGACATAATCAATTTGAGCCCCTCGAACCTTCTTACAATGACAGACTCATCCCCAGTGCTCCCTTCTTCCTGCAGGGAGGATGTGAAATCATAGAATCATAGAACTGTGCAGTTGGAAGAGATGCCCGAGGATTATCTGGTCCAAACCCCTTCCTTGCCGGAATTAGGAGGGAAAGCATAGTTGGCTAGAACCCTGACATCAAAGTCACAATATCCTTTATGAACTGCGCCCGCATAGCATATTTCTTTTAACCTACTGCAATGCACATGCCATACCCTACAACATCACAATGATCAAAATCAGGATATTTGTGTTTGTGTGCTGTGTGGACTCACCAGTCTACATGTGCTTCTGCATTTTATGGTATTGATAGTTCAGGCAGTGGCACTGCTTTTTATATACACTTTTATAGATGCTCCTTTTCCTGTCAGTGTTTGTAGGGTTTTGTCACAGTCTTTGGCGAGTACAAGAAAGCTTGTTTTGAGCGATTGATTGATTGGTCCCTAGCTCTTGTGGGCGTCAGCTGATTTGCACCAGAGCACCAGACCAAAAAATGGAACATTCTGGGATCCATTCAGAAGGCTTCCATAATTCTGAGATGTCCTCCTCCCATTGAGAGGGTTGAGGGCTATGTCATAACATTTTATCCAGTTCAATTTTCAGATTATCTCATTCAAAACAGGACTCTCAGTATGCTTGGTAGGCTTTCTTCTGTCTTTGGCAATCACTCGTAGCTGAGTAAGATTGTCTTCCATAAACACGGTTTTAACAATGAGTCCGTAAGTGACTGTGGAGGCCAATTCTGGATCCACATGTCCTTCCACAATGGGGACATTGGTTTCCGGGCAGGAGTTGATCACGGTGTGGATTTGCCAAGCGTGCCTTCCACTTAGCACGTTTCTCCCTTGCGTCCTGAGTTTGAGTGTCTTCAAAGCCCATGACACCTTTGGTAAAGGCTGTTCTCCAACTGGAGCACTCGCAGGCCAGTGTTTCCCAGTTGTCTGTGTTTATACTACATTTTTAAAGATTTGCCTTGAGACAGTCTTTAAACCTCTTTTGTTGACCACCAGCATTGCACTTTCCATTTTTAAGTTCAGAATAGAGTAGTTACTTTGGAAGATGATCATCAGGCATCCACACAACATGACCAGTCCAATGAAGTTGATGTTGAAGAATCATTGCTTCCACACTGGTGATCTTTGCTTCTTCCAGTACACTGGTATTAGTTCACCTGTCTTCCCAAGTGATGTGAATAAAGCTGGGGTACAATATGATAGACAAAATTGGAGTGAAGAGTTAGGGGTACAGATAACAAATGATATATGGGAGTCAAGTATAAAATCAACAGAAATAGCCTCTATGGATCTAAGACTAAGACTTGTTCAACAGAAAATAATATTCAGAGCCCACTGGACTCCAGCAAAACTATACCAAAAGAAAATAACAAGTGCAGACAACTGCTGGAGATGTGGGAGTAAAAATGCGAACTTAGTACATATGTTGATTAACTGCCCAATGATAAGATCATTTTGGTGTGAGGTGAGGATATTTATAGCAAGAGTAATAAAAAGAAATTGTTATTTAGGGGAACTGAATCTCATTCTAAATTATATAGCGGAAATGTGGGTGATTTCAAGGGGTCAAAAAAAAAAATGGATGTACCGTGCTATATTAGAAGCAAAAAAGCTTTTTTTGATGAATGGAAGAGCCACAGAAAGATTCCATTGAGCATATGGATTGATAATATGGACAGATTAGCTACATATGAACGAATTGCATGTCGATGCAAAATATGAATGGATAAATATGAAGAAATCTTGAATGAATATTTAAGCGATAACGCGGATAGTGGTGGGAAGTAGGGGGAGGAGAGAGAGGTGGGAAATACTGTTAAAAAAGGTGTAGTCACAGGTATATCAGTGTATTCAAATCTGAATTGTTAAATTGTGTTATTATTGTTATTATGGTTTTTGTTGTATGTGACTGTTGTGGTTTATGTTTGTAAAAGAAAAAAAAAACACCCTTCAAATAAAGCTCACCAAAAACCAACAGGCTACTATTATAAGCGTTTATGCACCAACACTGGATGCCGATGAAGACATTAAAGAACATTTTTACTGTCAGCTGGATACCGTCCTATCAGAGATGCCTAAGGAAGATAAAATTATCCTCCTGGGTGATTTTAATGCAAGAGTTGGGCGAGATTTCGATCTGCAGCCTGGGACTATTGGGAAAGAAGGAGTTGGCAACAGCAACCAGAACGGAATCTTACTTTTGACGATATGTGCAGCGCACAACCTTGTTATTACCAACACACTCTTTCGACAGAAAAATAAATTTAAAACTTCATGGAGGCATAGGCTTTCTTAACCTGCTCACAAACTACAGAGCTTGTGGGTTTCTTCCAAATGGGAGCTAATAAGCTAAAAGATTAGACAAAATACCTAAGTCCAGCAAAAAACCCTGAATCCTGAGCTAGTGTACCACCCGGCAACAACACTATGAAATCAAACAAATAAAAGTAATTACATCCTTTATTTGTTTGATTTAATATATTTCTATCCCACTTTTTCTCCAGGCTGGAATTCAAGGTGGTTGCCCTCAGCCGCCAACCCCGATCTAGGTGCTGGGTGGTGAGATTTATTTAAAGATCATTCTTTAATTAATTTATATGCCCCATACTGCCAAAATAGGCTCCTAAGTAGTTTACAAAATAGAAAAGCTAATTGCACAGCATTAAAATATATGAAATAAATATATCGATTCTATTAATGCTTAATTGTTTTTTCATCATTGTCTTCATCCCCGCCATGTTTTTAGATACAGGTATGTAGCCATGTTGGTCTGCCGTAGTCAAAACAAAATAAAAAAAATCCTTCCAGTAGCGCCTTAGAGACCAACTACCATAAGTTTGTTGTTGGTATGAGTTTTCGTGTACATGCACACTTCTTCAGATACCTTCATATTTTTAGATATTACTCCTTTAGCTGTACTCTGCCTTGTGTCCCTGTCAGGAAAAAGGAATACAGTGGTACCTCAGGTTAAGAACTTAATTCGTTCTGGAGGTCTGTTCTTAACCTGAAACTGTTCTTAACCTGAGGTACCACTTTAGCTAATGGGGCCATGCCCTTGTTGTGCGATTTGTTCTCATCCTGAAGCAAAGTTCTTAACTCGAGGTACTATTTCTGGGTTAGCGGAGTCTGTAACCTGAAGCGTCTGTAACCTGAGGTACCACTGTACTAATACTAATAATTCCACAATCAAAATATACAATAAAACCATTCTGGGTTAATGTTATCAACAAGCTTGCCCAATTTTAGCTCAATATGAATTTATTTCAAGTAATTTTCAAGCTGTGTTTCAGGTGGCATACATGTGAAAGAAAAAAGCCAATGTTCTTTCTTCCTTTCACTGATTGCGCTCCTCCCCTCAATGTTCGCTATAGTGGGGGATTTTTTTAAAAAAAACAACCTGTCCTATTGGGCCAATGAAACCGATTGACTTATGCTGGCTGGGGGAGGGCAAGGCTGAGCTTTGCAGCAAAGGCTCCCTCCCCCCCCTTCCCGCCCACCCCACCCCTCTGAGCAAAGTTAGTTTTGCACACCCACACGTGGCCCAAATGGCTGCTCCATGAATGGGTGCCTTTGTTCCCCGACCAGATCAACAAGACAGGCTGTTTAGTTCATGTCTGCGCCTCAGCAGAGGAGGAGAAGCCGGCCTGGGAGGCAGATGTGGCCTCTTAATTGCGTGGAAAGGTTAGCAGATTGTTAAGCTCTCTTTGACAAGGGGTTCCTGTTGGGGCAAGGAGGCCAGGGCTGCGGCTGCAGGAAGGCAGGGGCAGACGACTCCTTTTGCCCCTCTCCATCAGAGCCTGCCCCTCTTCCGTTGCCCCTCAGGGGCAAAGCAAGGGCTTGGATCAAGGGGTGTCTCCTGTCCCGCGTCCCCAACCTGCCTCATCAGGGGAAAGGATCCCACCAACACCTGTCTGGTGTTTTGCTAGATCAGGTGGGGCAGATCAGCCCACAGAAGAACTCAACGGAGAGGTCCAGTCTTCATAAGAGAGGCTTCGTCCACCTAGGTCAGTGTTGTAAGAAGATACAGTGGTACATCAGGTTAAGTACTTAACTCGTTCCGGAGGTCCGTTCTTAACCTGAAACTGTTCTTAACCTGAAGCACCACTTTAGCTAATGGGGCCTCCCACTGCTGCCGCACTGCCGGAGCACAATTTCTGTTCTCATCCTGAAGCAAAGTTCTTAACCTGAACCACTATTTCTGGGTTAGCGGAGTCTGTAACCTGAAGCGTATGTAACCTATACAGTGGTACAGGTACCACTGTAAGAAGACCCTGGTAGACCAGGCTCCAGCATCTGCTTCTCACAGTGGCCAACTGATGCTTGTGGGAAATCCCAAGCAGGATTCGAGCACCAGAGCACTCTCCTGCCCTGTGGTTTTCCCTCCTTGGTTTCCAGCAACCAGTGTTCAGAGCACAGGCTTCTGTGGCTATAGCCATGGATAGCCTCTCCTCCTCCATGAATTTGTCTAATCCGCTTGTAAAGCCATCCAAGTTGGTGGCCATTACTGCTTCCTGTGAGAGGGAGTTTCCACAGTTTTAACTCTGTGCTGAGTGAAGGACTTTTTCCTTTTCCTTTTCAGATACATGATTCTGCTAAAGTGCTTCGCCATCTTTTTTTTTTAGCTCTAGCATTCTTTATTTTATTTTTTAAACATTTTTTTAAAAATTAATTTTCCAGTTATTTTTAAACATTCTCAATCAAACCTAAACAGCAAAAGAAAAAAACAGATACAAAATTCTCTTGCATCCTTGGACCTCCCTCTACCCTTCAGTGGGTTCCATATTTAACCTTTTCTGCTGCATATTTGAGGCCCTCCATTTATTCCATTTAACATTTATATCTTAAGTCTCTGTTAACTCACAAGTGTTATCTACCGGTAAGTCCCGTTAAAGAGCTCAGCAGTTTATAGCGGTCTTCTAGGTAGAACATAATTTTTCTCCGGTCTTTATTAAAATATTGGTCTTCCTGGTTTCTGATTTTCCCAGTCATTTTTGCCATCTCAACATAGTCCATCAGTATAGTTTGCCATTCCTTTCTGGTTGGGACCTTGCCGTCTTTCCATCTGTGGGCAAGTACTTTGCCATCTTAGGCTGGATCATGCTCCCTTAGAAGACATCTCATAAGTGGCTTCATGCATACGGCAATTTCTTCTAGTTCCCCAACATTTCCCTGACTGTCAGTTTCCACACTATATTTGAGATACTGGAATTATAGTGGAATATAGTGCTTATTTCCATATCATTTGCTTCCAGGGAAAAAAAATCCATTTGCGAATCCCATGGAACTGAAAACAGGTTGATTAGCATGGGAATTTGCAAAGAGCTAATTTCTCCAGCACCTCTAGTCATTGCGAGTGACCTCACAGTCTATTGCTATGCCTAGGGCTCACTTTGAGGTCATGTGACCTGGATGGTGGAACTTAGATCACTGACTCCTCCTTGAGTTCTTGATGGAAGAAAGGTGGGAAATAAACGTTATAAAAATAAATAGAGAAATAAATATTGTGGTTTTAGGGTAGGCTCAATGGGTAGTCCCAATTCCAAGAGCATTTAAAATATATTTGCAAAAGAACAGATGTGGGGAAAACAGAAAAACTCTTTCATATCCTTTATGTCTCCATAGAGGCCTCGTTTATTAGTTCATTGACCTTTGCCACAGCTCTGTCTCCCTACACAACTGTTGAAATTCTATTGCAGAGATATATATGCATTTTGGTTACCTTGATCACATCCACGCATGCAGAACCATCACATCTAGGCGACCTAGATGCCAATTTTGGCATCCTTCGGCTTCTCATTTTTTCCAACTTTTAGTTCTCCACCTTCCCACATCAGTTTTCAATTTTAAAAATCCTCATGAAAAATTATTAGCATTTTCATGCATTTCCCCCCCTAATAATATTCACATTTTTTTGGTATGCAGTTCTGACTAATATGCACATTTTTTTGCAGAGCATTTCCCCATTTTTGTATGCTGTTTTTACTAATATATGCATTTTCACGCACACTTTACCCTTGCATCTAATTGCCTTGCAAGTTTTGGAGATGTGAAAGATTCAGTGAATGGCGGGTGTTCCGGTTTGTGTATAGTTGCAGAAAGTGTGAATCAGGATTAGGGCTGCATTTTCAGTGCAAACTGGATTTAATTTCACCCTAGGTGTGGAACTCGGGCTGCAATCCTAGACATAATTTTCCTGGGGCTTACTTCTGAGTAGACACCATCAGTTGTGCAAAGCAGTAGACAGTTGGCAGCAAGTGAAAGGGTTACGTGATCCACACTCCCATTCTCACCCATTCTACAATGGGGGGGAAGTCTCCTGGCATTTCTCCCCAACCAACTGGAAGACTTGGCAGAGAGCTGAATGTTGGCTCTCTTATGCTTAAAGCAAGAATTGTCTCCACAGGCATGTCAATGGGGTCCCCTTGCCCAATGAGCTTGATCCTGGCTGGAGCTGGTGGGCAGCTGAGTCCAGCAGAATTGGACAACACTACGTTGCCTACCCCCCACTACATTGATGGGAGAAGATCTTGTATGGAAACATATTAGAATCATAGAATTGTAGGGCTGGGAGGAACCCCAATTCTGTAATGAAGGGTTCCTGGCAGATGGTCACCCAATTTCGGGCAATACGTTTCACCATCCAGCATTCTCTGACCAAGTCAGCCATCCTGCACCAACTGTTACAACAGGAATCTTACGTGTTTTGTTACTGATTGCAGATTTTTGTGATTGCAAATTTTGAGGTCAACACCTAAACCAGTGTGTCAAATGGAGTTTTCTCTCATTTCCCTGAGTGCAGTCATCCCTTTTTCATCTTTGGTCTGCGTTACTCATATCAAGACTGTGCTCAAAGCACCAAAATCCCCACGAATGTGAAACGCCAACCGATTTCCTATACTCATTGCACCCAGACGTAGGAGGAATAGGATGCAGAGTTTGGGCACAAAGAGCATTGAAGTGTTTAGGTTTGCATTCAAGCTTCTGCCTTGCAAAACCTTTGAGGGAAACCTGAATAGGACTCTATCTGGTCTGCTTGCTTGTAATTATTGTAATTATTATTTATTGCATTTGGATCCCACGTTTTTCTGTGAGGTAGGTCAGGTTGAGAGGCGGTGACTGCTGGGCCAGGATGACCCAATGAGCTTCATGGCTGAGTGGGATTTGAACCCTGGTCCTTGCCAGGTCCTACTCTGACCCTCTAACCACTACACCACCCTGCCTCTCTTTATGCCCTCCAAAACCTCAGGATAGCCTACATGATTATCCCTCTCACTCTGTCCTCACAATAACTTTGTGAGGTCAGCTAGGGTATGCATGAGTGGCCGACCCAAAGTCACCTTCTAAGCTGCCTGCCTGAGCCTGGATTTGAACCCTTGGCTCAATGAATACTTTAAGCAGAAGCCCTTATGCATTCAGCTGGAATGTTTTTTTTAAAATTGTTTTTATTAAAGATTTTCTTAGCTTATGAAAGTTACATGCATTGTCTCTATTTTCAGATCGTAAAATCCTTTCTACAGATCAGTTATATTCGATGTGAGACTTTAATGTTGAGGAAATGGAGCAATAACAACTTCACCCTTTCAGACAAAATAACCGTGATCAAAACATGATCACCCTCCCAAAATTAACCTCCCTATTCCAACCCCTCCCAATCTGGATTCCCCCAACCTACCTCCATAAATGGCAGCGGGGGAAACTACACTTGTTTATTTTCTCACACAAAAAACCCAAGGATAAACTGAAATGAAAATGTTCTTCAGTTGTTTCTGGAAAGTACAACAAAGGGGGTGCCTGTTGCATCCCAACAAAGATGCTGTTCTGCAGAACTAGGACATCGGGAAGATTTTGTGCCCCGTGATCACTGCAGGATCCTTGGACTGGATCTTTCCCTTGAAGGGAAACTAGTTTATTGCTCCGACCATTGCCCCACCCTCCTTGGAAGTGAACGACACATTGCTGTGTTAACTTTGGGTCTGCGCCCAGCATGGTCTGAAACCCCCCCCCAAACCAACATTCCATCCCACCCTGCGACCCACCAAGCCCCTCCAGGGGACACCCTTTTGCTCTTTTGGAGATTGGAACATTAATGAATCTTTTTGTGGAAAATGAGATCAGCCAAGCCCGCCTCCCCCGACAGAAGTTTAGGCAGTTTGAAGCTGGATTTTCAATCCCCCACGGTGCGATTGGGACTGACAAAGAAAATAGCTTGATGTAATCCCATTGAGATGTTTTTGTTGGAATGCCACGAGAGGACTCGTTCACAACGCGCACACACACAAAAAGAAAGTCTATACTCCTGCCACCGTGACACACACTCGTAGAAGTGCGTGGAGGCAAGCTGGCCAGCGTGGAGCCGAAGGCTGGACTGGGTGTGGAAAGAAAACACAGACGCTTGCCAGCCCAGTGGGGGCAGCAGATTTGGGCTGGGCTGCCAAATGTGGGGGGCCAGTCAGGGGAGAGACGCAGAGGAGTTCAAGGGAAGGACATATTTGTGGAGGAGGCCAACCAGTGGATTGCCAAATAACTCGAGGTGGGCAGCACTAATATTGTCCACCCCAGGGCACAGCTAGAAAGACAAATGATGGTTTCCTCCCACTTCCCCAAAGAGAGGGATGGAGATGGCCTGGAATAATTCGTGGTGGTGTATAGATTCATCACACAGTTGTCTCTCATGGACAGACCCAGGGGACAGCTGCTGGATCAGGGCAATGGCCCATCTAGTCCAGCATTCTGTTCTCACAGTGGCTGACCAGATGCCTGGAGGAAGTCAGCAAGCAGGATTCATGTACAAGAGTACTCTCTCCTGTCTATGGGTGCCAATTTGAATAAAATTGGGGGGGGGAGGTAAGCTCTGCCCCACACAATCAATCATAAGACGTGACATACTCATTTGAATGGCAATGCCCATTAATTCTGGGGGAGGACCATCCTCCTCAAATATTTTATTGGGTGGCCCCAAAGGAACCTCAGCCCCTAGGTGTTGGCTCCTATGGTTTCCACAAATGGTATTCAGAAGCATTGCTGCCTTCAGCTGTGGAGGCAGAGCAGAGCCATCGTGGCTAATAGCCATTGACATACCCTTCAACGTTTCGCCAAGAAAATAGGGACGTCCCATTCCATAATGATAATTTTACTATTTGTACCCCACACATCTTACTGGGTTGCCCCAGCCACTCTGGGTGGCTTCCAATATACGTAAGAACATAATAAAGCATTAAACGTTTTTTGAAAACTTCCCTATACAGGATTGCCTTCATATGGCTTGGGGGTCAGATAACTCCATGCCCTCCAACATTTCTCCAATGAAAATAGGAACATCTTAAGGAAAAGGGGGACATTCTGGGATCAAATCAGAAATCAGGGTGGCTTCTCTAAATCAAGGACATCCCTGGAAAGTACGGACAACTTGGAAGGTCTGCATTGATAGCCTTCTCCACCCGTTGAAAGCACATTGAAAGGGCGTTCTTTCAAAAAATTCCAGGCCCTGTCGTTGAGGGTTGGTAGTAATGGTAACTCCAAGAGGGGGAATACTACAGTTCCCAGAATTCTCTGAGGGAAAGAATGAGCTTTGGAAGTGCTTTAAAGGGATAGTGTGTGCACAACCTCAGTCTTTCTTCAGGGACATCATCAGTCAAAAAACAACACATTGCATCATTTACAGAAGACAACAGGAAGCCAATGGGATTGTTGGAGCAGTGGTGGCATGTGTTGTAACCCTTTGGTATTACATGCCCCCAGCAGGAGACAAGCTGCTGAACGTGTTACATGAATTCACAGCACCAGGAAGCTGCCATGACAAAGATCTTCAGGGTTTAGGCAGGAGTCAAAACCAGCACTTTGAATTGCTCTGGTGAACGACCTGGCCACTGAATTCTGCACTAGCTGAAGTTTCCGAACTGTCTTCAGAGGCAGTCCTATGTATAGCGCATTGCAGTAATCTAACCTTGAGGTTACCAGAGTGTAGACAACAGTAGTTGGGCTACCCCTGTTCAGATAGGGGCATAGCTGGGCCACCAGCCGAACCTGATGGAAGGCACTCTGGGCCACTGAGGCCACCTGAGCCTCGAGCAACAGCAAAGGATCCAGGAGGACCCCCAAGCTACGAACCTGCTCTTTCAGAAGAAGTGTAACCCCATCAAGAGCAGATGATCTCCCACCCATCTGGTCTAGGGAACCACCCACTAACAGTGCCTCAGTCTTATCTGGATTGAGTTTCAGTTTGTTGGCTCTCATCCAGTTCATTACTGAGGCAAGACTCTGGTCCAGCACTTCCACTGCCTCACTTGCAGATGTAAAGGTGAAACAGAGCTGAGTGTCATCAGCATACTGCTGACAATGTACTCCGAACCTCTGGATAACCCCACCCAGCGGTTTCATGTAGATGTTAAACAACGTGGGGGATAGGATTGAGCCCTGCAGAACCCCACATTGAAGGTGCTACGGGGCTGAAAAGCATTTCCTAAGCAACACTGTCAGGGAACAACCATCCAAGTAGGACTGGAACCACCGCAAAGCAGTGCCACCCACCCCTAGTTTGGAGAGTTGCTCCAGAAGGATACCATGGTTGATGGTATTGAAAGCCACTGAGAGGTCAAGAAGAATTGACAGGGACATACTTCCTTTGTCTCTCTCTCAACAGAGGTAATCATACAGGGCAACCAAAGCAGTTTCTGTGCCAAAACCGAGCCTAAAATCCAATTGAGATGGATCCAGAAAATCAGTTTCTTCCCAAAGCACCTGGATTTGGTCTGCAACCACTCTCTCCAGAACCTTGCTCAGGAAAAGAAGATTGGCAACTGACTGGTAGTTAGTTAGGTTTTCTGAATCCAGGGAAGGTTTCTTAGGGAGTGGTTTTAGCACTGCCTCCTTCAAACAGGCAGGGATCACCCCCTCTCGTAAAGAGGCATTGATCACCTCCCTGGCCCAGCCACCTGTTCCCTCCCTGATGGTTTTTACCAGCCAAGAGGGGCAAGGGTCTAGAGCACTAGTGGTCGCCCTGACCGATCCGAGCACCGTGTCCACATCCTCAAGCCTTACCAACTGAGCCTGAATCTTTAACTGGGCCCGCGAACATCCTCAAATTGCATTCTTTCTCTTCCTGTGACTTTTTCTTTAGGCAGTCCTATTTGTTTTTGATTGTCCCCCCCCTTTAGTCTTCAATAAAACATCTCATGCTGGAAGTGAATGTTTTGGTGTTTGAACCAGACTCTATCAGCAACACCTTGTGAATGTTTCCTAGTGGGCTTCCGCTAATTGTTCTGGAAATGGCGTTGGGATAAGGAAACAGGATGTTGCAACACAATGCTTATGAATGTAGGTGGAATAATAACGTCACGAGTTGGTTTAAGAAAAATAATGAATGGGCATTGCTTGTAGATGGTGGATCAACATAGCAGACTTCAGAAGCCGCTACGTATGTCCCTCAGCTTCTCTGAATGAGTTGTATAGACTGGTGGCTTCCCAACTGTGTTCCTGGGGAACATTTTGTTCCTGGTTGAGAAGATCAGTCATGACAGACAAGATTCCCTGGGAGATAGGATGTCCAATACTGCTGGGCTTTTCTTATAACGGTCAACCCACAAGGTAGCACTGGGTTCATTCTAAGGCAAATTTTCATCTAGTGTGGGATGGGATTCAAAATTCAGTAACTGAGCACATGTTTCCATGGATAAAGTCTTAAGTTCAACCCATAATATCTTCCGTTAGTGGTAATGAGGGAGACTTCCAGCTGAGACCTTGAAGAGCCCACTGCCTCTTTGAGTGGACCAGCCTTCCCTTGACCCTCCAGATGTTTGGGACTTTGGTTTCCGTTATGCCTTACCTTTGGGCATGTTGGCCGGGACTGATGGGAGTTGTGGTCCCACAACATCAGGAGGCACCGGGTTGGAGAAGGCTGGAATAGAGAATACTGGTTGAGATGGGCAAACAGCCTGAACTTCTGGGGGAGTTGTGGTGAGTAGGGGTGTGGTCTCTGAAGCCATCTCTGTGACCTCCATGGTGATTCATGAGCTTTGCCTAACCATTCTCCCGCTGAGGTTGCATGGGTAGCCTCAAGCTTCAGGGCAAAAATTAGCAGAACTGCAACAGGAGAGTGTTTCTGGAAGGATCCATTTGTGTGAGGTACTGAGGCAAGAGAAACAACAGCAAATTAGAACAGAGAGTTCCTGCTAGTGTGCCCAGTCAGTGAGCACAAATGTGGAGATCTATGCCCAGGAACTGAATTGGAGTAGCCTATTGATAGATACTGTTAACTGGGGTGAGGAGATAAGTAACTGAAGTAGACATTACGTAGCACTGTGATCCTGACTGATAGAGTAGTAGCTTATTGGAAAATGAAGTTTTAGAATAAGGGTTGAGATCATTTGCAAGGGGTTCGGATAGTTTATAAGAAATTGTTGAGATACTAGTAAAATTCATGGTGGGGTTTGTGGAATATATTTATTAAAGGAATAGTGCAATGTTATTCAAAACGAAGGGATTGTGCAATATACCTAGAAAGCTGTGCTTACTGTGGGTTGTGAATTTTATAGAGGGTCTGGAAGAAGTATCTGTGTATTTGAGGAATGCAATAAATAGATAAATGAAGATGGAACCTATTCAGGGAACCAGTCCTCATTAAGAACAAATCAATACAGAATAAAGATGACACCGAATATTCACAGAGTGTTAGTGAGTGTCCTCCAGGACATGAAGACGAGGTTTCATAATTTCAGTGATAATATTAAAGGCTTTGAAAAAGGATGAATTAGTAAATAAGAAAAAAAGATAAAAGCAGAAATAAAATTAAAATTAAATACGTTTGAGAGAAGTTTTCTTTAAAAGGATTTTAATCCATAATTGATAAATAAGGTATTTCAGAAAGCAGAAGTACACAGCAAAATTGTCACTGTTATGAGAAAAGTGGAAAAGATGAAAGAAGAAAACAGATTCACCGAAGCAGTGAGCAAGATTGATGAACCTTAGATAAGCATACAAGAAAGTCATTTAGTGGAAGAAGAAAACGAATGTAGTTGTGCTAACAGTGAGAACAGAGGCACTGAAGAGCTAAGCAGGTTGCTAGAAGAATTATTAGCAACCATCCTAGCAGGGGCGTAGCAAGGGGGGTGCGGTAAGTGCGGTCCGCCCCAGGTGTCCCCACTGAGGGGGGTGACAAAATGGTGGGCGGCAGTCACCGCGGGGCCTGCAGCGCACCCGAGCCACACATCTCTCCTGGGAGTGACATGGTGGCCACTGGCAGAGGAAGAGGAGTGCGGGGGGAGTGCACCGCCCCTGGCAGCACGATCCCGGAGGAGTGCCATCGCAGCTGCCCTTCTGCCCGGGCTGGGCGCTACGCCTCTACAGGCTGTGCGCCACACGCCCAGGACATGTGCCACCCCCGCCGCCCACCTGCTCTCCACCCCCGGTGCTGGAGCATGAAGCTCTGCAACTGGTAGTGGCTCCCCCTCAGCTGTAGGGTGGCTGAGTGGGAGGAGGCAGGCAGACTCCTCAGAGGCGCTGCGGTGCCCCCATGGGTGGCTGGCCCCACCCCCAGGCACCCGATCGGCTTTCTCCACTGCTGCATCCTAGGAACAAAAGTGGATCATTGTCAGTTGAGCCAAAATATGCATACTGGGCCCATGAAAGTAGGCAAGTCCCTGGGGAGGAACTCACAGGTGCTTTGGTCTGGTCTTTTTTCACTCCTGCACAGCACTGAGCAAAGTCCCTAGTCCTCCGTCTGCTCTGCAGGATTTCTCAGGCCTCTGGGGCAGGTTTTGGGAGGCCAGGATGGTCAAGCGGAGGACAGAGGAACCCTGTGGCGGTAACAGTTGTCTGCTCATGCTAGGTTGGATCTCAACCTTAATTTGGATTTTTTTTTTTTTTTTTGGATCATTTCCACTGCTGAAATAATGCTATAGGTAAAGGACAGATCGTCTCCTGCCACACTGGTGTGGCGCACCACACTCTTTGAGAACCACTGCTGTCGGTCAATCAGTGCGGAAAAGGGCTGACCCCACAGTGAGGCAGAGGGAGGCAACTGCCTCAGGCAGCCCATTCTGGGGTCCTTGAAGGGCAGCACTTAATTCATTGTTGTGTTTTTACTGCCGTTGGGAAGTTTGTGCCTTGACTTGAGGAGGCGCCATTTGTTTACTTCATTCATCAACAGCTTCCTTTGGGGAAGGGGGTCAGAGTTCAGTGGCAGAGCTCGGGTCTTGCAGGCAGATGGTTCCAGGTTCCATCCCTGCCATCGCTGGAGAGTCTTTCCTGCAAGTCGGTGTGTAGACAGTGCCGACCAAGATGAGCCAATGGCCTGACTCAGTCCAATGAAGCACCTCAAAGCACTTTCGCAACGAAGAACGGCATCTTTAACATAAAAAGTCACAACAAAGCATGCGGCGTATTCACATATCAAAACAACAGTTAGCTCCTCCAAATGCCTTCCACGCCGGCTCTGTTTCGAGAGAGGAAGTTTGGAAATGGTCGGCTTGGTTTTGTTCAAAAGGACATTTGATGTCCTCTGTGGTTCTGCGTCTTTTTATTTCCTTCTGATGTGGCGTGCTAACAAAAGGTAACCTTCTGACCGGAGAGTCGTCCTTTCATATTCCCCCTCACCCCACATTTGTTTATCCTTTCTGAATGGGGAAATCAAACCGCAGGACCGTCGGACAGAGCGTCTCTTGGTCTGGCTGGGCATGTGGCTAGAGAGGCTTCTAAACTTTCCTGCACCAGGAATAAAAACCAAAGCTTTGGGAAGCGAAAAGGACTTAATGCTCAAGCTTCAGATTAAATCAGAGAAGCGAACAGGGCTGCAGATGGAGATGGATTTTATTCGGAATAATTTGCCATGTTTCTCAGCCCAGCCAGCTCCACATCAATCGCTTAACCCTTCTCATCTCTATAGCTGGCCCTGCCATGGGGCACTGGGAGGCAGTTGCCTCAGGTGGCAGGTGTTGGGCAGCTACAACAGGAGCAGAAGCCCTCCAGCAGTTCTTCCTGAGGACCTGATCCCTTCTGTGGGAGGGGAGAGCTGTGCATGCTCCTCACACACTAGACTTCTGATGAAGGATGCTACCTAGTCACTAGTGTCAAAGTGAGATCAAACTGTTGATCCAGTGGGTTTCTGTGAACAGATTAGGGGTGGAGAAGGGGAACACAGCATCTTGTCCTTGACCTCAGGCAGCAAAATGTCTTGGGCCAGCCACACAACCGATTAAGACCACTTCACCTGCGTGCCTGGGGCAGAGGACAACTTTGGTATTGCAGAGGGGAGGGTTAAATACCCACCGAATCTGCAGTCTCTCTCCCACCCCCATTGCTCAGCTGATTGGCAGGGAACAACTGATTGGCAGGAGAAAGAAGACTGCAGCCCATTTGCAGTGAGATGGATGAATGAGGAAAGGGGAAATGCATGGCCATCATTTGAGCAAATCAGAATAAAGTTTCCATGTCACATAACTTTGGCTGATTAGCAAGAGTGGGACACCACGAGTCACGTAAAATTGGGCACTGCCTCGCATGTGTCCTGTGGGCAACTGTTTGCCCACCTTTGAACTAGACACAAAAAGGAAGGACGTGCTTCTCAGACAGTACATGCATATTAACTGGAGAATGTGCATATTACCCAGAGAATGTTCAAAACACTTTTTCAGATGCATGCATTATATCCAAGGCCTGTTGGAGATCGTGTCTGTTGACTGGATAATGTATAAAACTTTATTGAGATATGCATGATCCTCATTCCTTTTTTTGGAGACTATGTACACTGACTGGGAAATGTGCACAATTCCCTCTATAGGGCATGTTAAATGTGCATAATAGCCTGTTGCAGACCCTCCAAGTGTCCGTATTTTTCAGGGACAGTCCCAGATTTACAGAAGCTGTCCCAGTTTCTGATTTGATCCCAGAATGTCCTGCTTTTCCTTTGTTGTTGTTTAGTCGTTTAGTCGTGTCCGACTCTTCGTGACCCCATGAACCAGAGCACGCCAGGCACTCCTGTCTTCCACTGCCTCCCGCAGTTTGGTCAGACTCATGTTTGTAGCTTCGAGAACACTGTCTAACCATCTCATCCTCTGTCGTCCCCTTCTTCTTGTGCCCTCAATCTTTCCCAACATCAGGGTCTTTTCCAGGGAGTCTTCTCTTCTCATGAGGTAGCCAAAGTATTGGAGCCTCAGCTTCACGATCTGTCCTTCCAGTGAGCACTCAGGGCTGATTTCCTTAAGAATGGATACGTTTGATCTTCTTGCAGTCCATGGGACTCTCAAGAGTCTCCTCCAGCACCATAATTCAAAAGCATCAATTCTTCGGCGATCAGCCTTCTTTATGGTCCAGCTCTCGCTTCCATACATCACTACTGGAAAAACCATAGCTTTTACAATACGGACCTTTGTTGGCAAGGTGATGTCTCTGCTTTTTAAGATGTTGTCTAGGTTTGCCATCGCCTTTCTCCCAAGGAGCAGGAGTCTTTTAATTTCGTGGCTGCTGTCACCATCTGCAGTGATCATGGAGCCCAAGAAAGTAAAATCTCTCACTGCCTCCATTTCTTCCCCTTCTATTTGCCAGGAGGTGATGGGCCCAGTGGCCATGATCTTCGTTTTTTGATGTTGAGCTTCAAACCATATTTTGCGCTCTCCTCTTTCACCCTCATTAAAAGGTTCTTTAATTCCTCCTCACTTTCTGCCATCAAGGTTGTGTCATCTGCATATCTGAGGTTGTTGATATTTCTTCCAGCGATCTTAATTCTGGCTTGGGATTCATCCAGCCCAGCCTTTCGCATGATGAATTCTGCATATAAGTTAAATAAGCAGGGAGACAATATACAGCCTTGCTGTGCTCCTTTCCCAATTTTGAACCAATCAGTTGTTCCATATCCAGTTCTAACTGTAGCTTCTTGTCCCACATAGAGATTTCTCAGGAGACAGATGAGGTGATCAGGCACTCCCATTTCTTTAAGAACTTGCCATAGTTTGCTGTGGTCGACACAGTCAAAGGCTTTTGCATAGTCAATGAAGCAGAAGTAGATGTCTTTCTGGAACTCTCTAGCTTTCTCCATAATCCAGCGCATGTTTGCAATTTGGTCTCTGGTTCCTCTGCCCCTTCGAAATCCAGCTTGCACTTCTCGGAGTTCTCGGCCCACATACTGCTTAAGCCTGCCTTGTAGAATTTTAAGCATAACCTTGCTAGCATGTGAAATGAGTGCAATTGTGTGGTAGTTGGAGCATTCTTTGGCACTGCCCTTCTTTGGGATTGGGATGTAGACTGATCTTCTCCAATCCTCTGGCCACTGCTGAGTTTTCCAAATTTGCTGGCATATTGAGTGTATCACCTTAACAGCATCATCTTTTAAAATTTTAAATAGTTCAGCTGGAATATCATCACTTCCACTGGCCTTGTTATTAGCAGTGCTTTCTAAGGCTCATTTGACTTCACTCTCCAGGATGTCTGGCTCAAGGTCGGCAACCACACTACCTGGGGTGTACGAGCCATCCATTTCTTTCTGGTATAGTTCCTCTGTGTATTCTTGCCACCTCTTCTTGATGTCTTCTGCTTCTGTTAGGTCCTTTCCACTTTTGTCTTTTAATATGGTAATCTTTGTATAAAATGTTCCTTTCATATCTCCAATTTTCTTGAACAGATCTCTGGTTTTTCCCATTCTGTTGTTTTCCTCTATTTCTTTGCATTGCTCGTTTAAGAAGGCCTTCTTGTCTCTCCTTGCTATTTTTTGGAAATCTGCATTCAATTTCCTGTATCTTTCACTATCTCCCTCGCATTTTGCTTGCCTTCTCTCCCCCGCTATTTGTAAGGCCTCGTTGGACAGCCACTTTGCTTTCTTGCATTTCCTTTTCATTGGGATGGTTTTCGTTGCTGCCTCCTGCATAATGTTACGAGCCTCCATCCATAGTTCTTCAGGCACTCTGTCCACCAAATCTAAATCCTTAAACCTGTTCCTTACTTCCACTGTGTATTCATAAGGGATTTGACTTAGATTGTATCTTACCGGCCCAGTGGTTTTTCCTACTTTCTTCAGTTTAAGCTTGAATTTTGCTATAAGAAGCTGATGATCTGAGCCACAGTCAGCTCCAGGTCTTGTTTTTGCTGACTATATAGAGCTTCTCCATCTTTGGCTGCAGAGAATATAATCAATCTGATTTCGATGCTGCCCATCTGGTGATGTCCATGTGTAGAGTCGTCTCTTGTGTTGTTGGAAAAGAGTGTTTGTGATGACCAGCTTATTCTCTTGGCAGAACTCTATTAGCCTTTGCCCTGCTTCATTTTGCTCTCCAAGGCCAAACTTGCCAGTTGTTCCTTTTATCTCTTGATTCCCTACTTTAGCATTCCAATCCCCTATAATGAGAAGAACATCCTTCTTTGGTGTCATTTCTATAAGGTGTTGTAAGTCTTTATAGAATTGCTCAATTTCAGTTTCTTCAGCACCAGTGGTTGGTGCATAAACTTGGATTACTGTGATGTTAAAAGGTCTGCCTTGGATTCGTATCGAGATCATTCTATCATTTTTGAGATTGCATCCCAGTACAGCTTTCGCCACTCTTTTGTTGACTATGAGGGCCACTCCATTTCTTTTACGGGTTTCTTGCCCACAGTAGTAGATATGATGGTCATCCGAACTGAATTCGCCCATTCCTGTCCATTTTAGTTTACTGATGCCCAGGATGTCAATATTTATTCTTGCCATCTCATTTTTGACCACATCCAACTTACCAAGGTTCATGGTTCTTACATTCCAGGTTCCTATGCAATATTTTTCTTTACAGCATTGGACTTTCCTTTCGCTTCCAGGCATATCCGCAACTGAGCGTCCTTTCGGCTTTGGCCCAGCCGCTTCATCAGCTCTGAATCTACTTGTACTTGTCCTCCGCTCTTCCTCAGTAGCATGTTGGACGCCTTCCGACCTGAGGGGCTCATCTTCCAGCATCATAACTTTTATATGCCTGTTGCTTTTCCTTAGGACGTCCCTATTTTCATTGAATAACTGTTGGAGGGTATGGTAGGATGTCTCTATTTTCGTCGGATAAATGTTGGAGGGTATGGAGTTATCCAACCCCAGAGTCATCTGAAGGCAGCCCTGTATAGGGAAGGTTATTTTTAATGTTTAATGTTTTATTATGTTATGTATTTGGGAAGCCACCCACAGTGGCTGGGGTAACCCAGTCAGATGAGTGGTGTATAAATAGTACAGTTGTTATTATAGAATAGGACATCCCTATTTTCATTGGAGAAATGTTGGAGGCTATGCAGTTGTTTATGCACATTAGCAACTTCACAGGCATTGTACCTAACTGTGTGCTTCATTTAACCTCTCAACTTTGCATGTGAGACAAAACCTCTTAGCAAAATTCAATATATTGTTGAGAAGGAAGAGTGAAGTCTGTTGCACAAGCAGAAGTCTGGCCTGCTCACATGCAGAAGGTGTTGGGTACTATTATTACTTTGTCTTGGATGCTTTAGTTGAGATTCCTGGAGGTTGCAGGAGGTTGGATTAGAATCAGGCACGTCCTACAGGTAGATCGTGATCTACTGGTAGATCACTGGACGTCTGTGGTAGATCACTGGTAGATCACTGGCTCCTCCCAAAGAAGCTCAACAACTTTGGCTCCCCTAAAAAAAGCTCAACATTTTTGCCCTGCACCCCAAAGAAAGAAAAAAGGGGGTAGATCACCGCCAGTTTTTAACTCTGTGAGTAGATTACAGCCTCCAGTCTCTTGGGAGTTGGCCACCCCTGGATTAGATTATCCTTGGGGTCCCTTCCAACTTGATGATTCTATGTTCCCCTCCAGGTTGCTAGCATTTTGTGGAAGGGATTCATAAATTTAGGTTTGTGAAATTAAAGTACAGCTTTCACACCAGCACAACTAATTTACTTCTTTTTTAAAAAACAAACAAACAACAAACTGGGTTTTTTGTGGTTAGGAAAGCGGTGCAGAAATGCACCCCAAGGTGAATGAATGACGAAAGGGGAGGTGCATGGCCATCATGTGAGTAAATCAGAATAAAGTCTCCTTGCCATATAACTTTGGCTTAAACCAGAAAGAATGCTCAGTGGTGAGCAAACATAGTCTAACCTCTCTGTATGTTTTGTGCAAGCAAACCAGCAGGACGAAGGCTCAGTGAACAAGTCACCTGTAGGAGCCCCTTCTTCCAAAGACCTAATGGGTTCATGACTTCCCTCCTTTTCTTGCCCTTTAAATTCTGGCTGCAAGGGAGACAGAAAGTAGAGAAAGCTGCTTTCTGCAATGCAACGTGCTTCACTTATTTATTCGTCGAGGAAGTGGTTTGGTTTGCAAAGTAGCCAGTTCTTGAAACCATCTTCTCCCTGGCCCCGAGCATCTCCAGCTGAAAAGACCATAAAACCTGCTAAAACAATATTTACAACTGTGTCTGCAATATGCGACTGTGTATTTATAGCCTTGGGTCAATGCTGACAAATAGGGATGCCTAATTATTTCCCCCCAAAATGAAAGGAACAACAGAGGAGAGGGAGGGAGGGAGTGGGGAGAGAGAAAGCGAATCAATGCATGCACGCTTGGGGAGAGAGAGAGAGAGAGAGAGAGAGAGAGAGAGAGAACATGCTTCTCTCTCCCCCCCCCCCCGGTCTGGTCTGTGGGCAATTGAGCGGCGCTGTAAATTGTTATGTACATACCAGATGTAAGTGAGCATTAAGGGGAAAGTGGGGCGTATTTGGTGGAAGAGGCAAGGCTCGGAGTCTTGAACTGATTTGCCAGCTCGGATCAATCCTGCACCAGGCCCAGGTGGTTCTTGTTGGGATTAGCATGACAAGTTTAGCCTGGCTGCCAAATCAGCTGCAACGGGTTTGGCTGCCTCTGCTCTGCTGCTCCAAACCAAGAACAGAGCGCAGAAGACTCTCCTGCACGGGAGGCTTTTCAGCAGAGGTTGGATGGCCATTGGTCAAGCATGCTTTAAGCTGCGATTCCTGCCTTGCAGGGGGTTGGACTAGATGACCCTCGGGGGTCCCTTCCAACTCTACAATTCTGTGATTAAGAAGGGATGTGTGTGTGTTCGGGGTTTTTTAAATTGTCTGTTTATGGATTTATTTCGAACCATTTTGCGTTCACTCTTCAGGCCACCCCTCCTTCCCTCCCTTCTCCTAAGAATATGCCTGAGCATCATTCCTTCATTGCAGGGAGTTCGACTAGGCGACATATTTGCTTCCTTCCAACTCTACAATTCTGTGATTCTATGATCAGGGCTAGGAGAGATTTACAGGGATGGGATGGACAGTGGATGGAAAATGGCAGCCTTACAGAAGTGAAACGGGTTTCAGAAGGGAGAGCTGAATGCTGCTCAGCTGGTTGCTGTTGATTTTTTGCTTTTTTAAAAAAAAAGTGTGGTAAGATCTGTCTGTATACTCTGGACCAGCTCTGCACATCTCATGACCTACTCAGCTGATGAATCTAGATAAGTGGCCCTGCCAGATGGTTGTCAGTGTCAAGGCTGCTGCCTTTGCAGTCCCAACAAGACCAGGAGGTTTAAAGGAATTCTAAAAAGCAGCAGCAGCAGCAACAACAGCAGCAACCAGGCCATATTTTTCCACCTTCAGCATGACCGTGATGGGGGGGGGGATATTTTCCTGGCATAAAGATGAAGCAACAAGGAATGCTTTGCCTGTTTCACTGCTGGGAAGGTGAGGTGGACACTTATGCATTGTCAAAAAAGAGGAGGCTGTATCCAACCCTATTTGCCTTATTCAGAGTAGACCCATTGGCATTAATAGGCACAGCTAATGTAGGGCCATAAGTGGTCTCCTCTGATTAGAAGCTGGATATGGCTCAGGAAACGCATCCCCCCCCCCCCAAAAAAGTCAAATGATGATACAGTTTTTGCATAGATTCTGCACAGGGGCTCCAGCTTCGGCCCCAGGTTGTGGGTGCCCAACGGCACCCATGACATAGTGTGATATGATGCCGTGACATCAAGAAGCGCTTCTGAGGACTGGCAGGGCCTCCGACGTGATCTCCGAGGCCTTGCGCATCTTCCCCCGTGACTTTCGGGAAGGGCCTCTGACGTGACTTTCAGTAGAAGCCAGAAGTTGCATCGGAGCCTGTGCTGTGGACCCACAATTTTTTGTGGGGGTGCCTGGGCCCCTAGGGCCCCCTGTAGTTTGTGCCTATGATTCTGCATATTTAGACCTGGATCTAGGTGTGGTTGGAGAGTAAGGGCCTGTTGAGAGGTAAGGGACTATTCCCCCTCCATACTAATGAAGCTGTGCTGATGTAAATGGCTTTTGTGGGGTGAAGGTGGAAAGAGTTGTGAAAAGCACCACCACAACTTCACTGTGCTTGAAAACGGTAATATGAAACTCCCCGGCTGGAGCTGATGTCCAGGACATCTGGAGGGCAGCAGGTTGGCTAAGGCTGCTCTAAAACATTTTGACTGTCTATTTTTAAGAGTTATCTTCTTTTTTTATTTTTTTGTCGGTTTGTTCTTCACTTCCTGTTTCAGCAGATGTGCTTTGGTATGACGTCAGCTGGACGTTGGCTCCCAAATTGCAATCTGGCCAACACTTGATTCTAGGAGTCGTTTCAAAACACAGCTCAAAATTGCTTGGGCGGATTCTTCCGCAGAGGGCTCCTTTTGCCCTGAGAGGCATTCAGAAGTTCCAAAGTCAGGCCTGTTATTGTGAAGCAACAATCCCTGACGATGTGAGCCAGCCACCCCCTATATCTGATGGACTTAAGTGGTTCCCAAGTCAGTTGTGCGGAAGTCTTCGCCCCACCCAGGTCTGCAGGCTGCAGATAAAAACTCTGCCGCGCTTTCCTTGATTGCTTAGTCTGAGATGAAAGAGAAGTGAGTTAAGAGCCCCAATCTGAACTATTCCCAGGGCTTTCTCACTTCCCTCTGAGTTCCCTTTAGCTCATCTGCTGCCTCCTGTGTGTAGTGCACTTATTCCACTGGAATATATACTTTAACCTTCCAAAACTAAGAGCATCATCGGCCACTTATCGCCAGGGATGGAGAAAACCACCAATTTTGTCTTTTCTCAGGCTTCTTATATTTTCAGTCTTCACCTTCGTCCACCCCATTTCCGCATCAGTTAGTAGGCAAAAACTGGCAAGCATTTTTGTGAGTATTTTTTCCTCATTGTGTGCATTTGGCAAACACTTCCCCAGAACGTCACATCTTTGTGTACATTTGTCTCAACAATATATGCATTTTTGGTATGCCTAAGCTTTCACCTAAAATAATGCATTTTGGGACACAGTTTTTTTGGCTGGAGAACTAAACAAGCGCAATAAATAAACTTGGGCTGACAATTCGGAGAAGTGCGAATTTTGAAGGTTAGCAGCAACTGAGTTCACTTACTGGTTCATGAAGTGAACCTTGGGTAGATTGGCAATAAAATGTGAATGGAATGAGAATCTCCCCACACCTTCCATGTGGTTGGTTTCCCTTTGGAATAGCTGTATGTAGACAGGAAACATGCATAATATGGCCCAGAGGGCAGAATTCAGTCTTCAATGAGTTTCAGTTTTGTTTATTTAAATTGAACAGTATATTTCTTTCTCTTATGACAGCCATCAAGTGTTTATGCCTGCAACCAAGTCTCAGAAGCCAGACGTTGATGGTGCTGGGATGTGTGGGTACAGTGGTCAGCGAATGGGGGCTTCAGCACCCCAATCAACTCTTTGCCCCTCCCCATCGCTAGCAAAAATAGACTAAATTGTGCCAGTTTTTATAACAAATTTAGGTCGCAGGATTCAACCTTCCTGGATGAAGGATCTTAATCTTTTGTGAGGTGAACTGTACACACAGCCAAGGAGCTAGGATAACAAGATGTCTAGATTTCAGGCTTTTAAAATTTGGCGTTGCGTTGGAAAACTCTAAGGACCCTTGGGTGGTTTCCTAGAAAGGATTGCTTTCTCTTGGAGATTAGACTATTTTTGTTGTTGTTTCGTAATCTACAAAAAATGTACACGCACAGGTGTGTAGCAGTGAGCTGCCACAAAAGGGGAAGAATTATCTTTAGCTCTGGTTGACCAGCTGGTGATATGTTTGCTTCTTCCACCTCATCCAGCACCTTCTACATGTTTTCTGTATGAATTCTTTCCATACCTCTGTGAGCTCTTAAGGTGTTTTTCCTAGTGACGCCCCACAATCGTCTCCCTATCCCCGCAGCCATAAAAGCGGCCGTCTTCTGTAGCGCCATGCAGCTGTCTTGGGGGGAGGCAGGGAGTCGGGGCGTGGTGCTGACAGTCCCAGGAACCTGGGCTATGTTCAGCTTGGCCACAGACAGAGCCCACAGCAATGTGCCAGGAATGCAGATCTACAAAATGGGGGAAAGCTAGAGAGCTGGCTCTCCACCAAGGGCAATAAAAGGCAAGAGGCAAGCACAAGGCCCCTCTCTCAAGTTCAGTCTGGCCAGCTTTACAAAGATCAGGACAGGCCATTGTGTTGCGGGGAAGGAACTTGCCTAGGTTGCTTCTAGCCTGTTTGGGCGATAGAAGCCTCTTTATCTGCTGCTGTAGATTACTGAAGGAGCCCAGCTGGCAGGGACCCCAAAGGGTCCCTTCTTAAATTTTGATGCCCAAAATTGGATGCAATATTCCAGGTGTGATCTGACCAAACAGGATAGAACGGGACTATTACTTCCCTTGATCTGGACACTATACTTCTGTTGATACAGCCTAGAATAGCATTAGCTTGTTTTGCTGCTGCATCACACTGTTGACTCATGTTAAGCTTGTGGCCCACCAAGACCCCTAGATCCTTTTCCATATGTACTGCTAGTATGCCAGGTGTTCCCCATCTTATATTTGTGCATCTGGTTCTTCCTGCCTAAGTGCAGAACCTTACATCTGTCCCTGCTGAAATTCATTTTCTTAGCTTGGGCCCACTTCTCCAGTCTGTAAAGGTCATTTTGAATTCTGATTCAATCTTCTGCGGCATTAGCTACCCCTCTCACTTTGGTGCCATCTTCAAATTTGACGAGCATTTGTTGCTGCATCTCCTTTGAGTATTTGGATGTTTACAAAGGTTGTCCAGGATTTTCAAAATGCTCAACATGCAAACGCTAAGAGTCACCAGAGTTGGGGCTTCCATCATAGCACAGCACACTCTATGCATTAGCATTTTCCAGTATGAGGTGAATCTTCTGCCATAAGCAGCCTTCTGCATATGAAGCCATGCCAAACAAAAGGGCTGCTACTGTCATGGGGCCTGACTGACCAAACTGCCTCCACCAAGTGGTTTTTCATATGTCTCAGCCCTCAGTCAGATTGGGCTAAACTGTTGATTTTGGGTTCTTTCAGTTTCTCATTCTTCCAAACTCAAATTGCAAATTTGCAGTTTCGATTTCCAATCTTTCAGTTTGGGGGCGGGGAACACACACACATCCGCGCCAGCATTTTGGTGTAGATTTCTTCTAATTTCACATAATTTTGCAAGCTGTTTCCCCTGATAAAACGCTGTGGGCTTTTGTTTTGTTTTGCTATTTTGAATAATATAAATGATACTGATGGTGATGATAGCAATAGCAGCAGCAGCAGCAACAATTTAATTTAATTTTTTATACCTTGCTGGTTCCCCCAGCATATTTTAATACATATGATTTGGTTAGAGAAGTGGACCAGATTCAGAGAATTGCAGATTTTGTAGGACAGCTGTCTTTTACTTCGCATATTGTTTTGGAAGGTGTGAATTAGGGAGGTCTGCATTAAAATCTGAGCATAACTGGATTTCACCCTCACTCTGAGCTCCTAGCTATTTCAACTCCAGAACCCTCTCCCGAAAAAGGGGAGGCTGTCAGTGAATCTTTTGCTCCTGGTTCCAGTAAGTTCCAGTTAAGAGCAAGAACCCAGGAGTTTCACTTAACAGTTGGGTGGAAGTGCAAAATATCTGATTCAATCTGCAACTCTGAGGCAAACGCTAGTTTCAGGTAAAGCCTGCCTGGGCAGCTGCTTGCCAGCTCAAAGAGGGAGCATAACTTGAGTTTCTAGTCTAGTTTTGACAACCATTTTTAATTTTGGGTTTCTTCTCTTTGGCATCCAGGAGGCCCTCTCCGTGGTGAGTGAAGATCAGTCCCTCTTTGATTCCACCTACGGTGCCGCTGCTCACCTCCCCAAAGCAGACATGACAGCCTCAGGGAACCCTGATTACGGCCAGCCCCACAAAATCAACCCTTTGCCTCCTCAGCAGGAGTGGATCAACCAGCCAGTCCGAGTCAACGTCAAGAGGGAGTACGAGCATATGAATGGATCCAGGTGAGGAGGGACAAACGGCTGTGCTATTTTTCTAGAAAAAGAGGTGCCGGAACTCACCATTAACACTAACCTTGTTTTCTTATAATGACAGTGGTGCTCACCTGACAGAATGGCAAAAAAGCCCTGACAAAATGTGTGAACAGGATGCCTTGGTACCAGCTTGGGATCCTGTGTGGGGAAGCTCAGAAAGGTACATAGAGGAGATCCTCACCTCTGGAGTTCAAGTTGCACTCTCCTACTGCAGGGCCAACAGTCTTTTTCCCCCTCCTGAGGTGAAATGGGAAAGTGAAACCCTGCACAGACCCACACACACACACCCTTGCCAGCCTCGCTGCTTACTGGAGTTGTGTAGCTGTGGCTTCCAGGTTCTGGCAAAATCTCTGCAAGATCTCTCAGAGACCTCATGCGGCCTTCCCAAGACTCTGGTAAAGTTGCATGAGGCCTTCGCAAGATTTCACAGGACTGTCGCTAATTCTCCTCACTTCTCCAGCAGTGTGTGTGTGTGTGTGTGTGCGTGTAGTCTTCCCCTACATCCAAGTAACCAATGCCAATCCCTCTTCCTGAAATAGAATTTGGTACTAGATAAGAGCCTCTGGCAACTGGCCATAACGTGGAAGGAAAAAAGGGAGAGCTTTTGCATGAAATTCCAGCACACACTGAAAAATAGTGATGGGGAACTTGCTCCCCCCCCATGCTGTTGCTGGACTACAACTCCCATCATCCACTGGTTTTTAGACTCCAGGATAAGGGTTTAGGGTTGTCAGTTTGTGATCCAGAGGTGCTACATACATATACAGGACAACTGCCTCTAGATATGTCAGGGGAATCAGAGCTGGCGCAGGGATGCCTTCAGCTTGCTCCATTTCTCTCCTATTTCCAGTCTCTGCCTCCCTTCTGCATCTGCTTAGTGCAGTATCCAATGAACATGTCCCATCAGGGCATGAATTTCTGCTTGTACAACAGAAATTCTGCCCCCTCCCAAGTGCTCTCTGAACTCTCCCCAAATTGCTCTGGAGTTTCAGGGGAATCCCTAGAACAGAGGTCACAGGAGGAGAAGAGAGGGGAGCTCCGTTGTGCAAGCACTGATGATATGAATTTTGTATCACTATTTTGGATGCAACCCCAGGACTTCATTTTTTGCACTCTGGGAAGAACAAGAGGAGAGCAGGCAAAGAGGACTTCGGGGCGGGGGCATGAGGACCATCCACGGCTGCGTCCCCTCTGCACCACAACCTGGAAAGCCAGCATCAGAGAACAAAATTGTGCTGCGACCTGCAAATTGCAGCGTGCTTCTTTGTAGAGCACAATTTCTTTCTTCTCCCCAGTAGTTTTGGCAAACAGGCCTTTGCCCCTCATAGAATCGTAGAGTTGGAAGGGACCCTCAAGGATCATCCAGCAATTCAGCAACTGCAGCGAAAGAATCCCAGACCGATGGCCATGCAACCTCTTCTTAAAAACCTCCAATGAATGAGAGCCTGCCACCTGCCACCTTTGTGATCCTTGCCAATCCCAATGCAAAGACAGCTAAATGGAGCCAGCAACTGTCAGGCCATAGGTCACCCTTTCCTACACTTTTCTTCAGAGGGGCTACAAACGGGCATCTTAGCTGTGGTGTGGTTTTGCCCTGATGGCGCTTTTCATCCCATGATCAGCAATGGGTGAAACTCGCCGCTGGCTTGCCGTTTAGCCTCCCTTGTAACGTTCTTCTTTCCTGTGCCTCAAATGAGGAAATTCAGAAGCAGCGCCTGGAGGCAGATGAACAGAATTGGTGGCTCGTTCTGAGGAATCTTGTGCTCCAAAAGAAATGGGGACAATATGTCAGGCTCCATGAGCCAAGGCAATTTGAATTATTATCCTTCCAGTGAGAACCGGATAAATATTTTCTAGTGCCTGAGTCTGTGCCGGATTAGCAGCTGTTATTATTTTCTGCAAACAGGACAACTCTGTAAGAATAATGCCTGGTGCTTTGATTTTAAGGTTGCTATAGGATTATGAAACTATCGGGGTGGGAATCTTAACCCTGACACCTTAGAGACAGCAATGTTAATTCTGAGCTCTACTGGCAAACTCCATATGCCTGTTCCTGGGATATTTTCTTTATTGAAACAATTTTTTTATCGTTGTTTTCAATAACCACAACAAGCAAACAAACAAAAACCAGACAGTAGGAATGTCAACCTTTATCATTCAAAAATAGGAATTAATAAAAGATTCCCAAGAGCAATCTTCAGCCCCAGAGGTTCTCAAACTCCTCCTACCTCCACAGATAACTGTGGATGGTTTTGGCGAATCACATAACAATTTTTCTGCCTGTTGTAGCCATTGTAATGCACTGTGCTAGGTGCTGTATGCGTTTAAATTATATTTAAATTACTTATTTTATTTCTTATGTAGGGTTGTATCGTATTACATTTTATTTACTTCACCAAATTTATATACTGCTTGATGGTTAAAAACACACAAACAACTGGGAAAGTGATTTACAAAAAAATGCATTTCGTAGAATTTGTGAAGGTGGTGGTAGCAAGACCATTTCATTCTTCATTTTTAAAATAATTTTATTTCTCATTTTCATTTTATAATTGCAGCATTAGATAATAATCCCAATATCAAATAAACATTTAATGTTGACATCCCCCACCCTTTCTGTGGTTTACTTCATTATTTTATTTTCCACAGCATATTCTAATTGACGCCTTACTTTTTATTTTCTCATTTTTTTATCTCAATAATTGTTACTGCTGCATTTACTCTGTTGCTGTTAACTTTTTAATAGGCTTACAATAATTTCCCAAATATTCCGTAAAACATTTCCAATCTTCTTTAAATGTTTGTCCCCCCTATCTTGGTTTCTTATTCTGTTGGTCAATCTTGCCATTTCTACATATTCTATCCATTTCATCTGCCATTCTTCCTTTGTTGGTATTATAGAGTAAGACCATTTCAGGCCAGGGTCTCAAAATTACCTCATTGGTTAAGTCTAACAGCTGCCCGCCACTGAACTGGAGGAGCACCATGGGTCCTCAAAGTTAAGAAAAACAACAGAGAGGGTGGGGGGAAATCCAGCACACAATTGCACCTGCCTCCAATTCCTCACTTCTGTATTTCGCCTTGTAAAAATACTATCTGTCCCATTGGGTGGAGTTTGTGACTTTCAGAAAGTGCCCTTCTCCACATGGAATTGTGGTTTATCTGCCCAGGAAAACAGAGTGTGTGTCTGTGTGCATGTGTGTGTGTAAACCAGCACAGAAAGTCCTCGGACAAGGGGGGACCCGGTTTAAGCAGCCCTTTAAAATCTGCAGTGGCCTTGATTTATCCCAATGGCTGGGAAGCATCCTCACTGCACTCATCTTAGCTCCTTCACATCAGGGCCCAGAATACTTACCTTTCTCCCTGGCTTAATTCATTGATAATGCCAAACTGATCCAGAGAGAAGCGCCTGCTTATCAACCGCAGCCGTGAAAGAAACAGAGGCTTCAGATGCCTTCACTCATTGCTATCTTGGCTATTCTGATTTCTCTTCCTTTAGTCCGCAGGAGATGGAGGGTTCTTGGAAAGCGGGGCAAATTGTCCCCATCTTTGGGTGGCTGTGGGGAAATGCAGAAGGCCAGTTGAAATTGTTGTGAAATTTCCTCCTTTTACAAACACAAGGGGAGAGTTTGATAATAGGCTCGAGACTCAGTCATCTTTGTATATAGTCTGAGTCCCCTCACTGGCAAAGTAGCTGGTGTCCTTGGCATCGTGCCACGCAGAAAGGCCTTGCCCCAGCCTCCCCACAAATAATGCTGACACCCCATGTTTGTGGTTTGCAGGGTCTGCCTCCACCTCCACCCCGTTCATCTGTTTCTTGTACCTCACAATTGTTTGGCAGAGCTGTGACTCTTGGATTCTGAGTAATAAACACGGTCTCTCTCACTCTCTCTCTCTCTCTCTCTTTCTTTTTGCCTCTCCCTCTCCTTCATCCCCCCTCTTTACTGAGCTCCAGCTGCCTCCCAAGAAAGCAGCCTTTACTCTGTTCTTCACCTGTGCATCCAGCCAGGGATGGGCAAATCCACTGCTTCCCCCCCTAAAAAAAAGTTTAGGGGTACTCTCATTTTGACTCAAGAAAATTACCATTTTATAGTTCAAATCGGAAAAAACAACTACAGTAAATGGACAAAAGTACAAAGATTCACAAAATGTTTAGGGGTATGCGTACCCCTGCATACCCCCAGAAAAAAAGCACTGGGTAAATCTGTCCCTTTCACTTCCTCTCTGGATCTGCTTTTCTGCCAATCTGTTCTCTACCTTTCCACACTGGTTTGCAATTTCTTTTTTAAAGCCTTCGTGAAAATTCATCCTCATTCCCATGTGTGAAATTCCCCTAATTTGTATGCAATTTCGCCCAATATAGATTTTTTTTCTTTTTTGCAAAGCTATCTCCCCAAACGCGATCCACTTTGCGGTGCTCTGTTTCGTGAACAGGTCCATTTTAATGCATGTTTTACCCCAGTAAATGCATTTTCGCACCCCTTGCTTGCAAAATTCAGAAAAGTGAGACTTTTTAAGGCTGAGCATGACAATCGTGGCTAGTAGCTCTTGGTAGTCCTTTCCTTCTCCAGGAATCCATCTACAAAGCCCTGTGAACTTAGATGGTGGCAAGGCCCATAGCACATGCTTTTCATCCAGTTCTTTATATCTCTACCTGGACTGGAAGAACTGCAAGCCACTGTAGACAATGCTGAGCTAGAAGCCCCAGTGGACTGACCTGATATGAGATCCTTTGGAAACCTTAGGTGGCTTTTAAACAAAATAATTGAGACAACTGCCATTCTCATATTCATCAGAGAGACCATACGTGGCTTTCTCTATCCTCAGTGAGTCAATGCTCAAAGCACTGTGACCAATTGCTGCTCTCCATCATGTCCCATTGAGTGTTTATCGTATTCAGATCTCCCCTTCCCACTGTGAGAAACACCAGGGTAGTCACAGCATGGTTGCCACCTAAGAGTCTCAGCTTCTGGGCCCCTCCTAGATTGCTGAAGAAGTTGTTGTCCCGATGTTGCTGGACTTCAACTCCCATCATCCTTTGGTCTGTTTGGTTAGGACCAGTGCTTTTTTTTCTGGGGGGGACGCATACCCCTAAACATTTTGTGAATCGAAGTTTGGCCTCACTGAGGGGCAGTATTTCAATATGAGTAGGGAAATGAGAGTACCCCTAAACATTTTTTTAATAGAAAAAAAGCACTGGTTGGGACTGATGGGAATCTAAGGCCAATGATATCCAGAGGACCACAGCTTCAACCCCTCAGCCTTGCAGCACCAGACACCTGAACCTGAAACCCTGACAGCAGTTTCTGCTCTCTGATGTTGTCCCATCTTATACATCTGCTGGCAGCCCAAACACTACTTTGGAGAAGGCTGTAATCCCTCCAGAGAGAAACTCTGTAGCATGCCAAAGATTTTGCACTCCAAATACTTGCAGCTTTTAACACCTGACACTGAGAATTTCTGCTGCCAGTGAGGAAAGGTCTGGCCCTCTCTCTCTCTCTCTCTCTCTCTCTCTCTCTCTCTCTCTCTCTCCAAGGCTTGTCTGCCCTGCAGTTCCTCAACACCCCCCCCCCGACTGCCACGGGGACATTATAACTCCAGCAATTTGCCTCTCCAAAGACTGACTTTGGTTCGGTGCCTGGAAAAACAGTAGGCGAAATAGTGCAACCTTAAATTCTAACATGTGTAAGTTATACATCTTATTTCCATTTCCAAGCAGCCTTTCTCCCCAGAAAGACATGAGGAAAAAATTACCATCCGCCTCGAGAATATCTCAGCGGAACGTTTATCTCCTAGCCACGATAACTATGCTAGAGTAATTCTGCCTCCGCGCCTTAACAAACAAATTTAATGTTCTCAATTGGAAAATCCTTCAGGCTTGTTCGCCAGATGGAAATCCAGCGCAGAGTTGTAAGGCTTCCCTTTGCAGTGAATGGGGGCAATTATTTCAACGCTGGATTTTGTGTGTGTGTGAATGTGAAAGGTGGTTGTGAGTGTGTGTGTGTGTGTGTGTGTGTGTGTGTGTGAATGTGAGAGGTGGTAAGTTCAGATGACACACACATACACACCCTGAAATAATATATGATGTATAATGTCCACTGTTCGTTGGAAGTTGAAACTGCTTCACATGTACTATTACGTTGCCGTCTTTATGAGGATATACGTTTGACTTTCATTACATCTGTCTTGCAAAAGTCCAGGAAAGAATCGGAATACCATAGTTTAAAACTACTGCTAGAGGATAAGAATCCCAAGACTACATTAAATGTAGCCAAATTCTGTGCGTCTGCAATTAATCGCGGAAGCAAGTGGTATCCCATAGTGACCAAACCCCCAAATGTTAATTACAGGGGGCACGCTAATAATTAATTTTAATTTTTTATATTTAAATCCTTGTTACACTCATATTGACCTCTGTATTTCTGATATTTTTTTATGATCTGTGATATTGTGTGTGTTGACGCTGGTCTGTGACCGTATTAATAAATTCATTCATTCAATGTCCACTGTGCCATGTGGGCAAGCTCTGCTTTCCATGGGTAACACAGGCCGTGACCACATCCCCTGCCCTCCCTGGGTGTGGCTGGCATGTAAAAGGAACATGGAAGGAAGACCCTTGGTCCATCTAGCTCTTCATTGAGACATTGATAGGCAGCAGCTCTCCAGGGTTTCAGGTGAATGATGTTCCCACTCCCACCTGAGTTGCCTCCACTGGAGATGATGCCTGGGACCTTTTGCATACAAAACAGATGCTCTAACCACTGAGCTACAACCTTTCCCTTTATACTTGGTCTACACTGATCATGGTCCTCAATTGTTTCAGATGGGAGTTGCTTTAATGTCCCATGGTGGGCAGGCCTGTGGGTCATCATGGCTGCCCAGGGCTTTCCTAACACATTTTTGCTGCCCCACTTTCCCTCCTTGGCACAAGAAGCCCTCTTTCCTCTGCTCAGTGATCAGGTGGCATTGCAGGGGGTTGACCCATTGGATCTCTTCTAACTCTACTGTTCTGTGTAGTTGCACTGGAGCCGACGATTGCCTGGTACTGATCTGCCCCCTGTGTTTGCATTTCAGGGAGTCCCCAGTGGATTGCAGCGTCAGCAAATGCAACAAGATGGTCGGTGCCGGGACCGAATCCAATCCCTTAAATTATGGCACCTACATGGATGAGAAGAACGGACCTCCTCCCCCCAACATGACAACCAACGAGAGGAGAGTCATTGTGCCAGCAGGTAGGGGCTCAACAGTTTCTGGGACACTGGCACCCATCTGCATAGCCCAAATTTGGTTTTGGTCCTAACACGAAGTCTTTCCTCAGAGAAATGAACAGGAATACTGTAGGCCTTCAATGAAGAGTGGCTATTGTGGTTGCTCCCAAACGCTCCGTTTGGGGTCAGTGATGAATCTAAACACCATGGCAAGATGGCAAGTTGAGGATACATGAATTGCCTTGCTGAATCTGGTCCAAACTTGGGGGACCTGTGCCCTTGCCCTGCCCCCAGATGCTGTTGGACTCCCATCAGTCCCAGTCAATATGGCTGATGGGCAGGTTTGATGGGAGCTATAGTCGTGGAGTGCCACAGGCTCCTCATCCCTGATCCAAAGCCTTGCCACAGCAGTTCATGCACTTGAATTACTTCAAGATTGGATTACTGCAGCACGCTCTATTCAGGGCTTCCCTCGCGCTTCATCCAGAAGCTGCAGTTGGTGCAGAATGCCACAGCACGATTGCTGCCAGGTGTAAGGGTTTGCCAGCATATAGCACCTTGTGCTCAGAGATCTGCACCAGTTGCCAATTTGCTGCCAGGTCAAGTTCAAGGTTCTGCTATTGGTTAGAAAGCCCTAAACAACTTGGAACCTATGAGATCACCTTACCCCACATGTGCCCACTTGCTGAATTGGCACTACTACAAGTGCCACATAAGACTCGTTCCTCATTTGTAAGAACTTGGTTGTTTAGTGTGGCAGCATCTGTGCTGTGGAACTCCCTGCCTCTTGATGTCAGGCAGGCACCATCACTGTACTCTTTTTGGCACCTGCTAAAAACATTCTTGTTTAGACAAGACTGTCCGGATACTTAGAAATGCTAAGATGGATTTTAACCTGTTTTAGTATTTTAACATTTTGCATGTTTCAACTTTTCTCGGTAAGCAAGGATGGTCATGCGAGGACTGTTCCAAGGAGACGGTTCAAGTGCACGTGTTTTTGCTTACACGCACCAACCCTGGATCATAACCCCCATGCAAGATGCTATTGTGCTGTAATTACAATTGCAAGAGTTCACCTGAGGACAGAATCTGGGAGAGCGGAGAAGGAAAATAAAGGGCATGCAGAATATATTCTGCCATGACTCTTTTCCCGAAGGGGACCCCTGCGTGTCTAGATAAGAGTCATGAGAAAAATAGCACAGGATGCAGATAAAGAGGCAGACATGCAGTGATAGGTACCTCTGTAAAAACAGCTTCAGACCCTGATATATTGCTCCCTAAGGAGAGGCACAAGGGTGTTGTTTTTAAAGCAGAACCTTCATAGTTAGATTTCCTTTATTTTATAGTTAACTGCGGTTCACGGTAACTATGGTTAGCTTTAAATAACCCCAACCATGGTTTATGGAGCTGGCTTGTTTCAACTGAGCATGCTTCTCAACTCCTCAGCTGTGTAGAAGGAAAAAAGGAGGGAGCAAATCAAGGAGCCTGGGGAAATCTAGGATCATGGGATCTTCCATTAAACCATGGTCGGGCATTCCGACCAAACATGGCTACAGCAGATTCTGCAGAGTGAATGGGTTTGGAGGAAGAAGCCATGGCTCAGTGGTAGAGCATGTGCACCGCAGTCTGAAGCGCCTAGGTTCCCTCCCTGCCATTTCCAGTTAAAAGAAACAGGTGGCAGAATGAGATGTAGGAAAGGTCTCTTCCTAGAGAGCTGCTGGTGGTCAGAGTAGGCAACCCTGGGTTTGAGTCTGCACAAATGTGTCTGCACTTAAGGCAGCTTTCTGATCTTGCTATATCAGAGTCCGATAAAGTTGGCATAAGGTAAAGGTAAAGGGACCCCTGACCATTAGGTCCAGTCGTGGTCGACTCTGGGGTTGCGGCGCTCATCTTGCTTTATTGGCCGAGGGAGCCGGCGTACAGCTTCCGGGTCATGTGGCCAGCATGACTAAGCTGCTTCTGGTGAAACCAGAGCAGTGCACGGAAACGCCATTTACCTTCCCGCTGGAGCGGTACCTATTTATCTACTTGCACTTTGATGTGCTTTTGAACTGCTAGGTTGGCAGCAGCAGGGACCGAGCAACGGGAGCTCACACCATCGCGGGGATTCGAACTGCCGACCTTCTGATCGGCAAGTCCTAGGCTCTGTGGTTTAACCCACAGCACCACCCACTTCCCTAAAGTTGGCATAAGGCCAGCCTAATGTAGTTGGTACCCTAAACTCCTCCAGCCTGCACAAGCCAAGCGTGGAATTGCCCTATCAGTTCCTAGAATCGCCACTGGTGGTTAGCATTCTGTATGTTAGTCCTTGGCAGCAATGTGTCGTGGACGGAATCCATCATTCTTCCTGCCCTCCTCCTCCTGTGTTGACTCTGCAGGGCTAGCGTGGCAAGGGAAGGGTGAGTGGGCGGGGGAGAGTTTGTTTTTGTCAGCAGGGTCTGGAAATATGACTCAGACCGAGGAAGCCAGCTTGTCTGAGCAAGGAGAGGTCATTTTCACAGAATTTACTACTTTCTGGAGCGCAGTAAGGAACATCCGTCCAAAAATTTTAATAACCCATCTGTACGAGATTTGCAACGGGCCGCGAGGAGGACCAAATGTGCTGGCCTGCCTGTTTGTAGCTGCTTTGCAACTGGAGACCTGCAGGAGTAGCTGAAGTGGGGTGGGGTGGGGAGTAAGACCTCCTGCTCTTCAGAAAACAGAGGTGCTGTGATGGGGTCAGTGTGGTGCGTGCAGTGAGTTGTTGAGTGGTGAGGTCAAATCCTGCCCATTTGGCTTCTGACACAAGCAACCACAGCTAAAGCAGAATTGAGCTCTGCCCTCCCATCCGCTGATGTCACAAGTATGTCCGCTGAGTGACAGGTGAGCGTGGCTTGGGGAAAAGGTCATTGGAGGCCAAATTGGGACCCCTGGCCAGCCAAGGTTAGCCCACCGGCCAGTCTGTAGGAAGAGAGAGAGGAAGACAGAGGCAACCCTCTTAGTCCCACTGAAGTCTTACTGATGGAAAAGTTTCTCATCTAGCTCAGTTGGTAGAGCACGAGACTCTTAATCTCAGCGTCACGGGTTTGAGCCCCACGTTGAGCAAAATATTCCTGCATTGCAGGGGGTTGGGGTAGATGACCCTTGTGATCCCTTCCAGCTCTACAAATTCTACGATGCTATGATTCTAATCTCTTCAGTATCTGAAACTGATGGCTCATCGATAGGAATAACACCACCCCCAACAATCTTTCGGTGCTTGTTTGCGTTTTCAAGTGCCCAGAGCCCTCCCACTTCCTTTTTTTAAATTGCAATCCTTACAACAACCCTGTAAAGTAGGTCAGTGTCATTATCCTGAATATCGCAAACAGGGAAGATTGAAGCTGAGAGGGAGTGCCTTTCCTAAAGCCAAGTGGTGAGTTCGTGGCAGAGGTGGGATTTGCACTGTGGACTTTCCCAACGCATAGCTCAGTCTCACAATCACACAGGGAAAATATCCTTAGCTACCTGTACATTGACAGAGCAGGAAAGCTATGGGGGGGGGTGATTCCTGGCAATCCCCCCCCCCATGACTTTGGACTACAACTCCAATAATCCCTGTTCATAGGCCATGCTGGGTGGGGCCGATGGGAACTGGAGTCCAGCAGAATCCAGAGGCCTTCACAGGTTGCTCATGCCTGCCCTAAACAATCTGGCCCAACTTACCTGCAGAACTGTCTTCACTCCTGTGATCCACTGTGACCTACATAAGAACAAAGGGGCACAGGCAAATGTTCTCAGTGGCTGCTCCTCAGCTTCAGAATTTTCTTCCCCTGGAGACTCTCCAAAGCCAGAGCCTGTGCATCTTCTGGAAGTGGTGGTTTTATTCAAGCCAGTAGCCCGGATGTGATTGTTATTGCAGTTTTTTACAGCAAAGCACAATTGCAGGTTTTACAGCAATTAAGTGGTACATAAATTTTGTTGAATCAATAATACAGTGGTACCTCGGGTTACATATGCTTTAGGTTACAGACACTTCAGGTTACAGACTCCACTAACCCAGAAATAGTACCTTGGGTTAAGAACTTTGCTTCAGGATGAGAACTGAAATCGTGTGGAGGCAGCAGAAGGCCCCATTAGCTAAAGTGGTGCTTCAGGTTAAGAACAGTTTCAGGTTAAGAACGGACCTCCGGAATGAATTAAGTTCTTAACCCGAGGTACCACTGTAAACACATTGGCATATAATCCACTCTGAACACTTGGAATCTCAGAGGCTATACACATTGTTGCAGGGAGCAGGATAACAGTTTTACTGTTGCTCTAAAGCAGGAGTGGGGGGCATTTTTTTGGTCCTCTGGAAGTTAGAGAGCCACAACTCCCATCAGCCCTTGCAAGCATGGCCAACAGCCTGAGATGATGGACATTGTGGTTCAACGACTTCTGGAGGGCCAGAAGTCCCCCATACCTGTTGTAAAAGAAAAACCTTGACGACTCTTGCTTTATCAGTATCTCCCCCTGCTTCCTTCTGGCAGACCCCACATTATGGACCCAGGAGCATGTCCGCCAGTGGCTCGAGTGGGCTATCAAGGAGTATGGCTTGATGGAGATCGACACCAACCTCTTCCAGAACATGGATGGGAAGGAGCTCTGCAAGATGAACAAGGAGGATTTCCTCCGGACCACATCTCTCTACAACACGGAAGTTCTGCTGTCTCACCTCAGCTACCTCAGGGAAAGTAAGTGACTGCTCTGTTCTGCCGCCTTCTTTCTCGGAGGCCTGCCTGGCACGTCAAACAAAGAGTAGGTTCTTTTGGCCGAGAGCTGAAGTCAGAAGGGTAGCTGGGAGGAGAAAAGGAAGGAGGTTGAAAGGGGGCCAGGGTCAACAGCAAGAGCCAGTGTGGCACAATGGTTAGAGTGTTGGGCTAGGACCTGGGAGAGCAGAGTTCGAATCCTCACTCAGCCATGAAGTTCACTGGGTGACCTTGGGACACCCATTGGCTCCCTCACAGGGTTGTTGTGAGGATGAAAATGGGGAGGAAGAGAACCATGTGCCTCTCTTTGAGATCCTTGGAAAATAAAGGTGGTATATAACTGAAATACATACATACATACATACAACAAGAAATGCAAGAAAATAGTGTCCTTCCCGATGTTTCTGGACTCCGACTCCCATCATTCCTGGCCTATGCCTCTGCTTCCTGGGGCTGATGGGATTTGGAGTCCAGGAACAGTTGGAGGGCCAAAGTCTCTCCATGCCTGAAGCAAAATCTCCCAAGCTGTGCTTGTTCTGCCTGGTTTTTTCTTGTACCCGCTCTCAGAGGTGGATTTAGGGCAGCACAACTGGTTCCACTACTCTGGGCACCAAGCCAAGGGGGCATTGCAACAGTAGTGAATTGAGCAGAAAGGGAGAGGTGGTGGGGCACTGACTTTTGGCCTCACACAGGGCACCTCTGAAATTTGAGTCCAAAGTCCACCCCTGAGGCTCCTATCACAAAAACCTAGCTGGCGTTGTGGAAGAGCAGATCCACCGGGTTTCCTCTGAAAATGCAGATCAATGAATTGCTTATTTGTCTAGTTCTGTTATCTCGCTGAGAACAACTTTTTAAAACACCAAGCCGCAGACATATTGTCTGACTGAAAAAAGGTGTCTCCAATTAACTGATGGAAAGATTAAGTAGTTATAGAAGCTCTGTCTCTGTGCAAGCGATACACAGTGAAGTGTGTGGGGAGCCTCTCCTTAGGGGGACAGCACACATGACCCTTATGGGGGCCAATGGGAACTTTGCCCCCCATTGCTAATTGCAGCACAGAGTAGTTTTTTTCTATTAGGGTTGCAGTTGGGGAGGGAAGGTTCACATGTTCCCTCCACGCATGGTGTAATCCACATGGAAATCCATGGGTGCCTAGGATGTTGTTGTTTTTTAATCACCTGATTGGCTGCAAGTCCGATGGCTGGTTTAATGTTTAGTTAGGTTTGCATGCAGATGTATGTCATAATAAAGAGCTAGAGCAGAATGCCTATATGCATGTGAACTCAGAAATGAGATCCGTGCAAATCTGTTTGGCATGGGGAGAGTGCAAAAGAGGAACCAAAGGGTTTGCATTTCTGCTTTCTGTACACCTGGAATTTGTAAGATCCAGTCACGAAGACTTGTATCCAATACAGAACAGATTTGCTGAATTTTACTGGCATGGCTAGCTTAGGTCCATTCATTTCAGTGGGTCTACTCTGTGTAGATGTTAGTTGGCTCCCAGTTCCTGGGTTCAACCAGCCTTTCAATGAGTGAACCCATCAAAGTCTTTTTTCAGTGCAATCCAAAGCCAAACAGATTTGCCAGCAACCTCCAGTTCAGCAGCCTCCCACTCTTATCTGCCTCAAAATGTGGTTTCCTGGAGTGCAGCAACTTTGAGGACGTAATGCTCAGCACTGCCACGTTCTGAGGCTTCTTTCCGCCCACATCTGACTTGGCAACTAGAAGAGTTGCGCTGATCAACATCACTTTCTTGGTGTTTTCTTCCTGTCACAGTGCAGTGACCTGCATTCAACCACCATAGAATTGTAGGGTTGGAAGAGACCCAAAGGGTCATCTAATTCAACCCCATGCAATGGAGAAGTCACAGCTAAAGAATCCCTGTCAGACAGCCATCCAGCCTCTCTCTAAAACAGTGGTTCTCAACCTGTGGGTCCCCAGATGTTGTTGGACAACAACTCCCATCATCCCTGAGCTCTGGCCTTGCTAGCTAGGGGTGATGGGAGCTGTAGTTCAACATCTGGGGACCCACAGGTTGAGAAAGGCTGCTCTAAAAGCCTCCAATGAAGGAGAGTCCATCGCTTTCCAAGGTCATCCATTCCATTATTGGACGGCTCTTACTATCAGAAAGTTCTTCCTGATGTTTGGTTGGAATCTCCTTTCTTGTAACTTGAATCCATTGGTTTGGATCTTCTCTTCTGGAGAAGCAGAAAACAAGCTTCTTCCGTCTTCTGTGTGACAACCCTTCAGATATTTGAAGATGGCTCTCATATCGCTTCTCAGTCTTCTCTTCTCCAAGCTAAGCATCCCCAACTCCCTCCTCCGCTCCTCTTCAGGCTTGGTTTCCAGACCCTTGATCATCTTGGTTGCCTTCCTCTGCACACTTTTCAGCTTGATTGCTGTGGTCAACAACTTGCACGAGCCTGCCTCCCTGGGCACCTGACCTGTTCCTTTCTTCTGTTTTGCACACTGACTCCATGAGATGAGGCTGCGATCCTCTGCGCTGCTTTCTTGCTGCTGCCATCTTTGGCTGTAATTGGGGGTGGGAAGAGGTGTGGGCTTTGAGGGAGATAGGGCAAAGCCTTGTTCTCATTAAAGTGTGTTCACAGGCCAAGCCAGGCTACTGGACATGACTCCTTTCCAAACAGCTGTTCCTGTGCCTGCTTCACGACAGTCTGGTTTCTGGATTTCTGGGCAACTCCCTTGTGGTGTCATGCCTTTGAAGGGAATTTATTGTTTTTCCAGACTTAATTTCCACTGGATGTTTTGCGCTGCATCTCTGAACCAAGAAGGGTGCTGGAGGAGATGGCTCCTTACTTCCCCACAACAGAGGGACATTGGGGGCACTTTAATCCACTGCAGTGAGTGAGGAACACTTTGCAGAGAGCAGTGGAGCAGCTGGGGAATTTTAGACTCTGGGTTTAATGGTTCTCCAGATGGTCACTTGCTTAAAAGTAGGGCAAGCCAGCCCTATGGTAGCTGACTGGGGTCCTGGGCCAGAGTCCTGCCCTGAAGGCACCAGGGTAAGAATTGCAGACAAGCAGCTTACAGGGGGATCAACCTCATCCTTTTTCAGTCTCTAGAGACTCAGCAAGTGGTGAGGTGGGATATCTGGTTCACTTGTCATCTAAAGGTAAAACTAACACATTTGCACTTTCTGAACTGAAACACCATGGGTGGGGGACCTTTTCTGCCCAGCAGGACAGATCCTTTCCTCCTTACCCTTAGAGGCCCAAATCTGACAGATGAGCTGGGTCACCCACCTGTCAGTTGCCCGATAACATAGTGACATCAGGTGATGCTGTGCTTTGAAGCCCCCAGCTGTTGGGGCTACAAAGCATAGCATAGGGATTTTCAACACACACACACACACACACACTTGTTGTTGTTTAGTCGTTTAGTCGTGTCCGACTCTTCGTGACCCCATGGACCAGAGCACGCCAGGCACTTCTGTCTTCCACTGCCTCCTGCAGTTTGGTCAAACTCATGCTGGTAGCTTCGAGAACACTGTCTAACCATCTTGTCCTCTGTTGTCCCCTTCTCCTTGTGCCCTCCATCTTTCTCAACATCAGGGTCTTTTCCAGGGAGTCTTCTCTTCTCATGAGGTGGCCAAAATATTGGAGCCTCAGCTTCAGGATCTGTCCTTCCAGTGAGCACTCAGGGCTGATTTCCTTCAGAATGGATAGGTTTGATCTTCTTGCAGTCCATGGGACTCTCAAGAGTCTCCTCCAGCACCATAATTCAAAAGCATCAATTCTTCGGCGATCAGCCTTCTTTATGGTCCAGCTCTCACTTTCATACATCACTAACACACACTCCATGGACAAAGACAACACACGCACACACCTCTAAATGTCTGGGTAGTGGAGGTTTAAAAGGCAGCATGTGGTTGTTTGCAAAAGGACTTTCAAGCAGCCCTGCACTCTGCAGCCAAATGATTTATCAGCTTTCCGTGGTACAATGTGAAATTTCCTAGTGGTCTTAAGTACTCTGCTTCTTTGTCGTGTGTTTGAACTTCTGTCGTTTTTATTGTATTCCTTTGTTTAACTTACTCTGATAAAAATGATAAAATGAATAATAACCTGGAATTAGCAGTGAGGGCTTGCCATCCCACCACGAGCCCTTTAGAATGTAAAAGTTGTCAGTTAAAGATTCCAGGTCTGGTATTTCTGCTGGTCTCAGTGCCCTTAAAGTCTTGATGTCTGCTTCGTTCTTGCTCCCCCTCCCTGCACACATTCCCCTCCTTTTTTCATTTAAGCATCTTAATAGGAAACACATTTTTCTTCCTTTTCTGGTGTTCCCAACTAGAAACCTCAGACTGCCGGGCAAAGGTGAGAACTTTCAGCAATAAACCTGGGGCGACTCTCTCCCTTTTGACGGCCACAACTTGTGCTTTTCAGCAGAGAGTGGCCCTTGTTTTATCTGACAAGTTCACTTAGACGGGAATTCCCCCTCTCCCTCGCCAGCCCCACTCCCTGCCCCACCGTCTGCAACTTCAGCCATGTAGGCTGTCTGTCTGATCGCTGGGTCTTGGGGCACTGGGCTGGCTGGCTGGCTGGCTGATGCTGGTCGTACTGAACATCGAAATCTGGATCCGTTTCCAACCAGAAGCCAGAAAACGTGTCAGGCATGAATTAGTTCCCTCGCTGAGATATTTGAGAGGAACAAATTAAAAGCGAAACGAAACACCAACTGAAAACCAAGGATAAGGGGGTGGGTGAGAAGTTTGGTTTGGTTTGTATTTTAGTGTGAACCAACCTAAATAAATCACATGTTCTCCGCGAACCAAAATGCAGCAGTTCCTTGGAATTTGCACCTCTCTGATGGTTCTTGATGTGATTCTCCAAACAAGTAATGTGCACAAAAATTTGTATTGTAAGAAGGAACGTGCATAAAAAGGCCAGCATTTGTGAAAATAGCATTAAGGGAAATTGCTTGCAAATGTGTTTCCGTTAGGAGACCTTGGCACTCAAATGAGGATTAGGCAAATTCATGGCGGAGGAGAGGACTGTTGACGGCATCACTGCCTCCACTGTGAGAGGCAGCAATGCTCCTGAATACCACTTGCTGGAAGCCACAGGAGGGGAGAGTTGCTATTTTGCATTGAATCCTGCTTGCACGCTTCCCCTAATGGGCATCGTATGGGCATGATGGGAATCACATGCCGCTTGGCATGTGAGGAGTGGAGAATCTGAGATTAACAATGCCATCCTGCATAAAGCTAATCAGAAGGAAACCCCATGAGTTTAATGGAATTTACCCCTGTTGAAGAATCAGTGGAAACTGATTTCATCTCAAATTACCAGGTCAGTTTCATGAATTTTTAGTTGAATCACTGTTTCCCAACCTTAGCTGTATCTAAGTTCTACTCAGATCAAACCCACTGAAATTAATAAACCTAAATGAGTCATGTCCATTCATGCCAGGGGGGGTCTACTCTGAGTATGACCAACGTTGGATACAACCCATAGATAGATAATATAAATACTTAACAGTAGTTTTGGTATGTGTCATATCGTAAAAGGTATTCCCAGTTCTCTCACACTTGGCCGAATGGGGGAAATGCCTCTTCTCTAACATGGGGGATTATTGTCAAAATTATTGTCTCGTTTATATTCAGACAGGGAGATTTAATTGGCTAGATACTTTGAACTGATTTACGGCCTTCATTTATAGACTATGGCAACTAGTCATAGATAGTGCTCCATCAAGATTAGAAGTGATCCCTGATGTTGATCTCTGATTATGATGATCCACTTTCCAGAACACCTGCTGATTTTCCTTTTGAGATAATGAACGTTAGGAATTCTTTAGCTGTGATTTTCTGCATTGCCGGGGGTTCGACTAGATGATCCTTGGGGTGATTCTTCCAGCTCTACAATTCAATTATCCTAATTGCAGAAGGGAACTAGGAAACCATTTGTTTCTCCTTCCTTTCTCTGCACAGATCCCTTCTAAGCAAATAATTTGATCTTGAATACTTAACTGCAACATTTCTCTACCCTACCCCCATCCAAAATACAGGTTTTTCCCCTACACATTTTTTTAAAAAATACCCATTTTTGCACAGGCTAAACCTCTTCTTGTCCTTTATTTTTTTCCTTCCAGGTAGTTCCTTGCTGTCTTATAACACACAAGCCCACACGGAACAATCCTCTCGACTCAATGCCAAAGAAGGTGAGTTCCTTCTTCTGGATCCTGATCATTTGTCTGAGACTGTTTTGCTGTAAAAAGCACCAAACTAGGAGCTCAGTTTGGAAATGTGCAGAATCTGCTTCCTTGTCTTTTCACCCAGAGGCTGGGGAGGATGCTTTCCCTTTCTTCCCCATTGTCTAAAGCAGATGTGAGGAACCTTTGACCCTCCAGAAGCTGCTGAACTACGACTGCCATCAACCCTGGCCATTGGCCATGCATGCTGGGGCTGATGGGAGTTGCAGTCCAGCAACTTGCTGGCGTTAGGAGCGGTTCAACAGCAGAGTGAACTCCCTCAGGAGATTATGGACTCTCCCTCACTGGAGAATTTAAGGCAGAGGTTGGATGGGCATCAATCATGGGTGGTTTAGTTGAGATTCCAGCCTTGTAAGAGGATGACTCTTGAGGTTCCTTCCAACATAACATATTTTGTTATGTGCAAATGGCTTTAAATACCTATTAGGTCCATAAATTACCATATAGCATATATTCAACAACGAAAACAGCGAAAATTCGTTGTTGTTGACAAAGGACAGCTGGACATAAAAAGGGCCCCATTACCTTCAGTAGCTGAGGGCCTCATCAAGCCTAAATCCGGCCCTGTTCATGGCCTTCCGGTAGAGGCCCCCATCCATGCTAGGCAGCCCCTGGACCTTCCCTCCTCCATGGCCTCCTCTCTCCTTCTCTATGTCTGCATCACTGCCAAGCCGAAGCTCAGCAAAGGTCCAAAGCAGGTCTGCAGCACTTCTTTAGGGGTTGGGTTTCCTCATCATGTTAAGAGGGGTGCAGGATGTGCAATATCTGAGCCAACCCTTGTGAGTGTATGTGTGTGAAGGCTTTGACCATAGCATTGTGGAGGCAGGAGGTGAGCAGATGGAAAGTTTAAAGTGTGTGCATCCCAGAGGCTGATCTTGGTCTTTGGATGTGTACTGCATTGTCTTGGCCCTCCTGGCTTGCCGTACCAGGAACTGAGTCAGCAATCGGGCATCGTGCTTCCAGCTCTGCAATAAAGCTCTACACACACACAGCCGCCCCTGAAATTAACTGCTTTTGGAAAAGTTCTTCTGGTTATCCATCTTTTGTGCAGCCTCCTCTTCATGATACCAGAGGTTGCCACCCATCCCTAGAAAAAACAGGATTGCCCCATTTTTGGACAAAAGTCTTCCCTGTCCCATTTGGACTTCAAACACAATCCCCGTATTTCAGCTCAGCTGGCCCAAAATGGCGGCTGTGTCGCTGTTGGTGCGGTTGATGAGGAGCCTGGCCCGGTGCAAGCGACAATAGAGAGGGGGAAGGAACAACTCCCTCTCTCATCCTCTCCTTTGTTCCATTTCACTGGTGCTCCACATCAGCCACTGCCTGTTGGTCTAGCATGGTGCAAGTCTGCTTGGCTCCCTCCGCCACCCAACCTGACCTCCCCTCCTACCTCCTCTGAAATTTGTGAGGCAGTTCTCTGCCCCAAAAGGATGCTATATCTATATCTATCTATCTATCTGTCTATCTATCTATCATCTATCTATCATCTGTCTATCATCTATCTATCATCTGTCTATCATCTATCTATATCTATCTATCATCTATCTATCTATATCTATCTATCATCTATCTATCTATCTATCTATCTATCTATCTATCTATCTAATCTATCATCTATTATCTATCTATCATCTATCTATCTATCTATCTATCTATCTATCTATCTAATCTATCATCTAATAATAATAAGTAGAGTTGATTGGGGAACTGCAGAAATGGGCCCAAATTGGATACAAAAGTTTGCATACAGGGAAAAAAACCCCAGAAACATTTGTGCAGATTTGTACAGGAAAAATTGCAAACGGATGTGGAAACGAGGCAGATTAAATTTAAGCCTGGAAAAAATGAGGGGCACCGAAATAGACAGATTTGCCCATTTTCCTTAATGCAAAAATATTTCTTGCATATCTGGGGAGGGGGGAGGGGCAGGTTTTTCCGCACAAAAGCACCAAACCCACGTTAATCCTGCAACTTGAATTTTGGCAATATGCAATCTGAATCCTACCCACTAAACAATGACTGTCTGGGAGAGCCCTTACTTTCAGATAAGTGTGCCCCATGGGATTGCAGTGCTCTAGATCCATGGAGAAAATGTCCTGTGGATCGCTCAAATGTTGAAACCAGACGACTTTGGACGTCTGATTGTCTAGAGGCCAACAAGCGAAGAATCCTCCTTATGACTTTCCAGGCACGGCACCCACCAGAGCCTGCTTGTTCTCTGACAAGGGGGGTGGGGCGGTGTCTGGATTTTAGCTAATTCATGCCTTTGCAACTGTCTGTTTCAGCACAAAGCCCACATTTTATATAAAAATCCCTTCTGCAAAGTGTTGTGTCTCGTGGTACTTCCACATTCCCACATCCTGCAGCCGCTGAGTCCATTTCCCTTAGCAATCACTTAATCTAAATCCCAGCTTCATCCTGGCTTTATAAGCCTAACCCTCCCCACCTACAGAAAAAAGAAGACGCAAGCAGCGTATCTGTTTCAGTTTAAGCTCTGCCAACATCTCCTGTGTGCTGACGGTTGATGGGTTTGGCTCTAGGAGATTTTGGGGGAGGGAAAAGGGCCAGGTCTTTTTATAACTTGATGTTTCATTGATTACAACTTCCTTTTTTAGATGTGTTTTTCATATTTACAGCCATAACAGCATATAAAACGATGATATAATAATCAAGATCAAAGCAATGCAATTCAATATCACAATTTTAATTTATTACCTGCCATTCTCCCTAAGGTCCCAGGGTGCAACCATTTAATAAAGAGCTTAAGAATTTAAAAGATGCAACCACCCAAAATAGAGTGGGTCCTGAAAATATACGTCTTAGGTGTCAAAAGCCAGGGTAAAGAGCTGTGTCTTCAGTATCCTCTGGATGATATATAGTTAAGTTGCCAAATGTATCTCTTTGGGAGGGAGTTTTACCACTTTGGGGCTGCCACAGAGAAGGCCCTGTCCTGGGCCTCACATGCAGGTCCTGCAATATAATATATAACTGAGTGCTAAAAAGGGGAGATAGATCTAGTACATAAGGGAAAACTACAACTGGCCTACACACGCATTTTAGGAACTACAAATCTGCAATTTGACTAAAAGAAGTGGAGCAACCAGCTGCGAAATATTTCAGTTCAGAGAAGTGCAGCCTGTTGGATTGATCAATATTGCTGTAGAGATGACAACAACACAAGCATAGAGGGAGAACCTCTGGATGTGTATACAGGACATGTCAGCATGGCCTCAGGCTGGAGAATGGTCTCTGCATCATGGACGATGTCCTCAAATCTCCTCAACTGACACTTTGGAAACAGTGTCGTTTCCTTTTTATCAGAGCAGTTGATAAACACGGAAGCCAAAACCTCTCACCACATACATTTTTCTATAAAAAGCTCCGTTTTGTTAATCAGAGTAACATAGATATTATTTTAGTGTTTAACTGGATTCTAAAAGGAACCCCAAGCAAGCTTGTCTGAAGTGCTTGGTGTGGGCTCTTTTGAGCTCAGGTGTGCTTACTGCTGCCTGCGTAGGTTCTACTTGTAAAAAAAAAAAAAAAGGTGCATTGAGCATTAACAAAAGATCTTCAGCCAACTGAAATGCAACCTTTGGCTTTTAATTAGAAATGCAAACCCTCTTGCAAAGAAAGCTTAGCATTAAGTTTGCTAGCATGAACTGGGAACCCCACTGAAGAAAAGGAAAGAAGGACCCAGCCTCTACTTAATTATTTCCCTGATTCTCCCAAGTTCAATTTTTTTTGAAAGCCTCCTTACTTTGTTTATTTATATGAATATATATGTACCACCCTTCATCTTATGATTGCAGAAATAAAACTAGTGCAGACTTAATAAAACCCTCACCTCTGTCATTAGCCGGAGCAAGAAGGGTCTGTCTAGGAGCCCAATACCCTGGCAGATGACATCACCCGCCCTGCTCATAAAAAGCTCTGCTCCTCTATCTTTGCCCTCCCCTACTTGTAGAGCTTTCAATGCATGTTACAGAAAAGCCAAGGCTCTGAAATGGGACTGCAATTTTCCACAACCAGGAAGACAAAAAGACAGGCAGGAGGCAATGAAAGCAACAAGAATGCAAAAAGGAGTACCTGCCAGGTACCAGCTATCAGGGACAAGAGGCCTGTGGGTTGTTTGTTTGTTTTTAGATCACCTGCTTCAGAGATTTGCATAAGCTGCTTCAGAAAGCCTTAAGATTGCTCCTGGAGGAGGGACTGCTTCGAGCTTCACATTAAACCAACCTTCCCTGACATCTTAGGAGTTGATGGAAGTTGTGGTCCAAAATTCTCTAGAGGGCACTCAAGCCTGTGATGGCTGCAATGAATGCATGCAATTCCAACATTTCTCCGATGAAAATAGGGACATCCTAAGGAAAGGTGGGGACGTGGATGGTGCTGTGGGTTAAACCACAGAGCCTAGGACTTGCTGATCAGAAGGTCGGCGGTTTGAATCCCTGCGACGGGGTGAGCTCCCATTGCTCGGTCCCTGCTCCTGTCAACCTAGCAGTTCAAAAGCACATCAAAGTGCAAGTAGATAAATAGGTACCGCTCTGGCAGGAAGGTAAACGGCGTTTCCGTGCGCTGCTCTGGTTCGCCAGAAGTGGCTTAGTCATGCTGGCCACATGACCTGGAAGCTGTACGCCGACTCCCTCGGCCAATAAAGCGAGATGAGCACCGCAACCCCAGAGTCGGCCACGACTATACCTAACGGTCAGGGGTCCCTTTACCTTTTAAGGAAAGGTGGGACTTTCCTGGATCAAATCAGAAACTGGGATGGGTTCTGTAAACAGGGACACTTGGAGGGTCTGTGGACCTAAACCTTGATAGCTGGCGCTGATGAGGACTAGTTTCTTCTTTTTGCATTCTTCTGAGTCCCCACTCCCCACATCATTACCGGCTGCAATGAGCAGCGGGGCGTGATTTTGCAGGTTGTGACGATGCACTCCCTGAAGAGGTAAAGATGAGCGTAGGCCTTGTGGCAGAGCAGTGGGAGATCATCATGAGGGTGTCTGCTTGGGGTGACACCCTTGTGTTTCCTGCTCTGTGTGGTTTTGGCCTCAGCAGAGGATGTTATCTGATTCTGCTGCTGAGCCTTTTAACCTCAGCCGCCACCTGCCTCGCAGGCAGAGAGAAGCAGTACGCAAACATTGTGTGTGTGTGTGAATACGGCACCCTGCAGGTGCTGCCATTGTCTCCGCAGCAGCCGCCCACTTGAGCGCCCTGTGCCCTCCTCGCCCTCCTCTGAGCAGCCCGGCTGCAAGGTGGCAACAAAGCTCACCACGCTTGCCTCCAGCTCCTTCTCTGGGTGAATGGGTATCTGTTTGAAAATAATAACAAAAGCTTGTTTGGACGAAGCAAACAAGGAGAGCCCAGAGCCTCTATCTGAAAGCGGGGAGTGCACACAAACCCATCAACCTCACTGAGAGAGCTGAGCCTCATTCCTTTCTGGACCCCTTGGGGGACAGGTGCTGCGACTGTAAACACAGGAAGGCAAGCAGAGAGAGACAGAGAGAGACAGAGAGAGCGCGCTCAGGCTGCAAAAGTAACCCTTCTGGGTTTTGTGCGGTTTTGTTGAATCTGGCGTAACTTCTGTCGCTCGAGAGCAGCCCTGTGTTCATTTTCAAAAGGCAACCTGGCTAGATATCTTTTTGTACAGAGCATGCAAGAGGCTGTGTTTTATTTGGTGTCTGGCCTTCACGCCGTTAATGTACAGGGGTGCTTTCCTCATTTGTCTGTCTCTAAATAAAAATAAAAAAGGATCAGAGTAGAATGAAGAAGAAACAAATGCCCACAAAAATCCCAAGAAAAAGAAAAGGTCTCCTGAGAATCTGTTGGAAAGTAGCACAGGGAAATGCTGTCTTCCCCCACCCCTCTTTATTAGATTAAGGGCAGAATAATTTATAATTCAAACAACAATCACAACTTGACTGTCAGTTCTTGAAATTAAGACTTCCAGAATGCAGCAAATGGATCCCATATTTGCTCAAACTGGTTTGAAAAATTTGGATTTTCCCCAAGCGCGCTTATCTTGTGCAAGTACATGATGTTCTAAGTTTAGTGTGGCGTAAGGAGAGCTTTTTCTGGACTAGAGAGTGTATTATGCGATGCAGGAAGTCAGGAGTAGCCAACCTGGTGCTCTCCAGATATTCTTGGGTTCCAACTCCCATCAATTCCAGCTAGCATGCCCAGTGGTTAGAGATGTTTTGTGGGCTTTTTTTTTGCTATTGCTATTCCAGTTGTTTTATCCAAAAAAAAAGGGTCTCAAAGGTCTCGAGATAAAATATAGATTAAAAAAAAATTTAAAAACCACATTTAAAAAAGTGTGAAGTACAGCATTCCCAAAACCAAAGGGCTAGCTGAAAAAAACATCTTAGTCTGGTGCCTAAGAATGGACAAGGATGGCACTAGGCACATTTCCCCAGGGAGAGCATGTCTCCATGCGGACATCCTCCACCCTTCCTTTGGAAGAGACACACTGTAAAGGACATCTGATAAAGATTATGGGGCCTGGGCTTGTTTCCACGGGATGATGGGAATTGTAGTCGAGCAACAATCCAAAGGGCACTCCGGAATTAAGTGATATTGCCTACTGGGACTTGAGATGCACCACAGGTTAAAAGGGGATTTTACACACTGTGGAGCCAAAAGACCATGAAACTCATGGCCAGCATTTCAGGGGTTGTGTTTATTTGCACAGTATAACTGGGGAACAGAAATGACTGCTAAATTAGGAGATTTCTCTCTCTCTCTCTCTCTCTCTCTCTCTCTCTCTCTCTCTCACACACACACACACACACACACATGCCTCCCCCCAACAACAATTAGCTTGGCTGCCACCTTAGTCGGTAAGTATGCTATCATACCCTCCAAGATTTCTCCAAGGAAAATAGGGATGCCCAAAGGAAAAGCAGGACATTCCAGGATCAAATCAGAAACTGGGATGGCTTTTGCAAATCCAGGACTGTCCCTGGAAAATAGGGACACTTGGAGGAGCTGTGCTATGCATTCCTTGCTGGTGTTAATTGGCTTTTAATCAGCATTCATGGTTAGGAGCCAAGCCACTAAGCAAGAGAGCAGATTGCTCCTAACAGTATCACAGGCGGTTGTGGTTTTGCCGGGGAACATGTTCAGGTTGTCTCTGGCTCCCTCCACAACAGTCTGCCTTGTGGTTCGTGTGGCAGGTTCCTTTGGGATCAAGCCCAGCCTCCTCTGGACATTGGCTGAGGTTCCCCGTTAGCAAGCATCCCAACCGTACAAATGTACGGGGTTTCGCGTCCTTGGTACAAATTGTCTTCAGCTGCCTTGGAGACCTGAGTGGTCCTAATGAGAATCATCAGGCTTTCCTGGCCAAGGAACAATTTTATTGCAAACGAAATGAGGCTCCTCTCATCACTAAGTGGAACGATTTGGGCCTCTCTGCTTGTTTTGTTTTAATGGGAAAGAGTCTGTTTCGGTTTCCATGACTTGGCAGACCAGGTCAGATATTGCAGGCCCATAAGGAAAATGGAAAAGATCACAAGGTAGCTTATGTACAGGCAAGGTAGCATCCTCAGAACACCGTTCGCGTTTTGCCAAACCCAGATTTCAATATGTCAGTGCAAAACGGCATGGCTTATGTAAGGAGTGGCTAAATCTTTTGAGGCTGAGGCCTTGACCCTCAGTCAACATTCTTAGGGCCACTCATCAAAGTGGGTGTGGCCAATGGGGGTGTGGCAAGAACTTTAGAATTCTCAGGTCTTCTTCTTTGTCCATTAGCTGTTCAGCGCCATTTTAAATCCTTATTTTTATCATCCATCGTTCAATTCAGCAAAAAGCAGTGACAACAATTTAAAAGGACAAATGTAAGGGGTGAGCACAGAAGACATGGAAACCTTTTGGCATCGCAGCGGTGAGCACACAGGAATGGTCAGGAATGTTGCTTTTTAAAAGGGGAAATTACATTTTTGTTTTTAAAAGGCCAGATTTTGGTGAGGGGCTTTGGAGTCCGCAAAAAGCTTTTGGCAACAGTTTTTAAAATGGGAAAAAAATGGTGTGTGGGGGGGGTTGAAGACACAAAAAACCAACAGAGGACCTGTGGTGGAGGCAGAGGCCCCAGACCAGTTGCCACCGTGGCACCGGAGAACTGGAGCTAAGGCAGCGGGTGGTGGTGGCAGGCAGAGAATGGGCACCCACAGTGAAAACTTTGTGGGTACCCAGGGCCCCCTGGAGATGGCGCCAGTGCCTTTTGGTAAAATGGCATAACAATAGGGGAACCACAGATGGTGTTTGTGTGTGTGAGTGTTTTATTTTAGTTTTTAATTTGTTTATTTATCTAAGAAAGGACATACAGTTAAGTAGCATGCAATATAAGAAAGAAAAGAGACAGACAGACAGACAGACAACACAACCAAATGAAAATTAAACATACACACAAAATGCAAATTTGAGTTGTTTCGTTCATTATCCCTGAAGATAATTATTATTGGCGTTGGGATTGGGATGGGGGCAGTAATGCCTCTCTGCCCCGCTAAATTTTATAGTTTTTACTTATTTATTTGTATCCTTGTAAATAGCTTAGAGAACATTGTAATTAAGTGGCACATACCTTGTTTGAATGAACGAACGAATGAATGAATAATTCTATGACCTTGATGGCTTTGATGTCCCAGTCTAATGCAAAGCAGGCACTCATGTACCCCTCTGCGGTAAAAATGCACAAACAGGACACATTTCTATTCAGATTATTGTAATTCTCTATAGATTTGTCTATAAATCAGCACGTGCATGTTTGTGCAAACCAGTGTCCTCTTTTTCCTCAGTGTGTTTCCTCTTTTTTTGTGTGTGGGCAGGGTGGAGGGAGTTGCAGTGTGCAAGTGGTTAGCCTATTGCAGATAGTGGGCAGACACCCCCACTCCTGTTCCAACGAGGATGGCAGTCAGGGCAATGAGTTAAAAAAACCCCCACAACCTTCCCCACATGTGAGGTCCAAATCTGTTCTTCCCTCCAAACACACACACACACACACAGAGAGAGAGAGGGGGGGGCACACATACACACACACACACACACACACGACAATTTAATTAAAACAGCAACAGCTATGCAACGCTAAAAACTCTTTAACAAATAGCACCTCTCGCTGCTTAAAGACCTCCAAAGAAGGAGACCTTGTGGGGGGCTGGACTATATATTTTTGCCCCACAAATAACCCAGAAATGCATTTTAAATAAAAGGACACATTCTACTCATGTAAAAACACGCTGATTCCCAGACCATCTGCGGGCCGGATTTAGAAGGCGATTGGGCCGCATCTGGCCCCTGGCGGGGCCTTAGGTTGCCTACCCATGCTCTATAAAGAGTGAGTTCTAGACCTTTTTCCACAAGGGAAGGATCACACACCCCCATAAGTAATATATTGGTTTTTGAAGCATCTTTTGTGAATGCAGGAGGCCACCCTGCCAGGAAGACCTTCTGCAGATAGAAAAACACACCTTTGCTTACCCTGAGAGCCAGTGTGGTGTAATGGTTAAGAGCGGTAGATTCGTAATCTGGGGAACCGGGTTCGCCTCTCCGTTCCTCCACATGCAGCTGCTGGGTGACCTTGGGCCAGTCACACTTCTTTGAAGTCTCTCAGCCTCACTCACCTCACAGAGTGTTTGTTGTGGGGGAGGAGGGGAAAGGAGAATGTTAGCCGCTTTGAGAATCCTTCGGGTAGTGATAAAGTGGGATATCAAATCCAAACTCTTCTGAGAGATTTCATAGAATTGAAGGGGAACCCCAAGGGTCTTCTGATTTAGTCCTCTGCAATGCAGGAATATCAACTAAACTAAAGCATCCATGAGAGATGGTCATTGAACCTCTGCTGAGACTCCACCCCCTCCCAAGGGAGTCCCTTGCACTGTCAAACAGCTCTTCCCTTCATTACGTTCTTCCTGACATATACTGTAGTTGGAATCTCCTTTCTTTTTAATCATCTCTCCCTCTCAGGAACCCTTTGCATCTTTCCCTCATTCCCCTTTCCCCCTTTTACTGGCCAAATCCCTGTCAGGACTTGCAAGGCGCACCAAAATTTGCTGTTGTCCCCCACCTGCGACCACCACCACGTATACTTTATGTTGTTGTTGCTGCTGCTCCTGCATGGAACTATAAAGCCGGGATTCTTTGGTTCCAGGAGAAACAGTAGCTTGCTCTTGGGGGCTTAAAAAAAAACCACCACTGTTTTCCTTTGAAATTCCAGGGCTGGTGTTGTGTCTGCATTTCTCCATGACCCTCTTTGGAGGTAGCCATGTGCATTTTTCAGAGAGAGAGAGAGAGAGAGAGAGAGAGAGAGAGAAGGGGGGGGGGGAAGGAGGGGAAGGCAACCCCTCCTGGAAACAAAGCCCTGTTGTCTCTGTGCTGGAGCAGGCCGGAAACACTGCTCACAGGGGATCCCTGAAGGCCAGGACTGTCCCAGCGCGAGACTCCAGTGCGCTGAATTCAACCTGACAGCTTGTCTGGAGCACTTTCTAAGTAACCATTATCCTTCCTTTGCCCCTTGCTAAATAAGGGGGCTTCTCTGCCCCCGTCCATCTCCCTCCCTCCCTCTGCCTTAAGTGCATGGAGTGCAGTCCTCTGGCACATGTGTGCAAGGAATGCGCTGGAGGGGATACCTTTGCCCCCTTCAGAAAGATCCCAGACTGATCCGGGCTTTTTCCTAAGACAAAAAGTTAATGCGTTTCCTGATGGTGTGTTTCTACAGACCAACAGTGTGTGTCCATCTCCAGCTTGCATTACGCCTGTGCTCATGCGTATGAGTGCTGTGTTTCCACACAGTTCTGGCTGCATGCACAACATGCAATTGAATCCCGTTTCCTCTCCCCTGAGAATCCTGGGGACTGCAGGTTTTTTTGAAGGGTGCTGGGAATCATAGCGCTGGGAAGGGTAAGCTACAGCTCCCCAGCATTCATAAGAACATAGGAAGAAGGCTGCTGGATCAGGACCATGGGCGCCTAGGTAGTCCAGCATCCTGTAGTCACAGGGGCCAACCAGGGGCCCCAAAGGGAAACCCACAAGCAGGATTCGAACACAAGAGTCCTCTCCTTTCCTGCAGCTTCCAGCAACTGGCATCCACAAGCATTGCTGCCTCCAGCTGTGTAGGCAGAGCATAGCCATCGTGGCTAGTGGCCATCGATAGCCCTCTCCTCCTCCATGAATTTGCCTATTCCTCTTTCAAAGCCGTCTGAGTCGATAATCATCCTTGCCTCCTGTGGGAGGGAGTTCCATAGTTTAACTTTGCAGAGAGGGAATGTGCGTCAAATGAATGGCACGTCCGCAGCCTCGCCATGCAGAAACGGAACCAGGGTCGTGTCCTGGTTAAAAGTGTTGGATGAGGACTTGTTCTTCTAGTCCCCACTCGGCCGTAACGTTCACTGGCTGACCTGAGCTGGTTGCTATCTTCCCGCCTAGCCTGCCTTATGAGGCTGTTGTGAGGGTTACGTTGGGGAAGAGGGCACAGAACCACGCAGATGCACCCTGAGCCGTTTGGAGAAATAGATCTTGCATTTCTATTTCTGCAAGAGTGTAGAGTCCAATTCCTGAAAATCTGTTTGATTTTATTTTTTTGCTGGGTGGGGGAAGGCTGACAGCAGCATTACTTTCACCAGCGGAGTCCCAGGACTTAAACTAGTACAGGGGAACTAACACCAGCACATCCCTGGCTGAGCCAGGATGAGGAAGACCCACCTGTTGTGGGGGCACCTATTCTGAACATACTCATCCTGCCAGACCTTGGGCTTGGATGGTGGTTCAAGTGGGTGGAATTTTCCCCACCTCTAAAATCACTTTAAATTATTTTATTTGCATACGCTGCAACCCCACTCTCAACATACCTTTCCCTGGGTGACTAACAATGGAATAAGCATAAAAGTGCATTTTCTTTAAAAAAAAGAAAATAATAAAGTTATTGGCATATAGATGAACACATCAGGAAGCAACTGTTTATTCAAGAGACTAGGGGTAGCTGACCCCTAAGCCAGATCTAGCCGGGCAAGCTGAAAGCTTGATCACCCCATTTCAGGTCTGTGGGGCTCCCTCCACGCTGAGATGGGGAGAGAAAATGTTTTCTGCCTGCCGGCCCTCCTGGCCCTCCTGAGAGGTTGCTTACTATCAATGTGGCCCTCAGGCCAAAGGGGGTCAGCTACCCATGAAGCAGGCGATTAAATCGAAATAGTTCTACATGTTAAAAGATGCTAACATTAGCTGTTCTTAAAAGCCTGGGAAAACCAGAAAGGCCAAAAGGAAAGTACAGTGGTACCTCGGGTTAAGTACTTAATTCATTCCGGAGATCCGTTCTTAACCTGAAACTGTTCTTAACCTGAAGCACCACTTTAGCTAATGGGGCCTCCTGCTGCCGCCGTGCCGCCATCGCGCGATTTTTGTTCTCATCCTGAAGCAAAGTTCTTAACCTGAGGTACTATTTCTGGGTTAACGGAATCTGTAACCTGAAGCGTATGTAACCCGAGGTACCACTGTATTTCTTTAGGCAAGCCGTGATTTCCAGTGCATCTTATACACCAGGGGTGTCCCTGTAAATGCTGCCAGACTCCAACCCCCATCAGTCCCAGCCAGCTTGGGCGAGGTCAGTAACGATGGGAGTTGTAGTCCAGCAGTATTCAGAGTCCCCCCCCCCCAGGTTCCGCATCCTGACAATGTAAATCAGAAGTAAGCGCCACTGAAATTCATGGGACTTACTGAGGCCTGAAGTATTTTATAGGCCAAGGTTAGCAGCTGAAGAGGTCCCTGCTCCAAGGAACTTCCAGTCCACATTTCAGCAGTTGGCTAACTGGGAGGGAAAGCAGCCAAGGAGCGATTCAAAGCTGAAGCGTCCTTTACAGGAAACACCAGCACAAAGGCGGCAGGCAGAGCTGCTCCCAGAAATTATCAATGAGGCCTAAATGGTCTGCAAATCTGAGAGATCTTTGGATGAAAGAGTCCGTGACGTTGTAGACATTGTTTAATATCCTTTTTCTCTGGTTTGCAATAGAGTCTGTGTTCATTCAAGGACCTTCTGGATGGAAACCAGATGGCTGCGAGATGACGGCTCTTGAAAGCCTCATAGGATTTATATTGTGCTTTTTAATTTTGTTGGAATTGGACACACATTTGTCATGGAAGCCGTCACAGAGATCCTCATATCTGCTGAAGCTGGCAGGATGGCAGCGAGCTACCCCAGAGGGCAGCTCTTTTTTCCTCAACATTTGCAAAATATTGTTACGTGCCACCTCAGTCTCCTACATCACCCTCCAACACTTCTCTGATGAAAATAGGGATGCCCTATTCCATAAGAGGGACACGGGTGGCGCTGTGGGTTAAACCACAGAGCCTAGGACTTGCCAATCAGAAGGTTGGCGGTTCGAATCTCCATGATGGGGTGAGCTTCCATTGCTTGGTCCCTGCTCCTGCCAACCTAGCAGTTCGAAAGCTCGTCAAAGTGCAAGTAGATAAATAGGTACCGCTCCAGCGGGAAGGTAATTTCTGTGCGCTGCTCTGGTTCGCCAGAAGTGGCTTAGTCATGCTGGCCACATGGCCCAGAAGCTGTACACCGGCTCTCTTGGACATTAAAGCGAGATGAGCGCCGCAACCCCAGAGTCGGCCACGACTTGACCTAATGGTCAGGGGTCCCTTTACTTATGGGGGACTTCTGGCCCTCCAGAAGTCATTGAACTACAATGTCCATCATCTCAGGCTGTTTATTCCATAATAATTATAATAATTTAAATTATTTATATCCCCCCCCTCATCTGAGTAGGTTGCCCCAGCCATTCTGGGTGGCTTTCCAACATATAGATGACAGCATAATAAAACATTAAACATTTAAAGGGCTGCCTTCAGATGTCTTCTAAAAGTTGTATCTTATCTCCTTGGCTCAGGGGTAGCATAACTCTGTACCTTCCAACATTTCTCCGATGAAAATGGGGACCTCCTAAGGAAAAGCAGGACATTTTGGGATCGGATCAGAAACCAGTACAGCTTCTGTAAATCTGGGACTGTCCCTGGAAAATAGGGACACTTGGAGGGTCACCTAGTGGTGAGAGACTGCAGGGATTCCAGGCGCTTACCTAGGTTTGGTTTCCTTGGAATGAAGCTCAGCAGAGATTGTGGTGTCTATTGGATATATTTCCACACATATGGAGGATGGAGGGGCTCCCAGCATCAACACCCCAACAGATACTGCTTCTCCATTAGTTGCAGCTCTGGATCCAGCATAGAGCAAGCAGGTCTCTGGGTCTCCAGCTTCCAGCCTGCTTTTTAATCAGCTCCCACACACCCTCTCTTTCCCTGCCCCACCCCCCCGCAGCTAGGGGAAGGGGAAGCACCACCCATTCATTCTATGGGCGGGGCGGTAAGGCACATCCATTTGTTCTATGGCACAGAGCAATTTATTTCATTACAGTCATACCTCGTGTTACGTCCGCTTCATGTTATGTTCTTTCAGGCTACGTCCTGCGGCGACCTGGAAGTACCGGAAAGGGTTACTTCCGGGTTTCGCCGCATGCGCACAAGTGCAAAATGACATCACGCACATGCACAGAAGCAGTGAATCGCAACCCACGCGTGCGCAGATGCACCGCTGCAGGTTGCGCTCTTTTCATGTTGCGAACGGGCCTCCGGAACGGATCCCATTCACAACCAGAGGTATCACTGTACATTAATCACGATGATTGACTAGTCAGCCACAGCCATTGCCTAGACAAAGGGGTTGGTTTGGCCATCTAGTTTTTGTACATTCAACCCCACCTCCAAAGATACAAAATCCCAATAATTGGAAGGGACTCGAAGCATCATCCAGACTGACCCTACCCCCAACTTCCATAGCTCAGAGCTGCATCTCAGTGTTTGGCTGGGGTGGGGGCGGAAATCCAGCGTCTCCTGCCAACTTTGCCCAACTCAACAGGCTGGCTGCGAGCTCTGTCACAAGAATGGGATTGTTTTTGCAAAATAAATAAACAGAAACCCCGTGCTCTGGATTGCTTCCCTGGCTGAGAATGCCTCATTGTGTCTGAAACACATTTTGCAAGGCTCTGGGTTAGGTGGCTGCCGAGTGCTGCGTGGTGCACACATTGCATTCATTTGGCTGATGGCAGGGGGGTGGGCTTTGGAGCCAGAGAGCCAGAAAAATGTTGGCTCCCCTGAGCAACTATTGTCATTGTCATTTTGGAAAGATGTGGAAATGCACTCATTAAGTTCCCAGTTGTTGCTGATTCCAAAATCCCCAACCCAAAGCTCCTCTGCCTGGGGCCGTGTCTCCCTTGCAGGTTTCAGCTGGAATCATAGAAGCACAGAATGGTAGAATTTGAAGGTACTCCGAGGGTCATCTAGTCCAACCCCCTGCAATCTTTTGTCCAACGTGGGGCTCGAACCCATGACCTTGAGATTAAGAGCCTCATGTGCCACCAACTGAGCCGTCCCAGCTTTTAGCCTCATTTCTTCTCCATTCTAGCTGTAGCGTTGGGCCAATGGGCTGACTCCATATAAGGGAGATTCCCGTGTTTCTATTGCAGAATGATGAGGACTGGGATCTTGCTTGTTTTTAGGGGAAGGACTGTAGCTCAGTGGTAGAGCATCTGCTTTGCATGCAGAAGGTCCCAGGCATCTCCAGGTACACCTGGTAGAGATCTGTGCCTGAAGCCCTGGAGAGCCACCGCTGGGCAGTGCAAACAGTACTGAGCTGGAGGGCCCAATAGGCTGACTCAGTATAAGGTGGCTTCCTGTGTTCCTAGCGACCTAATCCCTGGGCGATGAGACAGTCCCACAACCATCCCGCATACACACAAATACACACAAATAACTGACGAAACATGCATCATGCATACAGATGACTCTGCCTCTGTTTGTCTGTTGTTGTTTTAAAAAATCCACACCAGCTTCTAGCATTTAAAAAAACGAAACCAGGAAAATACCAAGGAAGCTTTCCCTGCGCCAGCTGGAAGAGACAACAACATGAGGGGTTTTTTCCATCTGACAATTTTTGCAGTCTTTGTCATTCCCAAAAGGAGCAGACAATAGGATCTTCTGGCTTTAATTCGTTTGGGAGATTAAAGCTGTTCTCCTTCCCATCCCATCTCAGGACTGGTTTTAAAACTGCCCTTTCAAGGGTCTCTCAAGTGCCAGGTTCACCAGATGGCAGGGATGGGAATTTGCACTTGTGGCTAAAGGAAAGCGACAGAAAGACAGAAAGTGGTGGGGTTTTTATTATTATTTTTACAAAAAGAACTGAAAATGATTGGCAAGGACCAAAAGTTTTCTCAAACTTTCTGGTGGTAGGTTGTCAGTTTCTTCTTCCTTGCAAAGTGTATTATTTCACTGACTCAGTGTGATCACATCTACTCTGTATATTTAATACATGATTATACAGCTTTTAACAGTCATGGAGAATCCTGGGAACTATAGTTTGCAAAGGGTGCCGGGAACTGTAGCTCCAGGAGGGCAGAACCATTAAAAAAAAACTACGCTTCCCAGGATTCTCTGTGAGTGTTAACAGTGGCATAAAATTTCTTTAAATGCACGCCATGGAGGTGACCTTGGACCAGAGTCTAGTAAACCTGTAGTATACAGAAGTGCTGTGCAGGCAGCACTGTTGTAGTTTTAAACTTCCATAATGCTGTTTTGTTTTGAAAATAAAAAACCAATGAGCCACAAAAATGGGGCATCTCATTTGCTGATGGTAAAATGTTGGAAGCATTTAGTTTTTAAAAATGCTGGTTCTTTTCTTGTTGAGTAAGGCTGTGGCTCGCCCTGTTACTCCTTTTGGTATTAGGCTTTGGTCCTGTGGATACTCATTCAATAATATCTCCCGGTTTCAAATCCTGTTGATTCAGAGCTGTTACCCTGAGGCAAAATTCTTGCTCTCTTGGAACATGGAAATTCCAGGATTTATTAATATTTTTTTTTAGCGGAATTGCTGGCTGGAAAAGATCAAAGCCAGCATGCACACACATTGAGTATTCAAATGATAGAATCACGGAAATGTGGGGTTGGAAGGGATCCCCAGAGGTCATCGAGTCCAACCCCAACATCCTAGGGCTGCTGCAGCTGCCACCAAGAAGCAAAACAAGGCAGTGAGTCAACAAAAAGTGCAAGGGAAGTGGGAGGACTGAGGGAGGGCAGGCAAATGGTAAGAGAGGTTACGATTTGGCTTAGGGTTACATGTCAACAAGTGTATTCACATTTTTTAAAAGGTCCCACAGGAAGATGGTGCCTGTGGTCTATTTGGCATGAGCACCCTCTGCATATGAAACAGGACACCCCCTGTGTCCGCTTCCTACATACTGTATTTTTCGCTCTATAAGACGCACCAGACCACAAGACGCACCTAGTTTTTGGAGGAGGAAAACAAGAAAAAAAATATTCTGAATCTCAGAAGCCGGAACAGCAAGAGGGATCGCTGCACAGTGAAAGCAGCAATCCCTCTTGCTGTTCTGGCTTCTGGGATAGCTGCACAGCCTGCATTCACTCCATAAGACGCACACACATTTCCCTTTACTTTTTAGGAGGGGAAAAGTGAGTCTTATAGAGCAAAAAATACGGTATTCCTTTCAAGGTGCTATTGGCTGCGTCCGTTATTTGCATGCTGCGTCTCCTGGGCTCAGCTTCACTTTTCAGATGTCTCAGAGCACCTCACAGCTGCCGATGGCAATGCCCGCCTCTCACATGGGTAGGCTGCAGCAAATCCAGGACAACAGGAGCGAGGGATCTGTGGCCCTTAAGATGCTGTTGGACTCCAACTCCCATCAGTCCCAGCCAGCATGTCCAATGGTCAGGGAAGGCGGGAGTCATGGCTCATCAACATCTCAGAGAGCACTAGCTCACCTCGATCCCTAGATTGTAACGAAAGCAAGCACAAATTTTTGACACCAGCCATTCTTTTCTCCCGTTCTTGCCTCTGTGCCCTGCTCTAAATGAAACATTCGCTTCTTCTTTTTTCCTAGATGCTTCTTCCTACGATGCAGTCAGAAGATCAGGATGGGGCAATAGCATGAACTCCAGCCACAACAACAAAAGTGAGTTGCCGATGGCCTAGATGACAACTGGCACATCCTGTTTAACTTTTTTTAAAATTGAATTAAACGCTACAACAATGGCTATGTCCACCGACTCTTCTCCTCTCACACAAAAGAAAGAGAGAGTCTTTAACCCACTTTGACCTCAAAATAAGCAGAGACTTCAGCAGATTTCTTCAGTTAGGCATCTCAGCTGTCACTCTCATCTGTATCTCGGCTTGAGAACACAAGGTGTTCAGCTGAGATATAGAAAGGGAGAGTAGTGCCATTGGCTCTGTTGATGTTCATACCGTGGAGGAATGGGGTTAAGTGATGCTGAAGTCCCGACCACCTGTGTTACTGTGTTTTAATTTTAGTTTAAGCCATCTCAAGAACTTCCGTTAGTAAACATGCGTAAATATTGGGTTAGATTCAGACTTGCTTTATGAAACATGGGCTTTATTAAAGGACTCATGGCAAGTTAGGCATGACTTCATTTGACTCCCCCTATTTTCAGTGGGAGCTCTGTTCAGCTAACTCATCTATTTATTTATTTATTTATTCATGTATTTAAAATATTTGTATGCCGTTGTATCATAAAAAAAATCAAAGCAGTTTATAGCTTTAAAAACATACACTAAAAACCATTAAAAAGTTTCAAACAGACATCAGTTAGCATTGCAGAAGGGATGTTTACTTTAGCATCCCCTCGTAGCACAAAGTTTCTGGGCAGCTTAGAGTCATAAAACAATGTAAATATAAAATGAAACATTTTTAGAAAGCATTGAAATCAAAACTAAATAAATGCAAGCAGGATTTATGACGGGCAGATCAAGTTTTTGTTTTGTACCCTCTGCTCTGCGGACTTCCGGGGTGGCGCCATCGGTAATGGCGGACTCCCTCTGATCCGGAGGGACCAGCTCCACGGAAAACGGGTCTTTCCCGCTACGGCGAAGCAGGGACCCTTTCAAAAACCACAGGCGGATGAAGCCTGTGACCATGGGACTCAGCGGGCACCTTCAGCGCCCCCTAACCCGTAAAGGAACCCATTTACGGGCTCCGGAGCAAAGAGGGGGAAGTGGCGCGGTGCTGAGAGTCAACTGCTTCTTCCGTGGAGCGAAGCCACACAGCCGTTGCCGGAGAGCGCTGCCTTTTTCCTGGGACAATTTGGCTTTTAAAACAATTACCCGTGAGTACTTTAATTTCGGACAATTGGACCTTGAATAATGACCTGCGAGTAGAAAGGAAAATTGGACTAAGAAATTCATCTCAATTTGGCACTGAAATGGGAAGGTCTAAACAGGAAGTCAGCCTTCTGTTTCTTGTAGATAGATTAAAGCAAAGACATGGCAAACTAGAGTTCAGAAAATCGCTTGTAAAGGATTAACCTTCATCATTTAAAATTGTTGAACCCCCTTCGGAAGCAGGAGAAGAGGGGGGATTTTTTTCGGACTGTTTAAACCTGCAGAAAGAGTGTAAAGCAAAGTAATTTTCCACCGTCTTGATCCTGGGAGCGGGTGTCAGGACTGACGTTCTTTGGGAAGCTCATTGACCAGAGACAAACGTTTTTGACAGATAGTTAAAAGAAGAGAAACATAGTGATTCCATTGTTCTCCTTCGCATTTTAAAGGAACAAATATTGACAAAATATCTGAAAAAGGAAACTTTGTTGTTAGATCTGCCTTTAAAAGAAAAGAACAAATAGAAGTTCTTCCCCTAGAGGGAGCCTGTGAAACTGTTACTAAATCTGAATCGGGGAGCTCTGCAGCTGCAGCAGATTACGATCGTGGGAATAGACTTCTGACCTTGCAGAACAATGTATTCAGAAGCCCTGATGTGTGCTTTCTGCAAAACAAGTGCCCTACTGGAACAGCTACATGAGAAGACGGACTTGATGACTGCTGCGATCGGACATTTCGGACAGGTAGTGGGTAACTATATAGAGCCCACCCAGGAATTAAATCAGGAGTGTGCTCTGACAGATCAGATGAGGGAAGAGGATGTTGTTGAACCTCGGGCGCCAGAGATGGAGGGAGCTGTGGCCCAGCAGGAACATGAGTTTTTGGATCTGACAAATGAACTTGGAAAAAGCCAGATTTGGAAAGATAAAGTTTGGTTTGGTTTGGAAATGGGGGGTTGGATAGACCCCCCCCTATGCAGGGATGTTTGAACTTTTCAAGTCTGGCAATGGGCCGTGAGATGTTTGGGGTTGTGGGGGCTCTTAATTCTGGAGGGACTTGAAACATGTTTTTAAATACCACATGGAGTTTAGTGTGGAGCATGGAAAAGGGATTGATTTGTTGAGAAGGGTCAAAAACACTGTTAAGTTGGAGTTCCCACGAGTGAAAGGAGCAGGAGACAAAGTAAAGTACAGGTATAAATATGAAGAAGAGCCACGGGAGGGACATGGAAGAGACTTAAGGGCCTCGGACATAAGATTACCAGGTTAATGCGCTAGATTGATGGGATAGAAAGGACTGACAAAACCCGGGACCAGGAGGAAGAGACGCTGGATGAAGATTGGAAGAATTTTTTTTTTATTAGGATTGTTTTATAAAATTGATGAATGTTAGAAAAATGTTGGAACAAAATTATTTGGCTCTAGCAAAAATGTTAAAAGAATTATGTAAGAATATGTTATGGTTATGAGAAATTGGTATAAATAAGATCTAAGTTTTAAGTTTTAAGGTCTTTTATAGTAAGATAAGGTTAAAATAGATTAAGGTAATGTAATGACAGAATATTATGAAAAATGGAAAGGATTTGCTGTGACTATTAATAACTAGGATACAAAAAAAGGGAGGAGTGAGGAGGTCAAAGAAAGAAGGTAATGACAGTCAAGCATATGAGAATATTGGATTTGTTTTTAAATTTTTGTGGCTTATTTTTGCTTTTTGATTGTGTTCTGTTACGTGCTTAGTTCTTATTTTTTGATTTTGATTTTTATCAATTTGTATTGTTTGATTGTGGTTTGTTTTTCTTTTGTTTTTTCTCTTTCTTTTTCTTCTTTGTTTTTTCTGTAACTTTAAAACTCTTAATAAATATCATTTAAAAACAAACAAACAAGTTTTTGTTTTGTACCACCTAATCTGTAAATTCACCAAAAGCCCGCATAAGACTCTCTATGCTGTGATCGTTGACTTCTCCTCAGCCTTTGATTTAATAGATAGGGGACAGCTGTGGAACAAACTGGCCCATTCAAATACAGATAAAAGACTTCTCTGGCTCACTCAACAAGTACATCGAGGGAACCTCATGCAAGTGAGACTGGGCCTTCAAGGCAATTCCAATTAACAGAGGTGTCAAGCAAGGATGTATACTGGCACCCTTTTTTGATTTTTGATCAGGATGCCAACCAAGACAGAGCACCCACCATTGCCACCCATTACTCTACTTGGTACCCCCCAAGTTCAGATCAATCACTCAAGGCCCCATTACCTTGAGACTCTGACCTTCCCACAACTATGCAGGGCCTTTGTGGAACTAAGATTTCAACAGATGCCCATAGCATATTTGGAGGGGAGATATCAGGAAATTCCCCATATGGATTGCAAATGTATACATGGATGCAATCTGGCAGAGGACATCACACACTATCTGCTGATTTGCCCCCTGTATACAACGCCCAGAGGAAAATTTATACTGCCAATTCTTAAATGGCTTCCAGGTCAATCTGCACAGGACATAGCAGTTGAACTCCTAGCAGATAAACATCTACAGGTACATATTACACACCAGGTAGCCAAATTTGCACTGGCAGCCAAGAAGCTCCATTCCAGCTACGTGGCTGCACTCCAATTTTAAGTTTTAATGTTGTAAATTTCTTTTTATGCTGTAAACTGCTACAGGTTACGTTGTATGATTTTAGATCAGGCATAGGCAAACTCGGCCCTCCAGATGTTTTGGGACTACAACTCCCATCATCCCTGACCACTGGTCCTGTTAGCTAGGGATGATGGGAGTTGTAGTCCCAAAACATCTGGAGGGCCGAGTTTGCCTATGCCTGTTTTAGGGGAAAGTTTCCTTTTATTCTCCATTGTAAAGGCCTTTGGCTATATACAATAAAATTGATTGCCTTATCAACTAAACAAATGCAATGAAAATAGGACACACAACACCCCTACGATTAAAATGCACAGGGTTTTTTGTTTTTGTTGTTTTTAGAGACCCAAATTATTGTAGGTTATCTGGAAGGCCTGCATAAACAGACCACAAAGAAGAGGACCTTGGATTGACTGAGTCAATCTGAGAATATTTAGGGGAGTGGGGGGAAGCTAGCAGGACTGTGGGGGTTGAAGGACAGAGCGGCTTTGTGGTGAGGTGGACAGAGTGGCCTGGTGGCAAGGTGGGGCAGGGCAACTGGGAATTCTTCTCTGGATTGGATTTGAATCCAAACCAGAGAAAAATCCAGGAGCTGGTAAGGCTCACCTCTTCTCCGAGGCAGGCTTTTTTGAGCTCACAAAGTCTCTTGCTCAGCCTGGCTCAGGAGAACTTCACCAGCATCACTCATTGGTGAAAAACACGGACTATGGCGACAAGGTCTGCCTTCAAATACTGTATTACACAGTCTTCTTTTATTGTGCATGGAATCTGTTTCCTTTTTTCTCCTGCGATCTGAAATGCTTTCATTTCTCTGATACCCCCAGGTCCTCCTCTGGGAGGGACGCAAGCTGTGAGCAAGAGTGTGGAGCAACAGCGACCCCAGCCAGGTACTGGTGTCGAAAGTTTATTCCCTTAGAAAAATATGTATATACCCAGCCAGATGGGTGGAACATTATTATTATTATTATTATTATTATTACTATTATTATTATCATTATACCACTATGACATAAGAGTGGTTTTACGCTTACCCAAATCATGCCTATTTGCCTCGTAATTCAGAAAGTACACAGAGGTGATGCACACCCTTAATAAATATTCTATGTATAACTATTGGTTACCCAGGAAACGAACAGCAAGCAGGGATCTCTCAGGTGCTCTTATGGACAGTGGAAATAGCATCCCGTTGAAGCTAACAATAACATTGCAGTTTGCAGCTGTGATAAGTAGTCTTTGGTGCAGAGGACTGAACAGTGTCTAATTTTCTTTTCCTTTTGTTGGTCTCTTTACTTAGATCCCTACCAGATTTTAGGACCTACCAGCAGCCGTTTAGCGAACCCAGGTGAGTCTAGTGGGTCAACAGGTTAATAGCCCATGGGCTCATTCTATCTCTCCAGTTCTTAGATCAATACCTTATGGCTCTCATCTCCTGTATGGGCTGCAGTTCTCACTCTGGGTCCCACCCCCCACCCCGTTCAATGAAACACTCACCAACTATTGGGGTCACATGTTGTTTTAGTTTAAGGTCACTGGCTTTCTGTCCAGGGAGCATTCCTGTTAGCTGAGACCTTTTTAGGGTGGGGGCCGAGCACAGTATTCGTTTTGGAGAAAGAAAGAAAGAAAGAAAGAAAGAAAGAAAGAAAGAAAGAAAGAAAGAAAGAAAGAAAGTTTGTTGAATATATATTGGCTAGCTGGAGTTTTCTAAATCCAATGCCAAGATTCACAAGGCTTGAAAAATCATACCCTGAACACAGACATCCTAACCACAAGGAATGTCATTGTTGAATTCTGAAGGCAGGTATGGGTGGGTCACAGTTGCATTGGCAACACAAAAAATAAAAAAAACCTGTCAGTTTCATCTGGTCCAAGAAATAATAAACCAATGTATGGCATTGACTTGATGGATCAGCTTATACCTCACCACAGCCAGTTTGCTCATTCACAAAATATTAGCTGGAATTTCTGCAGCTGCTTTGAGCATGTGATTACATTGTAACCAGGCAGAGGGCCTTCTCGGTGGTGGCACCCGCCCTGTGGAATGCCCTTCCATCAGATGTCAAGGAAATAAACAACTATCTGACTTTTAGAAGACATCTGAAAGGCAGCCCTGTTTAGGGAAGTTTTTAATGATTGGTGTTTTATCATGCTTTTAATATTCTGTTGGGAGCCGAAGTAGTGACCAGCCCCCAAGCTCACCCAGGGAGCTTCATGGCCAAGTTGGGGGAACTGAACCCTGGTCTTTCCTAGAGATAGAAAGAAGACAAAGTCTCTACCAGAGAAGAATGGCAGATGAAGTTGATGGACTATGCTGAAATGGCTAAAGTGACCAGAAGAATCAGAAATCAGGAAGGCCAAAATTTTAATAAGGAATGGGGAAAATTATAACTGATCTTAAAGACCATTGTAAATCGTTAGTAGTATTGGAATATCACTAGTAGTTTAAGGGTGAATTCTGGACACAATGGAGATGTAAAAGATTTGGATTATCATAAAAGATGCGGAAGGAAATGATTAATAACAGGACCTATAAAGGGGAGGATGGAAGTCCAGGAGATTCCTTGGAATCTTGTTTTCATGATATATGTTTGATATATCTCTGAAAATTTTTAATTTGAAAAACCAAATAAATAATTTTTTATATATTGAAAAAGAACCTTGGTCTTTCCCCGGTCCCAGTCTGGCATTCTAACCACTGCTCCACTTTGGCATTGATCAGTTATCAGTTGGCAGATGATATTCCCGGCCCCTTGGCTTTGAGGCATTGTACCTCCTGGTAACTGGGCATTTTGTGGCCTCTTCTCTTGCAGGGAGCGGTCAGATCCAGCTCTGGCAGTTCCTCCTGGAGCTGCTGTCTGACAGCTCCAACGCCAGCTGCATCACGTGGGAAGGCACCAACGGGGAGTTCAAGATGACGGATCCCGACGAGGTGGCCAAGCGCTGGGGCGAGCGCAAGAGCAAGCCCAACATGAACTACGACAAGCTGAGCCGGGCCCTGCGCTACTATTACGACAAGAACATTATGACCAAGGTGCACGGCAAGAGGTATGCCTACAAGTTTGACTTTCACGGCATCGCCCAGGCGCTCCAGCCTCACCCCACCGAGTCCTCCATGTACAAATATCCTTCGGATCTCTCCTATGTGCCTTCGTACCACGCGCACCAGCAGAAGGTGAACTTTGTGCCTCCACACCCTTCCTCCATGCCCGTCACTTCCTCCAGTTTCTTTGGCGCCACGTCGCCCTATTGGACTTCCCCAGCAGGAAGCATCTACCCCAACCCAAACGTGCCCCGCCATGCCAACTCCCATATGCCATCGCACCTGGGCAGCTACTACTAGGTGCCTTTCTCCATGTGACGAGCTGTTCTTTTCCCATCCGTGGATATCTCTGGACATTTCTTTTCTTGTTGCTGTTGGACATGTGCCTTTCCGTTGGGAAGAAAGCTGAAAAACTGGATATTATAATTATTATAATTATTATAATTATTATTGGAGTCAACTTTTTCTTTTTTGTAACTCTGTCTTGGACAGGCAGGTGGATTCTCCGGCGGGCCAGTATTACGCGTTTTATTTTGGTTCTAAGCCTTATATCCTCTCTAGAGCCAAGTGGAATGCGTTTCGGAATTTGCAGTGGTTATCACTTCAGATCTTAGACAAAGTGTTGTAAAGTCCAAGGCGCTTATTTTGTTTTCTTGTTTTTTTGGGAAGGAAAAGACCAAGACCTCTAAGTCTTAGAAGATAAATGTTTGTTTGTTCCAGACTAATGGCGACGACCAGTTTTTTTGTTTTGTTTTGTTTTCCGGTTTGGGGGCGGAAGCAGAAGCAAGCTCCTATATTATAGGACTTTGTTTGGAGACACCCAACTGGAATCTTAGCTATGAAGCCAATTGTGGCTTGTTGCTTTTCACCCAACTGGAAAAAAGAGAGAGAGAGAAATTAATAAATATATATATTCCTATAAATAAATATGTATATTTTAAGACAAGGGCATTGAAAGGACCTTTTGAGAATGTGCATTGTTGTATCAGTTTTGTTAATATCTCCAGAAGCATCTGAGACCAAGGGAAAAAGAAGACGTTATAGTGGATCATGGGCAGGTAGTCTTATGAATGCAAAATGGAACTAATTTAAATGACAGCGGCTCCCAAGCTTAGGCAGGGTTTCAGGGGCTGCAAGAGCATAACCGATTCACGAGCGCTGTGCGTTTGTCAGGCCGCTACTCAGAGGGTCAACCAAGTCAGAAGGCAACTTACTGTATAAATTATGCAGAGTTATGTTTTTACCTATATCTCACAGTATTAAAAAAGAAAGATGAAAACTAAAACGAGTTGACCTCGGTCACAAATGCAGTTGTTGTTGTTTTTTTACTATCAAATCCATTGTTGTTGGTGTTGTTTTTAAAAATGTAATTTGTACATCTTTTCAATCTGTACATTTGGGGTGCAGCTTTGTAACTTTTTTTTGCTAAAAAAAATAAACTTAAAAAAAGGAACTTGTATGCAATGTGTCTGTTGGAAAAACAAGCCCGTGGTCTTGAAAAGAACAATGGTTATATCCGGAAACTAGGGCTGCATCTACACTACAAACTTACATTGATTTTGTGCCATTTTAACTGCCATGGCTACCCCCAGAGAATCCTGGGAAATGAAGTCTGATGAGAGGAACAGGAGTACAGTCGTACCTTGGTACTTGAACGCCTTGGTAATCGGACATTTTGGTTCCCTAACGCCACAAACCCAGAAGCAAGTTTTTCGGTTTGTGAACGCTTTTTGGAAGCAGAACGTCTGACACTGCTTCCACTGCTTCCAGTTGAATGCAGGAAGCTCCTGCAGCCAATTGGAAGCCGTACCTTGGTTGTCGAACAGACTGCAAGAATGGATTAAGTTGGACAACCAAGGTACGACTGTATGTTCGAAACCCTAAATCGCCTCACAGAACCACAGTCCCCAGAGTTTCCTGAAGGGAGAAAATGCCCATTTAAACCACTTTCAGTTCATAGTGTAGATATGTCTTAAGGCATTCTGGGTAATTAAAATACCACTTTAGCTCACATTTGAGTTTATTGCTGATTAATGCCTGTCACCTGGTCTTTTGATTCAAGCCGTGAATACGTAACAGTGATGATTAAATAGGGTTGGGTTCCATGAGAGGAGAGCATGGTTCTCTTTCTACAGGCACTAAAACTCTTCTGGGTTGAATTGTTAGCTGCCAGAATGGATGCAATAACTCTGACGATCACGTCATACAGCACAAACCATTTTTGGCCTGTCATTTCCTTAAAATGGACATTTGCCTCAGCTTTTCTAGTTGCAGTCCAGATGCAGAGATTTGTTTTACCCGGTAAATTTTTCCTCCAGGGTACCAGGCTAAAAGCAAGCAAACCACCACCAATAAATATTTTGTCACCCAAAACAAGTACCCATCTCTTATAAACTGGGATCTGCTGTTTCTCCCTAGTCCAGCAGAACCTGTTACAATTTCCAGCATCTCTGACCACTGAACAAGCTGGATTAGGCTGTTGAGGGACGGGCAGTTGGGTGCCCAACAAAATCTGGTGGGCCATATATAAGCTCCCCACCTCTGCCATAATTCAAACTCAACAATTAATTGGTTGACTTAAATCCCTAAGTTTTTATACTGTGTTCCCTGGGACCCTGGAGTTCCCCTGCCCCCAAAGCTCCAGATTCATAGAAATATTTCATGGACTCATAGAGTTGGAAGGGACCTTGAGGATAATAGTCCAACCCCCTGCAATGCAGGAATATGCAGCTGCCCCATACAAGGATCGAACCTGCAACCTTGGCGTAATCAGCACCACACTCTAACCAGCTGAGCCATCCATCTTATTCCTATGTTGTGCAAAGGGCCTCTTTAGGTAGCAAAACAGGAGCAGCTACTGTTATGCCCCCTCTGGAGGTTGTTGGGACTCCCATCATCCCTTGCCACCAGCCATGCTGATGGGAGCTGGAGTCCTGTGGCATCATGAGGGCACCATATTGGTTTCCACTCTGGGAACAAGGGCCGCCTGTTTCAGACTCTTGTGCCTGGTAAGCCAGTTCTGCTGCGTCTTGGAGTCCTCCTGCTCCTTCTGCTGAGTGGGTCCCTAGACTTCTTCCACTAATGGCAGGACCTGGCATAAGGTAGCTCCCTGTGTTCCTAACGGTGGACACACTTTCCAAAAAAACACACCACCACCGCCAATTTGCCCACCACAAGTAGTTCATAAAATCCACACCAACAAGAGTGTTCTCTTGGGTGTGTCCCAAGAAGGATGAAGGTGGGGCCTCAGAGACCTGAGAGAGCTCCCCAGAAGCCTTCTCAGGACCCTCCACGAGACACAAGTCCTATGGCAGGTGTGCCAGGGTTTCCTTGGAAGACAAGTCAGTGTAGAAAAGGTTCCCAGATCTAACCTGAAAAACCACAGGGACAAAAGGCCATAAAAATCTATTTCTAGGATGGGGAACCTCTGGTAGACGTCCAGATTCTGTTGAACTACTATTCCTACCATCCCTGACCATTGGTCATGCTGGCTGTTGGACACTGGGGAGTCCAACAACAGCATCTTGAGGGCCACAGGTCCACCCAACCTTGGGCTATCATGATTTGAATGAAGTTGGCAGAAATTTGGTTGTAAGTCTTCCCCCAGCCACAAGACTGACACCTCCAATTTGCAAGTACCATCCCAAGCATAATCTAGAAAAGCTTACATGACAACGGGCAGTATCCCATGCTAGTGCTGCTCAGAGTAGATCCATTGAAATAAACACACATGGCTAGCTTAGTTTTGTTAATTCCAATGCATCTACTCTTGAGGAGACATTGAGGATACAACCCAAGCACTGATGCTGTTTCTTTGCTGAACAAAAACAAGAGGTCAAGCTAATCTTTCTCCATGTTTGTGCTCTTTGGAATGTGGGTCAATCCTACTGCGATGCTTGCAATATATTTTGCAAAATGAAACATTCCCGAAAGATGTATTTTCTAGTTTATATATGCAGTATATTTTTGGGTATTAAATATATAGAAATATATATATAATTTTGCAAGTAACCTTTGGGGCCTTTTGTTTTTCTAAAAAGAAACGTGTTAAGCTAAAGACTGTTGTATGATGATGATGAATTATGATGTTTTAAAAGTGATAAAATAAATGGTTCTTTCTCTAATTGAGGATTTGTTCAGATATATATTTATATATGGTGGCAGTGCTGGATTTATGTATAAGCTAAACAAGGTATAGCTTAGGGCCCCACTCTCTTGGATGCCCCCCAAAAAATTAAAAGAAAAAAACAACTGAATGTACATTTCCAAAATACAAGATAAAAAAAACAAATAAAATAAAACCTACATACAGCAACAGTGTTTTGTGTTGTGTATGATCCTATTTGTTATGTGCAAATGGATTTAGATACCTATTAGGTCCATAAATTACCATCTATTCAACACACACAAAAACAACAATTTGTTGTTGACAAAGGACAGCTGGACATCTAAAGGGCCCCATTACCTTCAGTAGCTTAGGGCCTCATCAAACCTAAATCTGGCCCTGTATGGTGGTGTTTCTTGACCATTCATGCATACTGTATAAGCTGCAGGGCTCTAACCAGGTCAGGACGATCCTTTCAAACAGATACGGCATAGAGTCAAAATGTGTGTGTGTGTGTCCTTGGCTGCCTTTTTGAAGTGGAGGAAAGGGGACCTTGTGTGGCCCTCTAAGCCACCCTGCCTGACCTTTGCCTGACTCTCACCAGGCAACATCCCTCACTACTCCTATTTAGGGTTGTCATACATAGCCAGAATTCAGCCGTCGGGAAACAGTGTCCATATCAGGGATATGGCAACCCATGCTCGAAGTGTAGATTTCATAAAAAAATCGCTCAAAAACGTCTTTTTTGAGACTTTGGGCAAAACTAAACAACGTCTTTTGCATCCAGATTTTCACTTTTTAAAACATGGCAACCCATATTTTGGATCTTCCTGGAACAGATGCTTGATCTCTGATCAATCACCTGGTTTGCCTGGATGGTGGATAGGGATGTGTGTGTGAGTGGGTGCAGACCCTCCAAGTGTCCCTATTTTCCAGGGACAGTCCCAGATTTAGAGAAGCTGGTTTCTGATTTGATCTCGAAATGTCCCACTTTTCCTTAAAAAGGTAAAGGGACCCCTGACCATTAGGTCCATTTGTGGCTGATTTTGGGGTTGCGGCTGATTTGTATGGGGCAGCTTTACTGGCTGAGGGAGCCGATGTACAGCTTCCGGGTCATGTGGCCAGCATGACTAAGCCGCTTCTGGCGAACCAGAACAGCGCACGGAAACGTCCCACCGGAGTGGTACCTATTTATCTACTTGCAGTTTGGCGTGCTTTCGGACTGCTAGGTTGGCAGGAGCAGGGACTGAGTAACGGGAGCTCACCCCGTTGCGGGGATTCGAACTGCCGACCTTCTGATCGGCAAGTCCTAGGCTCTGTGGTTTAACCCACAGCACCACCCGCGTCCCATCTTTTCCTTAGGACGTCCCTATTTTCATTGGAGAAATGTTGGAGGGTATGGAATTATCCAACCCCTGTGCCAAGGAGTTAAGTAACTACACAACATTTAGAAGACATCTGAAGGCAATCCTGTATAGGGAAGCAGCAGCAGCAGCAGTTGTTATTATTAATTTCTATACGACTTTATATTTTTAAGAAAAACTCCCAAAGAGGTTTACATTAAAACATCAAATGCAACAATCCAGAGCAAAACATTACTTAAGAAAGTCAAGTTTAAAGTATACATTCAAAGAAACATAACTAACAGAAAACTAAAATATTCTCTTAAAGAGTTGGAAGTATAACGTTACAGAATGCACATTTAACGCAGCAAAGTTAGCAACAACAAAATTATCATAAACATTTTGAAAGAAAACATTGCTAAAGGAAGTCAAATATAAAATGCGCATTCAAAACAGCATAATTAAACAAGAGAATAAAATATTACCATAGGTACAGAACATATCTGCTGCCAGTTCTTGCCAATGGCCGTTCATGGCTGGTAGTGGCTGTGGAAGCTCAGGCTCAATGTCCTGGGTCTGCGCTAAGAGACAGCCAAGATGGTTTGTGGCCTCTTCAGCAGCCTCAGCCTTTGCAGTTGGAGTCAATCGAGGCCCCTGCTCTCCCAGGCCAGGTAGGAAAGGGCCTCCAGGGCAGGGAGCAAGCCTTCCAGGACTCATAGAAAATCTGGTGAAAGAGGAAAGCATTCAATTGACACTGAAAGGCAGCCTCAGGAGTCATAAGCTGAAACTCAAGGGGAAGAAGAGGTCCCAGGCCTGGGAAGAGGACCCACTGCCAAGTCACAGATTTCATTCAGCATCACCAAGAGAGCCTTCACAGCTATGATTCCTGCATTGTAAGGCATTGGACTAGGTGACCTTTCCAACTCTACAATTCTATGATTCTATGACCTCGCAGCCTGGAAAGGATGGTAAGGGGAGA